AGGTCAGATGGGTTTTTGGGGGTGTGCAGCAGAAAGAATCAGGAGACAGAGGGAATAGAGAGGGTGTGCTGTCATTGTTTGTCAGCGTTTGTTGCGGAAAATTATGCAATTTGTTTAAGTGGGGGAGATGTTTGTTCTCAGAGTAAGGCTGTCGGATTGAGTTTAAACCACCCAGGACCGCACTGAATGATGAAATGACTCCCTTACTATCATGGGAAACAGAGTACTGCTTCAAAGTGACAGTTTCCTGAGACCACTAATACCAAGTCTTCCCAAAACCAAATCATCCCATCCCTGCCTATCCATTAAACTACTATTTTATGTTGATTAAATGGTTAATTTGGTTTGCTTTGACTGTATTTTAGGCAAGATCTCATCCTTCAATTAATTTATTCCTTCAAATGTAAAGATTTGTGTCCTATCATACATCATAGATTGATGTTTCAGTACTTTGTTTTTTGCACGGTCAAGAAAAGTTGAAGGACTGGAAATCTTTTCATTGCAAAACTCCTAAGCTGTACACAAAGTCCCATAAATCAAGTGTCACATTGTCTTTGTTCCAGTAGACATTCCTTCTGTAGAAATGGTGGAGATGTATTTATCCTCAAAACTGTTGAATTAATCTTCTGAAGTTTTCGTTTAAGTCTGTCACAAGGTCGATTTTCCTCCATTTATTTTTGTTGCACAGTCTATTAACATTTTCATGCCAGAAACGGCTTAAAAAAAACTCCGCCTTTGATAGTTAGAAGCAAATGAACCTCAATCTTGTTTGGGACACATTTTCCAAGACCCATAAATGATGACTCGGCCAGGTCAGCAGGTTGTTTTTGCTGGCTTGTCCACGCTCTTCCCGAGATATTTTCCTTGCAGCTGGCCCGAGGCAAGGCGAGAAAATCCAGCAGGAATTTGGCCCCTCGAAGCTCGTCTTTTTGCTCGCCTGGCTCTTTTGTACACAACAGATACTGTCTTTGTGAATTAAAGCTGTTTGTGTTGAGGTGAGAGGAGGGAGTGACCCAGGGTGTTAGCAGCTCAAGGCGTGGCTTCTGCTGTGTCGCCTGTTCACTTTTAATTACATATTCCTGACACTTGAGTCACTCTAACAGACCATGCCCCTCTTCTGTAGTCTCAGTGTTTACTGCGTTTTAACAGCTCTTTACCTTTCCCTCTCTCGTACTCTTACTTCTTTCCGTACAAGTTTACGGAGAAACAGGAAGGAGGGGGCAGCTCTGGAAGCATTTGGCTCAATATTAATTACTGGCATTCATGCCTTTTTTGGCAATTAGGAGTTCCACAAAAGGGCAGAATCTTTACAGGACAGACCGGGCATTCATTGGAGCGAGATCCCTATAGCAACTCGCTGGGATACAAGGAGAAGAAAGAGAGTCAGGTGGCTGGAGGGGTGAAAGGGAGGATCCCACTGTGATAAATGATTATGAACATTTATTGATTTCATTATTATGGAGAAGGGGTCAGGACTTTGTTTGCACCTATGCTGTGTTTGAGCAGAATATTTGTTCGAGAGCTGTGGCTGTCAGTGGGAGACTAATTGGAATAAAGGTGATTGTAACATAATGATAACTTGACCGCAGAGATAGAGGAGTGGGGGTTGGTGTCAGGGTACACATTGGGAGGGGGAGGTAATCCAGGGAGTGAGGTGGCGTCTATAGGACTTTGTTTAGCTGATAGGAAAGGTGAAGAGGTCGTGCCATAGAGGCCAAGGTGTATTACAAAGACTCATAGTCTAGAACGAGACGTTCCCCTTCACTGTACGCTCCACTCTCCCCTCATTTTCCAACTTTTTCCCTTTTCTGTCCGAATATTTGGAACAACATAAGATGTACGGCTAATAGTTATTCTAATGGTTACCCAAACTTTCATAAATTCCAAGAAATTTTAATTTTCAGGGCGTCCAGTTAGTCGAGAACAAACCATGTTTTATGTTTTACTGACAGGTTTGCTGAAGTTGTTGAAAAGGGTGTTATTAAGTAAGTGAGACTCTTAACTCATCGCCTGCCAAGAAGCAATGATTAAAAAGAGGCCAAAGATTAAAATGCGATGTTTTCTCTGTTTGTATTTTTCCCTTGCTCAGCCGTTTACTCCTCGGACTTTGATGAATTTTCATCTCTCAGAGTTAACACCAACGTCTGGGTCAGCACGGGGGAGGAAAAAGGGGGCACGAATGTGGAGCAGGTTTTGGCAGAATGGATTTCACGGCTGTTTCATGCTACATCGCCCATTAGTGTTTTGTTTGGCTCTGGCGTTGCATAATGTAAATTTGAAACAAGGTGGTTTTGGTGTTGGGAGTATTGATTTAAAGGACTCATCCAAAGTCTGCATGCTTGCGCACACAGACACACACACAGACTGCGGTCCGCACCGTGATTTTCCAGGCTCTTAATAATTACCATGAAAACAGTTTAATCTCTGTCAGGCCTGTCAGTCTCCCTGTGTGTGTTTCTAGACTGATTTCAGCTTGTTTAAACCCTCCTGTCATTTATTTCTACACCAGTTAAAATTCTCACATGAAAGGTCCACAGCCTAATGAAACTTAATGAGAGGAAACCCTCATGCTGGCAGCACAAATATAAATGCTGTGTTTTGCTCCTAATTTGGAGGCGATAACATGTATTCCGCAGTTTCTTACTCTCAAAGCTTTTCTTCTTGATTCTTTTAAACACTTTACACATCACTAAAAAGCTAAAAACCTGCATGCTGACATTGTCCCCTCGCCTTTCTGTGCTCGTACACACACTCAGCGGCCGCTCTCTCCCCTTATAACACACACAGAGGATATACAACGTGTCTGTCAGCGGGGTGGCCATTCAGTAAGGAGGCCCCGACAAAACCGCCACTTAGCCTGGTGCTGGGCTGGCACAAAGAGCCCAGGTCAGGGGTCATTTGGAAGGCTGGAGCTCCCCACACCCTTTTCTCATGCTTTTTTTTTCTCTTTCTGTCTCCCCCTCACTCTCTCTTCTTGGAAACTCCTGCTGCCTCCAACCCCCCATCCCTCTCTCTCCCTCCTCCTCCTCCTCCTCCTCCTTCATCCTTCTCCACTCTATTTTGCAGGTCTTCTGGGCCCATTGTCTGAATGGCCTCTTCCACTCCGTCATCCTCTTCTGGTTCCCCCTTAAAGCCTTCCAGCATGGTAAGTAGCTCCCTGAGACTCCTGCGCGGCTTCTCGGCGGGCTCCGTGGATGAAGAGGGAGGACAGTTGAACGCACATACTTTGTCTTAATTACTTCTCTCTTCAACCATCTAGTCATGAATTGCAAACATGTGTCTGCTCCAGCAAGAGTGACACACACATATAAGCCTAAATTTATGTTCGCAGCAGCTCATGCGTCCTGCTGAAAGGCTCTTGCACATAGTTATCCATTCTTACTTCATTTTGACTTGGATACAGACTTTCTCCACGTGACTGTTCAGAGCAGACGATGATACTTTTTGAAAACCTAAATAGACAGCTATCACTATCTGTGTGTTTGCGGGTCAATCCAATTTAGAGAAACTTTTTTTCATCCATAGGTCATTTGTTTGGGTTTGTGCGCATTATTATGCAAGCGTTCTGCCTGTGCATGTGCATGTGTATGTGCGTGAAGAGAGAATAGGGATCTTTGAGCCGGTAAGTCTTGGCTGGCCAGAGCAGGGGGACCACACAAGCTTGGGCCTGCTCTCTAAACAAAGGCGCCAAGCCCCTTCACTCTGACTGACAGGCTGTCAGCAAAGCCTCAGTGCACACAGGACATGTGACCAACCGGAAGTAAAAAGAGAGGGAGCTTCTCTTTCCCTGTTCACTGGCAGCCAAACGCTGTTGATATTTTAGCGTCAACCGCAGCCAAAATCCACGTGGGCTGGTTGGAGAAACATGTCTGTGGGATCTTAATTTCATTTTGATTCATTTAGGAACCTCATCTAACCACTGTTGTAGGAAAAGTTTTCTCAACGGTTGGATTCAGGTTAAATGGAAGAATAATTAACCTTTTTTTTCTTTTAGTAAAACAATCCAGTCCATGCAATCAGCAAATTAACTGGTTTTTAGTCACCATGATTGATGCACACCAATTCTGCACTCGGTCTCATAGTTGGATTTAAGATGAAAAACTCTTTCTCAGTAGTTGCAAGAGACAGAATTAACATTCCAGCCTCTCTCGAAAGGGCGTTAATGGAAGGAGCATTTCCCTGTGTTTGAATTCGGATTCTTTAGGAGAGCATTTTACTCCCGACTTTCACACCAAAATGTACTGAAACACATGTCATACATCCTGCCTTGTTATTGACTCTTTGAGCAGTCCAAGAGAAACATTATCAGCCTAAAAGCTTCTGTTCTTGATTCCCTTCACAGATACGGTTTTTGGCAATGGAAGAACTCCAGACTATCTCCTCTTAGGCAACATGGTTTACACAGTAAGTGCACCAGTCTTCCTGACAGGCAGTGTATCTAGTGTTAAAGGGTTCAGGTATCTGAGCCAAGTCTTATCCAGTTTCTGTGAAAACCCATCAGTTATTCTTCCTTTTAGCAGTATGCTAAACAAGAATATGTGCTGCAAAAGAAGTCAGAAAACCTGATGAACCTACCAGAGCTGATTTAAGTGTTGAAGAGGGGTAGTCTTTTAATGTCAGTATGATTTGTGTCTCCACAGTTTGTGGTCATCACAGTGTGTCTTAAAGCCGGCCTAGAGACCTCGTCCTGGACCATGGTAAGTTCATGGGTCCCTCTTTTCTTGCTAAAGCTTTGCTATCTATTACCAATCCCTCCTTTTTATGTGTCCACCAACACTTGTGACATATTTGTCATCCAACTAAAACCCTTTACAGTTTGCTTGTAAATGTAAACCTGGTGAATAAACATGCACTGTATGGTAAATCCCTCAGGCCACTCATTGTTATCTTTAACCCTGAAGTTCTAAAAATGGTAACAAACAAGACACAAACATACGTGATCGTGATGCTCTGAATACTGCCTCATTGAGCTTTAAGACTTACTGTCCTCTACTTCTACACAGTTCAGTCACATCGCCATCTGGGGAAGCATCGGTCTGTGGGTGGTGTTTTTCATTATCTACTCCTCCCTGTGGCCCCTCATCCCTCTGGCTCCGGACATGTCAGGAGAGGTAAGTACACACATGCTAGTATGTCCTCGTGTACATGTCTGCACATCTGCACGCATCAAAGCTTTAATTTCCTCCGGTACTAAAGAAATTACTGCTACAGAAGTCCATCACCGACAGACCTGCAGTGCCTCAATTCGCTTTCTGCTATAAACCAACAAACTAAAGCTGGTGGGAAAATCCAGAGTCAAGCTTTGCACAGGTCTTTGTAATGGAAGCCAGAGGGGTGTAAAATGTCAGACCTCTGGCTTGTGTTGCATAATGACTTAATTGGGCCAATTAGCTCAGTGTTTGTATTTCATTGCCCTCCCTCGGCTCTGAGTATCCACAGGTGACTTTGAAACAGTAAAGCAGTCTGAACGCAAGCAGAGGTGACGATGTATCTGCTGCATGAATGTTGTGTAAAAACAAATGTGTAAAAAGGATTTAAAAATCTGCATTATTTTTCCGTTATTTACATGTGAATGTGACTACTGTCTTCAGCCACCACAGGTGGTCAGTGGAAGCCTATTGACCACAGGTGATGTTTCCCTGTGCATTCTGGGGCACGAGAATGAGGCAGCCTTTCACTGGAGAACAGCCACACACAGTAGGAGGCTATTCAGAGGAAAACGGCTGGTGATACACAGCTGGCAGCAGAGAAAAACATCTCTTTAAATCTCTGATTCTTTAAGTGTGTCTCCTGTCTGAGGTTATACTTCTGGATTTGAAGATTTAAGTCTCTAATTTGATCACAGTTGGATTTATGTGTAACTCCAAATGTCACAAATTAAAGCTCCTGTGGGGAGTTTTGTGCTATTTATGAAATAGACTGAAAGTCACACTGATGCCTTTTTATGGTAAACAAAAGTAAAAAATACAATCAGTGACAAGTTTGACAACCTTTATTAAATATATTGTACACAACTAGACAATATATTGACCTAGTGACTGGAAAGTAAGATCAAAGTTGGTGTCCATTTTCTGCTTTAATTGTTCCTTATCGTCATGCCATGATCCTTTCAACTAAGGATTCAGGCGATTTTACCAGAGATGACCCGCATTATCAAGAGATGATTTAGACCAAAAACTAATTTTTGTCAAAAAATGACTTTGGCCATTATTTTACAAGGGTGACGACATATAAGGGTTTTGAAGCTATTTTATTTGCATGTTGTTGGGGTTGGAATTGATATGATTTTATCTATATTGATGCCATTGTCGATTCTGCTTATCAATTCAAATCTTCAACGATTCCCTTATCAATGCCTTTCTTTGGAAAAAGTAGACTATAGGTTTTCAATGTTGACTCAAAATTTTATTGAGTCTTTAATAAAAGAAAAAGATGTATGCCACCTAAAGTCTAAAAGTTATCAAACGAAAAACTATTTGCACAGCATTTCCTTGGTCGAGTGTTTGTTACACGCTTCAAACTCAGTTAGTCCACGCCACACAAACTCAAAACTTCCATACAAAACTTGTTGTCAAACTTGTTGTCGTCTTTCTTAGTAAAATGAAGCCACGCTTTAGATCCTTTCTGGATACTTTTCGTACCATTTGTCGTGTTTTTTTCCTCAAACTCTCTGTTTTTGTTCGCATAGACTGCCTCTCACAAGACCGTTTCCAAAACAAGGAATTGTCAAGGGAATCATTCAAATGAAATGTAAACAATGTCGATGGATTGAACTATTTGGAATCAGTTCTGAACAAGAACCGGTTCTCGATTCCCATCCCTAGCATGTTGACAGGCAAATTCGATGACAGGAAGATTGATACCAATTTCGTATCTGTCTGTATATGTAATGTTATGTCTCACTGGCTGCATATGTAAAGAAACATACAGACTTGACACAGGCTCTGGCCGTTGGTAACATAATTTGCTCACTTTTAAAGCGGAGTCATTAAAAGGTCAGGTCTCCTCTGTCTAATCCTCATCAAAAGTGGTAAACGATCAAACAGGGCCTCAGTTAATCAGCTCAGCCTCTGGAAAATAACTGCTGCTTGCATTGAAATAATCCTGCACGTAATCCCTGCAAATCAGCAAAATGTGATTTCCACACTTGCGTTGTTGTTTTTTTCTTCAAAGATTTAACAAATGAGATTTAGTGTGTTAAGCAGTGAGCTTTGGGGGTCCCAGTCTTTAAGCCAAGGTAACCATCAGCTGGTTGCAGCTTCATACTTACAGATCAGCTGTTGTATTTACAAGAAGCTGTTATGTTTGAGGAAGAGGAGATGTTCCTCATCAGATCTGGGACTACTAGTTTTGTTATCCTTCACAGTTTAGAGGTTAGTATTCACATGGCATTGTACTTCCATCATGGCTGGGTAGTGTTAGTGCAGAGTGGATAAATAATTTAACTTACCAACACACTCACACACACACAAAAACTTTCTTTTACTCACTCTTTTATTTGTCAAACACACACACACACACAGCTGATGAGTGTACTGGCTTCCCTCTGCCCAGCCGCTGAAGCTCGCTGCTTTCATCCTCGCCCTGCAGCACTGGACTGGAGACAGTAATGGTGTCCTGTGGGTAGTTTGTAACCCTATGCCCTTGCCCCAACTCAGGGATGCCAGTACATCATCAAACGGGGGACACATCTCTCAGAAACCTGAGTAGGCATCAGAGACTCAGTCTCCACCCCTAAGACCCTGTAGCCTCTAAAGTGCAGAATCCCCTCTGATACAGCTACATATCCTCCATCAGGCCTCCTCGCTGGAGTCCGCAAATATTTTCTGCTCTCTGTCCCCTCATCTTGTTTTCAACATCTTCTTCTCTTTTACTTGTTGCATCAGCTTTTCCCTCTTTGTTCTCTTTTTGTTCGCCCCCGTCATTGTGCCAGTCGAAAAACCGCCTGAGGACTAACAACATAACAGACACCAGAACTCCGCTCTCCTCCTGTTTCTGCTCTCACTCACTGCCCGGCTCACTGCCTTTAACAAGAGACGCTAAGCAGCACCCGGCTTCATGTGAGCGCATTCATCAATGTCAGGCTACATTTTCTTTGGACGATTGACAAGACAGGTGCAGGATCCATCAACAGAACGCACTGAAACAGCTAGCACGCTTTTCACACATACTCCCAAACTGGCTCATCCCGTTTGCACCTATAAAAGTCCAACACAGGTATCAGAAGAGAGTGCCAGATTATTCTGTTCAAGTAGTGTAATCTGCCTCACTAAGCAGCTTAGCTTCACCTCAGGAGCTCTGTCACACTGACCCGCTGCTATCAACACAGACATCTCATAGTGTCCTTTTTTGTGCTCTGCTTTTTACACACACACACACACCTTTGTTGTTTTCCAATTTCAATCTCCCCCTCTTTACGACTCAAGTATTTGACATCAGCACAGAGATTTTTACACTTGGCAAGTATGCATCAACAGCATGTGTTCAGAGATAAGAACCATTTCCTCAGAAAGAAATCTTTTCACAGAGAAGTTTGTTAATGCAGAGCGTGCCAGGAATAAACCCGTGGCGATCTCTGCCAGGCTGTGAGAGATCAGCGAGATTAAGTGCAAACACACTTATTTGTTTATGCTTATGTAGGAAAAATGATCAGATTTTCTAAGCCTAACTGAGTTTGTCTTAAAGATGATTTCCACTCCGATGAAAATCATGTTTTTCTTGTTTGTTGTATCTTCATATGGCATTTTTCTGATGCTACAGGACATATGGGAAAACTAAATGCCAAATTGCTTTTCTGAGTATTTCTTCATCCAAATCGCTGTGAATCTACGGCAGACCCAAACAGCAGGTTCAGAAACAGTGAGATTTCGTATGTAACCAATCCAAGCTCCGCCCCCGCTATGCAGGCCACACTCTGTATATAGAGGAGAAATACAGATGATGATCGCAGAACAAGCGTGTGAGTTAGCGGATTGCATTGCTCGTAAGAAATCTAATTATGATATTAACTTTCGTTGTGTCCCTAAAGACATTCGTGTCAGAGAGCTAAATAGCTCCCTTGTTACCTGCCACTTCTACTCCCTTCTACTCCCGCCTCCTTCGCCTCTGATTGGCTAGAAAAGCTGGAAACGTCATCACACGCTCAAGCCAAACGCGGGCTGTCGGCTTTGTACATTGAACAGAACATTACAGAACATTATCGCACTTCTGAATCGCCTAATCCTAACCCAACGGATGATGACTTTTCACAGCCATTAGGAATAACCAATCGGAGCCCAGCACTTCTAGCCAATCAAAGGTGAAGGAGGGCGGGACCTTCCCCTTCCATCCTACAAAAAAAAATTCGCCACCGGCAATGTTAGGCTGCAAGCTAGCGTGAAGAGGAGTGTGCAGAGCAGCGCTGTCTCCGCCAACGACTCAGAGGTGAACAGCTAATGATCTATTGGAACTCTGAAAAAGAGAAGCACTTGAAAATGACAGGTAACGTGATTTTTGGTAAAAACTTCATAATCACAATTTAAAGACTACTGAGAACACTTTAGGCAGGAAAAACTACGATCGGAGTGGGACTTTAATAGATGTAGACAGGGCTTCAAAATAACCCCCCGTTTTCCTGACACACCCCCTCTTACTTCACACATCCATTGAGTTGTCTTTCCTCAAACTTTGCACACTCTTTGTGACTCACCATACTAGTTTTTTTTACAGTAACTTGCTGTTATTCATCACGTCTAAAAAAAGGAAAAAAAAGGATTGAAACAACAAAACCTAAAATCACTTTTCGTACAATCTTATTGGTCCCATTTGAGTCCCGGTCAGACTATGTTATATTGCTTTGCCTCTATGGGACCGATTTTGGCATATTCATGAGAACTCTGATACTGTTTCAGAGCCTCATCTTTCTATTTTTCTAAATGAAGTCCCCAGATTCTATTATTTTTGTCAGTGATCCACACGTTTCACAAGCTCGTGTCGCATACCCTCTTTCTGCTGTGCTACTTAACTCCATACTGCATCGTAGTGGTAATTCTGCACATTTGAGTCCAAAAACCTTTTTCTTTTTTTTTTTTTCAAAGATTATTTCCTTAAGTTTTTTTTTTCACCCTCAAGGGAGAGGAATGTTTCTGCTGCAAAAGAAACCCGAAACTTGCTTCAGACATGCAATCCATCAAAGCAGACACAAATGCATCTTTCAGTTTTTAAGTCGAGGCTGATTATTGATATTTGCAGTGTACCTGAAAGAGCAGGGTGAGTTGCTGTGCTCTGACATGAAAGATTTGAAAGTTAGGAGTCCAGGTTTCTCGGTACAGCTAAACCATGCCAAGATTGATGCTTTTCTGTGAATGATGTCCTGATAAAAATCCTAAAATCCGGGATGATAAGGAGCATTATGATTTTTTTCTTCTTTCAGACAAAGCCAAAACAAACTTCAGTAGTTAGATACAAGAACACATTGAAATTTTATTAGCTTGGTAAAAAGCTCTTGGCTGTTAACCTTCAGCTCACATTTCTTTTTCTTTTTTTTAGTATAAGCAACCGTATATTTACTGAAATCTGTGAATAATGCGTCTTTGATTCTTGCAGTTTGGGCCAAAACAAGCTCCTTACCCGTGTTGCATCACTGGGTCAATTTCAACCTTGATTTTCTTAACTTTTAAAAGACCTCACAGAAGAAATACTGTACCCTGTTCATCACCGCTGTTGACTTAGTCCCTCAGTCCAGCTCTAAGAATCCATTTGTTCCCTCACGAGCGGGTCGTACGGGAGGTTTTGTTACACTCACGTACCCAGAACATTTTTAATCCTCCCTCTGCTAATGATTCATACACTCCATAACACATGGCTGGTGTAATAGCTGACCATGGTGTACGGTATTAGCGCAAAACAACAGTTTTAATCTGCTGTACACACACTCTAAATCACGAGTGAGACCGCTGAGTTAGCAGTGTTTATGTTGAGAGTTTTTCCTCTGTTTTCCTAGTCTGCTTCTTGCTGTCTTTGTTAGGCAACACGCAGAGCGCATGGAGTGCATGAAGGACCCAACTGAGAAGTCCTTGTTTGTTTTACACATTGACCTCTTTCAGGGTGGTTATCGGCTGATTTGTCTCTGCTCATAACTTCAGGGGAATCTGAGGGTTTTCCTTATCCAAGCAAGGCTCCTACTTTGCTCTTTTCATTTGTTTTTTTTATGCCATTTGATCTTTTCTTGTTTTTTCTTCTGCTGAGGATGCTCTCTTCTTGTCATCCTCTGTTATCTGACTCTTGAATGTTGCCTTTTTAACCATAAGAACTTTGAACTTTGTGTTTCAGAGACATTTTAATGATGAGTGTATCCTTGTTTGGCCAAAGTTTTTGTCTTTATCTCTCAAAGTCTGCGTGTAGAAAGTTGTGTGGTGAAGCCAGTTTTAGGGAATCAACATAGATTTGGCAAATCAAACCAAAGTCTCAGAGGAGATTTAGTTTAGTCTGATCCCTCTCCTCCCAGTCTACTTATTAAAAATGTCGTACAAAGAAGCTCTGTGGATTCAGGAAGCTGATGTTTGAATATTAGCATCTCTGGGATGTTGTACAGCTGGCAGAGAATATAAAGGTGGTTTTTCTTAGTCCTGTTTGCTGAATCCAGAGTATACTGTAGGCCTGTGGGGTGAATAGTGAAGTGGTGGATTAACTCAATTTACATTTACCATGACAATAGCAGGCATTAACATAATTAAATCTGCTGAGACTACAAGCTTACTTAGGGGAAAGCAACTGGGTGTCAAATTCCGCTGATTACCTCTTTCTGCAAGAATGCAAATACTTGGACATGAGTTCTTGATATGATCCCACAAAGTCTTGAGAAGTTTGAGGATTTATAAAGTTGAATCTCTAATGCTTATCTGTCAAAAGCAGATTTGCTGATGCTCATACCGGGTTCCAGACTCAGGTAGATACTGTGCCATGAAGCTGCGAGGTACAGAAACAGGTCATCCTGTTGGCCCTGAACAGAGTTGATGGTTTTGTTTTGTAACCTCATGATCAGCCGACTTATAATGTTCATTGTTTCATAAATAAGAAGAAATATTAAAAACACAAACGTCTTACAGCAGTTTACATGTTCTTGTTTGTAATCGCCTCTGTCAGTCTAGTCCGTATCTTGTTGTGTGTGTTCCCATGGTGGGGGTCAGCAGCCTGTCAAAACACCAGCCTCCATGCCAGCAGACACTACTGTCTGTCCGGCCAGACAAGTTTATTAGTGTGTCCTAAAAATACAGCCCCGCTCCCTGGACCTCTCTCACCCCGTCTAGCTCCCAGGGGTCCCCTGGTATGAGACCTTGCTAGTGTCCACCAGAGCTGCTCGCCCCGCTCATAGTCAGACGGCCCGTCCAGATGCCTGAAGACAAACATTTGTTGATCATAAGCATTTAGATATGTAACTATGGTGTCAAATTAAATCACTGTAAACTGTAACTATCACTCATTGTGTTATGAATTAGTGGTTTTCACAAAGTAAGTAAGAAATATTTTTAGTTTTTTTAAAATTACTAATGAATTTTATTATTAGCTGGAGGTTTGGTGCATCTGTCACATATGTACATTTATTTGGATTGGAGCTACATATGAGGAAAAAGACAAATATTTTTCATAGATTAAACATGTGAATGACTGAAATGGTTTATTTCTCAAGCGTCCTACTCTTTGATTTAGTATGCCGAGTATACATTCCTGGTTTATTTTCAAAAGACTCTGAAGACAGCTTAAATGTCCCCATCAAAATGCATAATAGACTGGATGAAAAGGAAAATAATTAAACTGACTTGCAACTAAAAAAAAAAGCAAACAGTAAATGTTTCCACCAGGGCTGCATAATTTCCAAAATTGACATGAAAATATCCTGCGCTGCCACGCAATTTTCCATCATCTCATCCATGTTCAGCCTTCAGGGGACAAAGAATCGCTCTGTTCGTTAATGTCTCCTCTCAGGCTGCAGAAAAATAAGCCTTTTTTGATTTCCGGTCGTTTGGGGTTTCCTCCCGCTCCGATGTGTTGTTAGACATCAAAGTCAATTTGCAGGTAATAGTGAGCGGATTAGCTAATTTGAGCAAAGCTAAGCGCTTTGATAGTTTTGACACTGATTTGTGCATGTGTGTGTTTGTGTCCATGTGTGTGTGCATCCTAAGGGCCCTGCCTGTGTCACATTACAGGAAGGACACTGCTGAGAGGCCCCTGCTGTTTAAACAAGTGGCACGTTACAATGCAGGGAGCGCAAGTTTTGCACTTGGACATGTAATGACAGATAGTTTCAGTGCAGCGACCCAAAGCAAACATCGCCCTGACACAGAACGCTGAAAGCTTTCGCCTTCACCAAGAACATCCACTGTCTCCCCTCCACTCTGCACCCAAACCCACCTTCTTTATCGCCCACCGCTTTAGGTCTTCCCATTTAAACCATCACAGTTCCCTGCCCACGACTAATGACTCCTATTTTTCCTGCATTGACAGATAGCAGAGTAGAAGCTGTTTCTTGACTTGTTTGGGATCAGAGTTGGACTGAATTCAAATGTGTTTTTCTTCTAACAAGATGGATGAGTCTCAAAGCGGATAACAGCTGTCATGTTTCTGGATTTATTTCGCTCGTGAACTCGATGTGAACATTTGTTACATACAGCGTGAAAGATAAAACATCAGTTTATTGTCCATATTTCAGACGACGTCAGGCGGGGCTATGTGGCGACACCGAAGATCTTCTCTGAACTTTGAATCAACTTGGCGAACAATAATAAGACGTAGGGGGAAAAAAGATTTCTCTGAACACGTTTATCAATATTTCTTAACATCTTGAAGCCAAGGTGCACGTTTGACTATCAAACTTTCATAGAAATAACAAATGCAGAGGAGCGAACTTTACTTCCCACAATTCATTTTTATGTTTTTCTCTAACAAACGATTTTTCACATTTTAGCAGTTATTCTTTCAATGAATCACCAAATGATTAAAATGCCAGAAAATACAAGAGCGGGGGGTTTTGTGGGGGTGTAGTTTGTGCTTTCTGCTTTCTGACAATCCTGACATCCCAATATTAAAAGGTGTAAACTATCCTAGATAAGAGTGTGAGTGATCTCATCAGAACTGATAATAATGTCATTTACTATCAGTTATCAGCTCAAATTTTCATATTAAGCATTTAATGGTTTTTCCAGATGACTTATTTTACAACTAGAACATTAAAAACTTATAATCTCTGTGACTGATTTACACTTTGAACGATTAAATCTTTTATTTTTTCCACTTATAACTCCAAACATTGAAGTTTAGGTTTATGACAGACACAAGGCGCTTATCAATCGCAGGAACTTTCCCCAGGAACTTTGTGTTTGTCGCAGGAACTAGGGTCTAAATTTAGTTCTGGGATAGAAGATCTAACTCTTAAAAAGCCTCTGCTCAGGGGGGAGTACTTTCCAATCGCCCAAGGACTTAGGAAGGCAGGGCCTGATGATTTCATTTACATTAAAAGAACAGGTCGTCAATTTACATGTAAAATAAGGTAATACACACACAGATTCTCTGGAAGAGAGATTCTTAGTTATATCCTACATACACTGTTATTTGAACAGTAAAACTATGCGTAAACATGAATTTTGTTTTGTACATTTTTACATTTTCAGACCTGATAATAATTTTAGGTTTAAGTTTTTATCTCATCAGGTAACAATCTTTGTAAGTAAGTAAGTAAACTTTATTTGTACAACACTTTTCACAGACAAAAGAGTCACAAAGTGCTTCACATAGACAAAAATAAAAATATACATACAAATTAAAAGGCCAAGACAACAACATTAAACCGTCATGGCAGCCCCAGAAACACTAAAACGAAGGCCTGAGCAAATAAATAAGTTTTGAGTTTTAAAGGAGTCAACAGAGTCAGTTAAGCACATTGAGAGAGGAAGCTCATTCCAAAGCCTGGGAGCAACAGCCTGGAAGGATTGGTCACCTCTGGTCCGAAAACGAGTGCGCGGAACCATCAGCAGATTCTGATTCACGGACCTCAGAGCCTTTCTCACATTATAGGTTGATCTACAATTACTCACAGACACCAGCTGAGCAGAGAGAAAGCTAAACAAGCAGAGACACTAAAGGGTAACAGTGAAAGAGCAAATATTTCATGTAGCCTGATGTTATTGAATAATTAAAAAAGCTTGCCTAGTGCCAACAAGGTTTGCGACGACTTCTTTGTAGAGGAAATTCAGCAGAGGCTCAAATAAAGAGCTGTGCAAGTTAGTTTATTCACAAATACCATCCCTGGATGTCACTGGCCTGATTTGCCTTATTTATAAAGGGCTCTAGGCTCCCTCTGTCCAATCTGAAGCTCATACACATGCTTTCCTGATGTGGTTCTTGTGTATAACCAATTCATGGTTTTCTAAGTAAATATTCTTTCCCAACACTGTCACTCAGAGAAGCATTAAACCCTGATAATAACAGCTTTCCTGCTTCATCGACACCCTCTTTAAGTGGGTGACTGCTGTATTGTGGTGATCCCCTCAGATCACTGCTCTGTGTCTCCTGTGATGCACTGACAGGAGCTCTCAGCACAACAAACAGTCGAGCTGTTTTCCTGTGAAAGAGATACTGCAGTCTAAACACTTCACAGGTACTTCCTCCTCCCTGCAGGCTGAGAAGAGGAGGACTTCCAAACAAAAACATGGTATCATTTAGTCACGGAGGATTAACCCACTTTGAGCAGGTTATTTGGACCCATCTCCTCTCTATTTCCACAATATGCCTGTTTGTTTTGGGCTGCCTCTGTGGTGTATGGTTTTCATTATGCGGCACTACGGGGGATGATAGTGGTGTTATCAGGTGTTCCTTCTTTTGAAGAGCTCCTCTTGTTATCTGATCAGCTGTTAAACTCTGCATTGTCTATACTGACTTGAGAGTAAGTGTGTGTATATGTGTGCTTGTGTGTGACAGGCGGACATGATGTTCAGGTCGGGGGTCTTCTGGATGGGCCTGGTCTTCATCCCCGTCACCTCGCTGGTCTTTGACGTAGCCTACAAAGTGTGAGTCTCTTCTCGCTCATCATGGCTCCAGCACAGGAAATTCCTCCTGAAGCTCTCGTATCTCTTCAAGAAATTCCTGCTCCGCTTTTTATTTGTACAGCCTTCCAAGAAATTCTAGTTTTACCGTTCTATGATTGCTCTGTGGGAAATGTTTTAGGTCTGGTTGACATCAGCCCACAGCAGATTTAATGTGTCAGGAGCAATTTGCAAAGCTAGAAGTTTCATTTCCTGAGTTTGAATATTTGACCATCATGTGTGCACCTTTTAGGATATCAAAGCATCTGTCCCGTGATTATTAAACAAAACTGTTTGTATTACAGAGTGAAGAGGGTGTGCTTCAAGACTCTGGTGGATGAGGTGCAGGAGCTTGAGGCTTTGTCCAAAGACCCTGGAGCAGTGGTGCATGGAAAGAGGTGCGGCTACACCCTACAACAACACCTTTGTCTTTGCTCAGTGGATTTAGTTTCATATTTTTCAAGCACATATTGTTTTCATCTTGGAGTTTAGCAAAAGAAAATTTTAGTTTTATGTAAAACAATTGATAAAGAAGCAGTTTCCTTACCTAGACCTGCAAGGGTAGACGATCCAATCCACCTTATTTATATAGCACATTAAGAAAAACTTAAAATTAAGTTTAGCAAAGTGCTGCACAGCGCAATAAAATGAGTTAGAAACACACAAAAAATGAAATTTTTAAAATAAAAGAATCATAATAAAAACCACATAAAAACACTTAAAATTAAATTTTCAGGCAGGATTTAAAAAACGTTAAAGCTGGTCGACGATCTAACAAATGTAATAAAAATACAAATCCGTCTTGGATTATAAGCCATATACCTCGATTGATTGTATTTTCTTTGATATTAATATACGTAAATGCATACAGAGTCCAGGGATTACTTATCTTTAATCTTTCTTTTGGATTGACAACCCAACCTGCACCAAATCTACAGTATACACTGAGTGAGTCACAGAGTTATGAATGGTAGAATAACATGTCAAATTCTCACTGTCACTCTCCATTAGTGTCATCCTATAGCCCAACAGTATCATAGGAGTAAACGCCTTGGCAGTTCCTCTTTGGGTACAGAAAATATAAGTTAAGCTCAGAGGAAGAATCATCTTTGACCTCTCAAAGCCCTCAAATTTACACAAATACTCACATCCTCTCTGCCAAAACTATTCCTATGTGGAAGCGAGGAATCTTAAAATTGCTGCTAAATTGCAGGAGTTTGACCGTAATGTCAGTAATCATGTCACAAGAGTAGATGTCTCATTTTAGAGCAACAGTCCTCTGATATTAAAGCCATATATTACACAAACTCAGCCAGCAGCACTCAGCCCTCTGAGGCCTGCAGCAGCATTCAACACCAGAGCAGATCAGTGTGAGATCTCCTGCTGGCTGAAAGTGATCCCCCTGCCTGGCCACTGTCCCGGACCCAGCAGGCTGCGGGGCAGACACACACACAAACACACACAAAAATGCAAGTCTACAGGAATAAATGGGTAGAGAATGTGGAACGCAAACACAATAACACAAAGATAGATGCATACTGCTGGATTTAAAGACACATACTTGGGCATGGAGGGATGTTTGTTAGTTTTACACGCTGCTTTAGAGTTTTACTACACTCATGAACACACACGCGCTCTGTTCTTTCACTGTTTTGTCTCTCTACATGGTGTTTGGACCAGCAGGTACAGGCAGTTGGCAGGCCCATCTACTCTGGAGGGGCTCAGAAACAGGCTTGATGTATGGGTCATTAAATCTGCCTGTGGTGCTCAGCGTGTTGCTAATACACTGCGTGTTTCTGTTGTTTCTTTTTGTGTGTGTAGTTTGACGGAGAGGGCCCAGCTCCTGAAGAACGTCTTCAAGAAGAGCACGGTCAGTTTGTACCGCTCCGACTCTATGCAGCAGAACCTGCTCCGTAAGTTACACCAAGTTTCTTCTCTTTTTTTTCCCTCTCACATCCTCTCTCACAAAAAAAAAATCCCCAAACAAGAAGTCTGTGTAGTCAAACTCAAAAGACTTAAGTTTGTCCGTGTTAGATTTATCTGCTTCCAAACCTGCTCCCTCGTCAGGGGAGCAGATCCAGCATCATTTTTCCTCCTCTGACACAAAGTGAATTGGTAAATCCTCTAGAGTAGCTCACCCTTGGTCTGTGTAGGGAGACAGAAACCCTCTTTTCATCTCACCTCTCTTCATAAATACTCTGCATTCAGCTGATGCAGGAAACACGCATCAGAAACTGTGTCTGCAAGCAGCCTCATAGTTCACTAAGACTTAACCTGCAGTATCTCCACTCAGCAAACTGCAGACGTGAGCTGTTCAATGAGTTATTATCATGGACAGTTGGAGATACAAGCACATATAGAGGATCTTATTTTTATTTTTTTACCGAAACTTACCAGGTTCAAACTACAATTTCGCTAAATTGGGCTTCATTCAGAAATTATGAGTGGTAGATGTTCTGTAGGTCAGTGATAGGTTCTTAGCTGGTTTCAATGTTAGTATTGACCCATAACGTGTGCAGTTATTTAATAATAAATAACATAATCAGCTGTGAGCTTCCCTCTTTCTTATTCCTGTTGAGGCCCTCCTAGAGGGATAAGAAACGGGCTGATAGCGGTAACAGTCTCAGGTGTAGCATATAAACAAAATTATGAAGGTTACACAAAAAAGTCTTTAGTATCTGTATCATTACACAACAGAAACGTTTGGTAGACTATATCAACTAGTCATTTGTAAACTTAAAGGGATATTCTGGCGTAAAATTAATTTAGGGTCAAACAAACTGTAACACCGAGTTAGACACCCGCTCGAGAGATGAATGTTGCCAACCGCTTGCTTCTCGAGTAAACACAACTCACCTACTCTCTTCCAGCAGCCGCTTGTTTGTAGCGAGACCTCAGACCAGTCCATTACGGACTGCAGCTGGGTGACGCAGCTCAACATTCATCTCTCGAGGGGGTGTCTGGCTCGGTGTTGTGGTGTGTTTGACCCTAAATTAATTTTGTGCCAGAATATCCCTTTAATAATAGTATCTCCTTGTTTAGTTTATTACATTTTGTCACTGATTGGATTCAGTGGCACCAGAAGAAGTTTCACAACAGGTTTAAAGTAGGACGAGGGAGTAAACACAAGCACAGCTGTAATTACTATAAAAAGATTTTAAAAAATCACAGGCCCTCTGTATAATATCAAAATAAGACATTCTTACTGCAGCATCAGTGTATGCTCTCTCCAGATATCCATCTTGTTTGGGTGGTAAGTAAACAAGAGGGAGTAAATGAGTGTCAGCTAAGTTCAGACTGAGTCCCACAGATGTCCCTCTGATTCTCTCAGCATGGGTTTGTTCATTTTTTCTCTCTTCTGTTGTGTCCTTTTGTCTGATCAGTTTGCTTTTTGTTTGTCTCATAGGTGGGGATGAGACCATTGTTGTGTGATACCTATTCTTTAAATTTCATAATTCAAACCCCACCCACCCTTCTTGATACTCCAGCCCACTCTAGCTCCCAGATAGACCTCTCTTCCTTCATCTCTTTCCATCATTGACTTCCTCTCCTTCCCCTTCGTGTGACTCGTGTGTCCTGAGTTGAGCACAGTAGGTCGAGATAACCATGAAATGATGAAATGTTGCGCTGTTATTCCCTCACAATGCACTCGACTCAGCGGGGTCCTTTGAACTTACCCGCTGGCCTCCAGGTACAGGGCGAGTCATTTGACACCTGAAGGTGAGTCAGGGGTCAAAGGTCAGAAAGGAACCCTGTTGGAAAGTTTAGCTGGTAGAGCAGAAGTACAGATAAAACTTTTGGGGGAGCTGTGTGTAGTTTTTGAAACTCCTGATTTGTTCATTATTTTTCATCATGTTATTTGTTTTAAAGGAATAGTGCGACATTTTGGGAAATGTTCTAATTTCTTTCTTGCAGATGACAAAAAATAGAAACCACTCTCTCTTGCTCTGTTAGTATGAGACTAAGATGAACTCTAGGCTTATTCCATCAACTTTGGGCAGCACCTTTTATTCATATAATGCAGCTCAGCATTTCCAAACCTTGGCATCTTTCTTTTGTTGTTGTTGTTGCTTTGCTCTCAGCTGAAACTTGGAACAACTCTGTGCTTGTCAAACTCACTTTTAACCAGCCAATCAAAATCAAATCAGGCATGACTTCTTCAGGTTTTAATTCTGCCAAACAGGAATGTAAGAAGAAAGACTGCTGCTAATGTCAGGACGGATCACTTTAATCTCGTCTCCATTTTCTTTGAGTCCTTTTTAAAACGATTATTAAACCTACAGAGCGATTTGAAACGAAGTTAATGCGCTGCAAAGGGGAGTGGGAGTGTCTCAAGACAATTTTAGTGCTAGTAGGAGGTCACTGTAAAATAATATTATCAACAAATACAAGCGTTGTGTTTGATTAAGAGCCATCCTTTTTGGCAAAAACGTTTTTTGGCTGATGCGACAACTTTGTTCACTTTCTTGTAATTGCAGAAACGGTAGCTAGCGGCTTCCTAGAAATAACTCTGGACTGCTTCTTGAAAAACAGTTTCAATATGATTTTTTTATTTTTTATTTTAAAGCCAGAGACAAAATTGTGAGGCTGAGGTTTTGAGGATGATGGAAATCTCTCTAAACTGCTGCTGAGTAGAGTTTTGCATTTTTAAAACATTGCTGCTTAATCCACTTTTAAGAGAAATGATCACTTTCCTCTCTGACTTGAAATGCTGGTACAGGTTTGATCTCATCTCAAAAAGAGAATTTTTCTACATGTGTCTTATTTTAGATTTTACCATACAGGCATCAGAGTGGTATCTATTTTTGTCATCAAGCCTTTCACAAGAAAGCAAATTAAAACATCCTCTAAAATGTCTAAAACTATTTCCTTGTCCATATTTAAAATTTTTAGTTTATTCAGTTTCTGTATGTCTGTTTGTTTTACTTTTACATCATTTCATTTTAACCCCTGACCCAGTTGATGTAAGTTCCTAATGCGTCGATCTTTTTCGCAGATGGCTACGCCTTCTCTCAAGATGAAAACGGAGTGGTGTCTCAGTCCGAGGTCATCAGAGCGTACGACACCACCAAACAGAGGACCAACGAGTGGTGAGCCGTCGGCCAACCCGGTGCCACAATCGTCGTTTCTGATGGCGACATTTGAAGCTCAACGGGGCACGGAAAAGGCAAGAGTGTGCCTCCTGCACTGAGGGGATTTTTGGACGTGAAATGGACAGAGTAGAGTTACATATTGTCTTTGAAAAAGGGAAGAAAAAAAACAAAACAAAACAAGGAACAAAATGAAATGTGTTCACTATCAGCTGTTGTAGTTTGTCCAGCAGACATGATGAGCACTGTGCTTTCTTTAGCAGTCTGTGGTCTGAAGTTCTTCACTCTTCTCGCTCACTTCCTAGGAGTGAACGTCTCCTCGTTACTGAATATAAACTCATTTAACTGAATTGAATTTTAAACACTGTCAGTTCGAACACTGGAGGATGATTTGTTTTAGAGATGTTAAAATTGTAAAGATTGCCAAAGAGCAGTCGTGTATACAATCTTCCAAGTACTAGTGAATTGGGGAAACCAAATGTAATCACACTCCTGAGTGTATTCCAGCACTAAACGGACCACTTCAGAGCAGACATTAGTAATATTTTAGTTTTTTGCACTCAAGGAGCATCTCTTGTGTAAAGCCTTACATTTGCTCATGCCTTCATCCTCGTCATTTTTTAATTTCACTTTTAAAATATGTAGATATCGTGCCTGGTTTTATTTATTTTGATTTTTTTTTTTTTCCAAAGAAGTTGCCTCCTGCAACCTACCGTAGTCCTGTTTCCACCGCTTTTTTACAGCAGAAGCATTGCTCTCGACAGATAATTGCATTCCACACATCACTCCAGTCTCAACAATCACAACGGTGCCTACGTCAAACTTCTCCCTCATTGAAGAAGAATCAGATAGCCAAGAGTAGTATTAGCCAGCTAGCTTAGACCAGTGCTCCACACACACACCCACACACACCTGCTGAAGACAAAACCACTGTCTCCCCATCACGGTATTGCACTCGAACAATGTGAAAACTACAGAGTGCCTTGTGGCACATGTGTAAAGCAAGATTTGTTCCTGCAGAGGTGAACTGGACGCTCCCTGACGGTCTCTTTGAAGCTCACAGCGGTGATAGTGAATCCCTCAAAATGGAGATTTTATCCCTCTAACATAAGTGCCATTAGCTTAAGGGAGAGTGAAATATTAGCCAGGAACTCCACGACGATATCAAACTACTTTGTCTCTATAGTTATTTTGTGGATTTGTATTTTTATATTGGAGACGTATGACTTTTGCATTGACTGGCTTTGTAATGAACTGTCACTGTAACTCTTTGTTTTTTCTTCCTCGGATAAACTGGCAGGTTAGAATAGATTGAATGAGGAAAGTGAGCTTTCTTAAATGTCTTGTTATTATTAATATAAATATTGTTACAGCTTGATTTATTTATAATTGACTACTTAATGTCTGTGTAATTGCTTTCTTCTCCCTATGGGAGATCAGATTTCTGACGGTGTGTGTGACAGCGTGTGTCAGTTTATTGCCTGCATGTGCATGTGCTGTATGTGTGTGTGTGCGTGTGTCACCTCTACTGTGTCTATGTATGCATTGCATGTCTGTGTCCTCTATGTAAGACTGGGACTTGCTTTCTCCCGGTCCTCCTTGTGTGTTTCTTTAAATGAGTGTGAATGCGTGCGTGCGTGTGTGTGTGTGTGTGTGTGTCCGTCTGCACGACTCCAGGTAAAGCTATGGTGTTCTGCTGTGTGCTGATGCATGGCCCTGTACGGGACAGTGTGTGGTATGATTGTGTTTGCGTGTTTGTAGTCAAACTCTCGGCCTGGACTGTGAGAGTTTTTAACGCTCAGCTCGCTTCGACAGGAGATGTTGCACAAAGCACTCGATGTACCTTTCCAGTAGTGAATCTCTGGTATTCTCTGCTTTCAGTATGATTTCTCTTCAGTGTTTGTAACTTTTTTCTACATGCAGTGTTCGGCTGCTTTACAGGAACGCTCTTTTGTGTTAAGTGAGGGTTTTTGATCTCTTTCTCGCTGGTCTTTTGCTGTCAACAGTTTAATTGGTCGTCATCTTGTCGAAAAAGTTTCCAAACTGCTGAATGTGGATGTCATTGTCGTCGTGGAAGGCTTTTGGACTGTTGCTTTCTTTTCCAGAAAACATAAAAACACACGTTGATGTCTGTGAAAGTCGTGGGCTGCATGAATGGATCACACAAACTGTTCTCTCAAATGTTAACTGTTACTACTTTGATTCTCCCTCGAGTGTTGATCACTTCACAAAAGAGGAAAAAAAACGCACCTTTAACTTTTCTGTTGGATATTTGTTTCTTTTCTGTCATTTTGTTCAATGATTGTTCTGCATGTTGGGACTGCAAACTTATAAGTGTTGTCTTTTACTGCCATGAAGGACTACTGAAATAAACTTTACAACATGGAGGAACGATGTGTATATGCGGGAGAGTTTGTAATGATAGTGTGTGAGGACAAACAGGACGTACACCACACTGAGAACCTAAACAGGAAGAGGCGGGGGGAAACAAATGATATCAATACTGTCCTTATTTGTTATGACTGTTGGGTTTCCCAGACTCTCTGGGATCCCAAACACACAAGTCTGCTCAGGTTACAGATGAACACGCGGATTCAGTGACCAGAGCAGATGTGGGTTTGATGCTCATGATTACAAACTAATTGTTTAAGTGAATTTAAGTCAGGGCTGTCACAGTATCAGACTTGAATCTCATGATTATCCTGACCATAAAATATCACAAACATCTTAAACTTGCATGTCCGAATCCAATCCTAACGATGTTCAAATGTGTGATTAATCAACACCAACAGCTCCATGACTGAAACTTGTTTGAAGAAGACATTACCTCATAAATGATTGTTTGTCAGGCTTTTCTGCACTGCATTTAGGTTGCTTCGATTCCCTCATGGTAAAGCTCCAATCACTGACTCAGACACAGGTCGTCTTGGTGATAGAAGACTCCTGCTCGTCCAGTTGAGATTCCAGTCTGCAAGGATAAACCCACTCTATGTGATCTCTTTCATCTTTCAGAGCTGTTGCTTCACCACCTGTTTCAGGAAGAGTGCAGAGCAGTTATGTTGAATAAAATGAGAGATATGTAACGGTACGTGTGCCTTAATGCTTGATCAAAGCTGAACTCTTTCAAACATGCATCTGCAAGTCCTGTTTGGGTGGAGAGGAAGGTGGAATACAAACAGGAATTTGTAGCACACATGAAGATAGGAAATGCCATCTGCTTATTTCATGTAGCATTTCAGTTGTACTCGGAAGTCGGAATTTCCGAGCTTCAAGTCAGAAATTCATCTGGAGCGCCCCCCTGAAGTCGGATTTCCAACTCATGAAGTCTGACGATCCTCACCAACCCCGATGCAATAACAACGTCATAATCCAAGATGGCAGCGCAGTGCATCAACAGTGAAGAGTAACAGTGAGAGCTCTTGTAATGTATTATTTATAAGCACTTCTGTTTTGTTTTTGTAAAATTAAGTAAGTGGTATATGTTGTTCTGCCAACTTCTAACTGTGAATACGGTGCTATGGTGTTTGTAACAGTACATTCAAAAGATTCGTTCACCAAATCACTGAATCATTTAGCGGGAGGAGCCTGTGACTCCGACCTCCTGAACTGATACACAATTGAACGGTTCAAGATTCAGTTCAATTCATAGCTTTTGGGACCAGAAGACGAGAGTGTTTGGCTGTGTTTCTTTGGCAAACAGGTTTGTAAAAATGAACTTGTTTCCAAATCATGTTGTTTTAAGTGTACTGTCCTATGGTATGCTATTTATCAGGTCTGCTCAGTAAATTGGGCTCAGTGAGCGATTAGTTCACTGAAAGTTTAGAAGAATTCACACTGATCATGCACCGTTCCCTCGCAAACCGCTGCAATGATAGGATGCTGCAGGTTTAATGCACTACTTGTTAAAAGCTGTGTCCCATTGTATGCAAGTTGTTGTGGAGACAATTTAGGAGTGAAAACAAAAAAGGTAGTTTTGTCTGACAAAAATGATTCCAGAGAGTGTAGTTCAATGCGTGATTCGTTCACAAAGTGATTCAGGCATCGGTGCGTGCGGTCCCTCGTTTGTCGGCTGCTGGCCTGGCAATGCTGTTTCTCACTTCAGCACAACTGAAGTGAGAAAAGGAACGAATTACTCAAGGAAAGGATTCGGTTCTTTTGAACGAATCGTTCACGAACGAAACAAAGCTACCACATAAAAATTACAGCTGCTTGAGCCGAGCGTCATCACAGCGACTGTCGGTGACTCTCGCTGAACGCGCACAATGCTACTGCGCAAGTGTTGGTATCAGGAAGTGGAGAAAAACCGCGGAAATACCAGGAGCTTCTCGGCGTCAAATCCGTATACTGGCGGTAGGTGTAAATAAATTGTCCGTAGTATATACAGTCTACGGGTATTGCTAACAACAGCTGACAACTGCTAACAATAACCGACAACGGCTAGCGACAACTGACAACGGCTAACGACAGCTAACAGTAGGCATCCATCTTGATTTTCCGACTTGTTTACTGGAACGCCGTCAACTCGGGTGTAACGTCATTCCCAGCTCCAACTACCGAGGTAACTGGACATTACTAAGAGGATTGGTGTTTTTTTCTTTGGTTTAAGTTGAATCAATCAGGGCTCATTCTACATGGGCAACTTGTGAAAGAAAATTGAATGTTCATATAACTTGTTTATGACTTACAATGAAACGTAAATGGTAAAACACAAGACATGGGAATCCGTCAAATCACCAATCATGGAGGTTGTATTTTGTGATGTTTCAGTCCAGTGAAAATGGCTCAAGGTTTGAAGGACCTGCAGAAAGCTCTGAGGAGACACTGATTGCCAAGTCTATTTCACAGTCAGATAACCAGAGAACAGGACGCTCTTTGTGGGGATTCTGCCATACCTGTTGGTGCAACCTAAACCTCTGTTTCTGGGCTGAGTTGTTTTTAACACTGTGGCCATGCCACGCTCATTGAACACTGACAATGACTGATCTCAGCGCTACATTCCTGCTGTGAAGTCTGGCGCAAGAATGAGCGACAGGTAGGGAGCCCGACTGCTCCGGTTTCCTTTTTGTCTGAGGGCTGATGAGTCTTCTTTCAGAGCACATATTTTTTTTCACTTCTTGTCATTTATCAGACTCTTCTCCACATAAATCAGTGCACAAAAAGGTACTGAAAGACAACTTTTATTGGCTGTAAATTGGAGAATCATTATGACAACCCCGCTCTGGCTATAATGTCTATACAACAAGTTATAAGACTCCACATTCCCCGCCAAATTAAAACATCAGTTGGTCAGGTCCTCTTCTTTTCTCAGAGGTCCATGCGATTGTCGAAAAACACAAGATTCCCTGGTTCCTTACAACTATTTCTAACACTTGAACACCAGTCTGTACCGTATGCTTGTACAGGACTTTTAGAAGGTGTAGGATAAATTGGGGAATTTAAGTCCGTCGCCTTTTAAAACAGTACGTATAAAAATATAAAGAGGGCCCGTGAGGTCTGTTTACAATATAAGATAAAAGTGCACAAGATTCAGAGCTGTCCCTGCGTCCTACAGGTCTGTTTGTCCTGTGATGCAAAGAGGGGAAGCGCCTCAGGCTACGCTGCTTAACCAAGGCTGCTTTGTTGTACTCTGTCACTCTGTGTCCTTTCAGTCAGCCCAGGCCTTCAGCCCAAACACCACCAGCTGTGTTGCAGCATGGTTATCCTTTCCAGCACCATCAGAAAATCTTGTAATCCCTCTGCTGGGGTCCCTGTCAGCTCTGTCCGAAGTCAGCAAAGCCCTTAGTGGCTGTGAAGGCGTCAGGCTGCAGGGGGAAGAAGTACTGCTGCGGGAGGAGGAACCCAGCACTCTGTGAGGGGTGTGAAGGGTGTGAGGGCTGGTGGAGCTGCAGCTGCGTGTGGGTGGTGGGGTGCTGGATGCCTCCTGACAAAGGTGGAGATGTGTAAGGGGGAGGCGGAGGCGGAGGTAGAGTCTGAGGAGTCTGGGTGGGGGTGGAAGCCGAGGAGGAGACAGTTGCAGACACAAGGCATCCATGCTGCTGCTGCTGCTGACCCCCGAGAGAAAACCTCCTCATGGAGCTCCCGCCCCCAGCTGAGCTGGAACTGGTGGTGGCCGTGCTAGACTGCCTTGAAGGGGCACGGAGGCTCGGTGGGGCCGTGGTGAGGATCATGGGGATGGTCTCCCCCTGGCAGCTTCGCAGGGAGAAGCGAATGGGCTGCTGGGTCGGCTGCTTGGGCCTCAGACAGGTGCAGCAGTAGACCGCCACCAGAGAGCCAACCACAACGAAAGCAACGAAGATGCTGCCCACCATGAGGAAAGGCACGTAGACGGGCTCTGAGGGCAGAGGAAACACAGACAGGTCTGATGAATGAAGGATGTTGCAAAATAACACAGTTGTTTTCTGTACTTTCACTTTAAACAACTAAACTTACTCAAGATTTCAGTCATCATTTACAACTCTGCAAAACTTTCCTCTATCTGCACCGTGTAAACATAAATCTGCGTTCATATCCTTGCATAATTGAGTTCTTATCTAGTATAAAGACCACATAAGGGTACAACACGCTGAACTTTACCATGTGGATATCTCTTTCATACTTGTGTTTCACTCGTATCAGTCACCATGTTTAAACATCAGTCTTTAATTCACTGATGTCCACATAAAGTTAATTACCGCCAATATCTGCTTACAACTCTACTTAAATGCATTGTGAATATTTTATCTTAATTTAGTTTTAAATCCCGAAACCTTGATTCAAAATAAAGCTTTATCAAACTTTTGTTTAGACTTTTTAATCAAGCCATGTCTTCATATGCTTCCTCCTTTCATCAAAAAACCTAACAGACACATTCCTGCTACACAACACACACAGCTCATGTTACACCCTGTGGAGTCCGCTCAGACTTTGGGAGGAAATCAGCGAGTGTTTATTTATTTTGATAAGGCAAAAAATAGGAAATTGCCAGCGCACAGTCCATTCATTTTGAGCCGCAGAGCTTATCAGTACAGGAAATTTAAGGACAACTTCTAAAACTGACCTATTGTTGAATGTGTCACCGCTAACAGGAGGTTAATGTGACACTGTGAGTCTGTTGAATGTTTAAAGAGGCCAAAGAAAATGAGTTGCCGCCTCACGCTGTTGTGATTACTAAATTAGTGAGCTGTCAGGGCGAATGTGTTTAATATGTGGCAGCACAATGAGAGGACTTGTGTGAGAAAGTTTGAGTGTTTACTATGGATATCAGTCGTGATCCGGTTCATTTTAAACTAATCTGTGGTCAAAGATTTGTGAATGATTAGTTTAAGAATATTTGTTGGAGGCTGATATTGAAAAGTACAGAGTGAGTTCAGGCCAAAACACACTGATACTGAGAGATACTGGGTATTTTGGTTGATTCATATTAGATAAAAAATTGAAAAAGTTTGGATTGAATGTAAAAACCTTCAATGACTAACTGAGTCTTGAAGAAAGGTTTTCGTAAAGATTTGTGAATGATTAGTTTGAGAATATTTGTCGGAGGCTGATATTGAAAACTACAGAGTGAGTTCAGGACAGAACATGCTGATACTGATAGATACTGGGTATTTTGGTTCATTCATATTAAAAAAAAAAACTTTAAAAAACTTGGATTGAATGTAAAAAGCTTCTAAGACTAACTTTGAGTCTTAAAAAAAGTTTTCTTACAGTCCATCTAACACCTTCAAGTTTTTCCTCAACATGCTGCATTAACTAGTTTAAATATTGTTCCACTAAAAAACACATTTGTTTGCATCTTGTTTGACAATGTAAACAAAATCCTTAGAAAAATGTGTTTTATAATTGAATGTGACAGCAGGGTGAAACCTGCTTTATTTACGTTGTTCAGCTGACCTCTGACCTCTCTGTAAAACCAACTTCTTTACAGATCAATCAGACTAAATGAACCATACATCTCCTAGTATTTGTAGTATTCATTTTCAATCTTTCCGATCGATTACAAGCGCGATTAAATCGGTATAAAAGAACGTTTTTGACTCGACCAAACTTTTGTTTAACTCTTGGCTGAGTTGCCTGTTAAATGTGAAGCTTTTTTTCACTCCTACACCATTTTATTTAGTCAAATATAACTTTAAAAGCCGTAAACTTACGCGCTGCATACTCGGTGTTGTCCACCTCCCGGTCGTTGGTGCAGCTGCCCTGGTCCAGCCGTGCGTCCGCGGCGGCGCAGCAGTACCGCAGCGAGCAGGAGCCACAGCACACCGTGGCGTCCGTGGTGTCAAAATCCTCCGGACACTGGAAGCCATCGTGGTAATTCCCACTGCCGTCAAGCCAGCCGTGGCAGTACTCACCCTGTGCGTCCGATATCCGCAAATTCCAAGTCAGATATCCCAGCAGCAGGCAGCTCAGCAGGCGCACCATCCCGGCGAGCGAGCCGCTTACAGATCCCCGCGTCCGGTGGGCTTCAGCTCCGCGACCACCGATAGAGCTCGGGCTAGGAAGCCTTCATTTGGGACTTCTTCACTGTGAGAGGAACTGGATCCAAAGTAAACAGAAGTTAAGTCACCGTCATCTTCCAGCATGGAGCCAGAAGTTCCCAAAAGTTAAAAGTCTGAATTAAATCTCTTCAAGAACATTCACAGTTTCTCTGCGGAACTTTCTGTTCATCACAGCATGAGACGAACAAACAATCCACTCCGGGTCCCTCTGTGTTTTCTCTCCTCTAGGGTCGCTCCCGTGGCTTGTTGTGAATGTCGGAACAGAAGTGCGCCCACCACACTAGTGGTCTACTGCTTTTTGTGGCTCGGGCTGTGTTCGCGCGCACGTAACTCATTAAAACTAAGCGTACGCGTTCACGAAGTTGAAAGGATGCCGATTATTCAAAGCCCCTGAATGTGCTCCAAAGCATGCATAAATTATCGTAATTAGCTCCTACTGAACAAGGTGAGACCCAGGAGCTTCACACAATAGACAGACTGTTGGAATAATGATAATAAATGTCTGTTTTTGACGTCTTAGTTTGATTATTCTGCAAAAGTGAACAATGAACTAGAGGAAAAACGTTTGTCATAGTCATTTTAGACTATTAGGCAAGACCAAGAACTGTTAAAATAACAGTTATTAAAGAAATTTAAGTCCCTGACAAATCAGCCTACAGAATATAATTAATTAAACTTTTTAAAGCACTTTACATACATATAATGTAACACAAAGTGATGTCCATTCAAGCAGGATATAAAAAACAATGAAATAAAATAAATACAAATACCAAACCCCATCCACCCTCCCAACCCCCATTCAACACATACAGCACTCATTCACACACCGATGCATACACAACAGACCAGGACTCTTCAACTTGCCACAGATGACTGAGGAAACACTGGATCTAGGACTAAAACGATAAAACCATAATAAAATATAATAAAGGTGATAAACCATTAAAAGTCAATCAAACAAAACAGTCTTAAAATCAAACAATAAAAGAAAGTAAATAAAGAAAAGGTAATAAAACAAAATTGTTACTCAACAACTAAAATAGGATAAATCACGTAATGCAGATTAAAAGATTAAAACAAAATTTAACAAGACTTGATTAAATGTTTACCCTGTATTTCAAGATACAGTAGTTACGCAATGTTACTTTATAACTTCATAAGAGGGTGGGGAGTGACTCGCAGGAGTCTCAGGATGGAGTTTGCTTCAGGCCTCCAGCTTTCCCTGTAGTGTTGTGTCGTTCGAGGACGGTTCGTTCAAAAGAACCGAATCTTGTAAGTGACCGTACTGAACCAAATCACTTCTTCAAGTGAGTCGTTCATTTCTCACGCAGGATTGCCAGGTGAGCAGCCGACGAACGAAGGACCACATGCACTGATGCCTGGAATCGTTTTTGTCGGACAAAACTACCTTTTTTTTTTTTTTTACTGTTAAATTGCCACCACAACAAGTTTCATACAAAAGGACACAGCATGTAACAAGTGGTGCATAAAACCTGCAGCATCCTATCATTGCAGCGGTTTGCATGTTCGGTGTGAATTCTTCTAAACTTTCAGTGAACGAATCACTTACTGAGCCTAATTTACCAAGCAGACCTGATTAATAGCATACCATAGGACAGTACACTTAAAACATCAAACAATGAAAGAAAGTAAATTTAAAAAAGAGGTAATAAAACACAAAATTTATACTCTACAGCTAAAATAGGGTAAAATCACATTATGCAGATTAAAAGATTAAAACAAAATTTAACATGACTTCATTCAATGTTTACCCTGGATTTCAAGACACAGTAGTTATGCAATGTTACTTTATAACAGGCAACCATGTGCCATGGAGAGCCGAGAGGCTGCAGGTTTTCTTTCCAACCCAAAACTCCATCAGGTGATTTCACTGATTAGTCCCTGCTCTTTGCTTGGAGGTAAGGTAACCAGTGAAATCACATGGTGGAGTTTTGGTTTGGAAAGAAAACCTGCAGCCTCTCGGCTCTCCATGGCACATGATTGCCCACCCCTGCTTTATAACTTAATAAGAGGAGGCAAAAATGAAGTTGATTTAGTGGTTCATGATAAGAGGGATTATAAAAGCTGCACAACAGTGTCTTTATGAGAGTATTTCATGCTTCTCTGTGCTCTTTTGGTGTTTTATTGTATCAGCTGCAGGTCTGTGCTTCCCTTCATCAACTAAACCTGTTTGTAAACTATTGATGTGGCGCCCCCTGCTGGCAGTGCAAACTTTTATCCCTGCAGGCAACGAGACACTTTATTCTCCAGTCTCAACAATAAGGATTCACGTTTTTAAAAAGGTAAGTTCTGCCTCAAAATAAAAGTATTAAGACTTTTAATCACCCCCTAGAAAAGAAAGTATAAATTATAGATTCAAAGATAAAACTGAGCTCAATTCAGGGTTGAAATGAGTTATTTTGGTTTATTTTACCTAATGTAGTCCCATTGCTCTAAGGCTTTAGAACTTATCTGAATTAATGTTTTTAATTATCAGTAATACTTTGTTATAAAAGCTGTTTTCACAGACATATTTGCAGTTTTCAAGCTCTAATCTGATGTGGAGCCTTTTCTGTCATTTGCACTCATGTTGCTCCTTGATGCTTTGAGCTTAGCACCAAAATGGCCTCTGCCTTTTCATTCGTCGTATTTCGTTGAGCTTTTTTTTTTCTCTTTTTCTTTTTTTTCCCCCACATTGTAAAACTGCTATAGCGCCCCGTTGTTCTCTGTGTGGATGGCGTGGCTACAAAGGAGGCAGGCAGCGGCGCTCAAGTCCCGCCTGTATCCCCCTCTGGAGGAGTCTCAGTGTCTGCGCTCCCGACTGGGGATTGGCGCGGCTGCTTGTCAGTAAGCGAGCCCAGCCTTCACACAGTGTGTATGAGGGGAAACCGAGCCAGACAGTGACGGACCTGACCCCCCGCTTATCAGCTGCCTGTCACACCAGCACCGACCCGGAGCCGTCACGCCGCGCTGTGACACCTGGCTGGGATGGAGGGAGAGATGCAGCCCGCAGACGAAGGGCCCTGCGCCCCCAAAATGTGCAGACAGCAGCGGGGTCCGTACAGCTCCCTGAAAACCTTCCAGAGCAGACGCTGGGCGGGCAGGACGCGCTTTGACAGGTCCAGTGTGGTGGAGGTGCCTCTGTTTGGCGACGGGCATCACTTCACTTTTCATCCCGAGCAGGCGCACCATTTCCAGCCTCTCCATCCCCAGCAGCACCATCACCACCAGCAGCAGCAGCGTCTGCAGCAGCTCCACCAAAGCAGCGTTGCGATCAGCAGTAGCCAGCAGCATCACCAGACTCCCCAACAGCAGCAGCAGCAGCATCGTTTACCATGTGAGAGCAGGCCCAGCAGCAGGGTTCCGACATCCACCTCAGCGCCGGGGGGCAGCGTGGCGACAGCAGAGTCTCCTGGCACCCTGGAGGGGCGCTCCAACGGCGGCAGAGCAGAGCCCAGGTTCTCCCCTGACTGCACCTATGGGATCAGCTCAGGTATGTCTCAAAGTTGCAAATAGTGGCACCTAGTTTGTTTTTGTTTGGATCTTGAATGTTTACTCCTTTTTCATCCACAAGTCCTGAGATTGTCTTGGTCTGTGTACACTGTGTGGAGCTCTGATTCTACCTGTAATGTGGTGTCTGGTATTAGTGAGTGTGCCAGTTGATGCACTCATCCAATATATTACTCAGTATTTACAAAAATGGACTTTTTTCAGGTCAAAACCACATCACCATAACAATAACGCTCCTGCATTAAAGTAGGATATAGTGATAGCCAAAACATTTGGTGTATTTCTCCTGATACTATTTTTATTTTTGTTTTGACGGGGAACTTGAAGCCACCCAACACCAATGATCTCAAGCGTCTTATATATTTAAGATCTGGTCGCATAAATACATAAGAGAATCGTCTCTAGAAAGACCACAAATTTCAATAATAGTCTGCACAATACATCATCAGTCTCAAGCATCTCTTTTGTCTGCTCATCATCACCTGATCTTCATGTTTTCACTCCCTTTTCTTCCTCATTTTCTCCCCGTCTGCAGTGATTGATTTGCTGCTGTAATGAGAGCAGTCATGATTGAATCTCTACTGTGCATGTGCTAAAAATTACATTGGGTAATTGTCTGACCATGTGTGCAAGAGTGTGTGTGTGTGTGTGTGCTGTCTTGTGTTTGTGTGTGTGTGTGTGTGTAAGAAGGGCCCGCACAGTCTCCAGTTGAAACACATTGTTCATTTTTCCTCCTCAGCTGCGGTTCATTAGAGGGCTGTTCATGCTCAGGCAGAAATGTGTTCCCAGTGTGGAGGGTGGGTCCATGGGAACCAGCATTAAGATGAAAGCGGTGAACCTAATCCTGATGGTTACAAAATTAAACATCAGACATCACATCCTCTAATCAGATTGTAATCTCTTTATCACCGCTGGCAACAGATGTTTAGATTGCAGCTGGTCATTGTTGCTTTAGATACAATCAATCCCTGCACTGTAGCTCTAAATCAATCCTATAGCAGCGTTTACAAATAAAGGCATACAGTGCTACAGGTTCAATCTGAAAATACTGGATCTTTAATGTGTGAAAGCAAGCTTATTTTCTTGCACAAATATGGCTCAGGTTTTTAGTGATGATGGCCATTGTTTGCATGATCTCCGGCTTAATTTCACACATCACATACTTATACAAAATTACAATAAAAGCGCCCAGATCACACAAAATGTGTCATCCAATCATAGATAAAAGTGCCATACATTATTTCTGATAATGACACATGATCCAAGTGTCTTTATCCGCACAATAAGTGAAACTTAACGTCCCTCTTATGCGCACAGAAAACTTGGTGTCCTCGTGAAGACAGACCCCGAGACTCAGCAATCAGTTGAGCGCACAATAACACAAATTGCATTGAGGAGCCTTTCCCAAAGAGTTGTGATTAAAATAAATGGGGCTCATAAATTTGCCTCTGCAGAGCGTGTTGTTTTTAATGAAATTTTATGAGGCTCTCAGACTGGTGAGAGGAGGGTGGGGGTGGAGGTGTGGTGGCGGTGGTGTTGTTGAATGAGGGGGGTGCAGAAGGCGAAGGCGAATGATATCAGATACATCTCGACGAGTAAACAGAGACAGCACGCATATTAATAAATGCGACACATCTGCGCCAGGCTGATAGACACGTCTGAGCGAGTGGCAACGCAGCAGTGGCCGCCTGGAACTCATTTTGTCTGTGTGTATATTTGTGTGTGTATACATATGCGTGTGTGTGTGTTTGTGAGGATAGTGGACTCATAATCATTACATGGAGGTATGTGTGAGATCATCTCATTGAAACGTGCTCAGACTACCAGGGAAACTGTACACTGAGGCTGTTTTTGGACAAAAGCACTGTGCTGATTTCCTCGTCTCGCTTGGGTCTGCGTACCGTAGATATACTGTCCCTTTACAGCTTATTGACATCTGAATAAATCAGCATAAACAAGCAGCATTTCAATGAACTCACTTTATGTTTTTGTAATGCGAAGCTTGGCCACAATAAGACGAGGTGAAAAACAAAGTTCAGCTCAGAAATACTCATGTTGTTTTCTCTTCATACGCTACTTTCTATAAAGTAATACCTTTCTGAAGCATCACACAATGAATACTTCAGTGCCTGCGAAGTTTGTCCATATTTATGTGCCTTCTGCTTCACTAAATTTCAAGTGCTGATGATTTAAAACTCAGTCTCTACTTTTAAGATGAAGTGAAGTTTAAGTTTATTGTTTACTTTCCTCCTTTTTGCCTCATCTCTTCACAGCAGTTAGACAAAATTGCTTCACTAAAGAAGACACTCTGATAAAAACAACTCGATAACATTTGTTAAATGCAGCTTTTACAGCAGTGTGATGGGGTTGGCACTGTCATTACACAGCCTCAAGTCTCCCGGTTTGTGTCTGGTATGAACTAAGGGCCTCTCCGTGTTGAGTTTTCACGCTCAGCCTGGATATTTTAGTTCTTCTCCCACAGTCTGAAGACACACATGCAGCTGAAAATCCTCTCCTAAACATCTCCTCTCCAGTCCAGTCTCATACTCATGCTGCTTGTGAGTCAAAAACAACAACAACAACAAAAAAAGTTAACACACTGAAAAAGGAATCATAACAGGAAGTCTTTTATCCTTAATTAATGACATCACCTCAAGCTCCCTAAAAGTAGACTGTGGCTTCCTCTTATCAGTGTTATATAACAGCTATTTGAGAATGGTATTAGGTTCAAATGAGGGCTCTTGTTCCTGTAAACGGTTTCCTGTTTCTGTGTATGTATCAGCAGCTTATGAAGCAAACTGTATGGCTAATAAGAACTGGGGTCAGAACTTGAGCAGGAGACTAGAAGTGAGAGTCAGGAGTGACTTGCAGGAGTCTCAGGATGGAGTTTGCTTCAGGCCTCCAGCTTTCTCTGTAGTGTTGTGTCGTTCACGAACGATTCATTCAAAAGAGCCAAATCTTTTAAGTGAATGTACTGAACCGAATCACTTCCACAAGTGGATATTTCGTTTCTGACTTCAGTTGTGCTGTAGTGAGAAACAGCATTGCCAGGCCAGCAGCTGGCGAATGAGGGACCACATACACCGACGCCGGAATCACTTGGTAAACGAATCACGCACTGAACTAGACTCTCTGGAATCATTTTTGTCTGACAAAACTACCTTTTTTTTTGTTTTCACTGCTAAATTGTCACCACAACAACTTGCATACAATAGGACACAGCATGTAACAAGTAGTGCATAAAACCTGCAGCATCCTATCATTGCAGTTGTTTGCGAGGGAGTAGTGCATGTTCAGTGTGAATTCTTCTTAACTTTCAGTGAGCAGACCTGATAAATAGCATACCATAGGACAGTACACTTAAAACATCATGACTTATAAACAAGTTCATTTTTACAACCTGTTTGCCAAAGAAACACAGCCAAACACTCCCATCTCCCGGTCCCAGAAACTTTGAATTGAACTGAATCCTGAACCGTTCAGCTGTGTATCACTTCAGGAGGTCGGAGTCATGGGCTCCTCCTCAAGCGCTGAATGATTGGGTGATTCGGTGAACGAATCTTTTGAACGAACCTTTTTAGTGAACTCATTCTTGTGATTCAGTACATCTTAAAGAACTGCCATGCCCATCACTATCTCTCTGCACATGCTATGTACCACCTAACCTATGGGTCACACTGGTATCTCACAAGTTAGGTATTGGTGCTAATAGAAGGGTAGATGGTTCCCAATGAGCCTCGAGGCTCACAAGTACCTTCAAACAGACTCCAGTGATTCTGCAACAAAGACCCAAAGTCTGTTTTTCTGGTGACTTGTTGGTCTTTGTCCTCCTCACCATCTTTTCTCTCTGCTACAGAGAATCGTCTCATCTTGGATGCCTTCGCCCAGCAGTGCAGTCGAGTCCTCAACCTCCTCAACAATGGCCGTCTCCTGGAGCCGCCCTCCCTCAACTCTAACATAAAGCTAGAGAACGGTCCAGGGGAGATCCAGGGACTTCACTGCTCTAAACCTGAGGAGAGCTCCTCCACCACAGACCCGGAGGACGAGGCCCAACAAAGCCATCTGAACCAACACCAGACCTCCGCTGTTCTCCGCATCTTCACAGACTCCCTACAGAACTATCTGCTGACGGGGCCTCCGCCAAATCAGCAGCAACACCTGACTGTGAATCTGGAGGAGGAGCAGTGTCCGTCAGCAGAGCCCGGGTCAGGGGTGTCCCCTCAGAGACACAACCTCGGGGGCTGGGGCTCGCCGACTCCGTCAGAGTCGTATGGCCATCCGTCTTCTACACTGCCAGAGGAGGAAGAGGAGGAGGAGAACTGCTGTCCACGCTGCCTGGAGCTGGAGCAGGAGGTGTTGTCTCTGCAGCAGGAGAACGAGGAGCTGCGCAACAAGCTGGAGAATTTTCCAGGTAAAGCGGTTAGAAACACACTGAAGATACAAGTTTATGTTTCTGACTAAAGGTTTACATTTTGTGCTGAGACAGATGAGTGAAAGCAAACTTTAGTCTCATCTTTACATCTCTGGAAAACTCGCGATGGGAGGAACACCAGTAGTCCTCAAAGTCCTAATGTGATGTTGAATTAAAACTGGCGCTAAATCGTTATATCCAGTTTCTGCTATGTGAGGACTTTATTCTTTTCTGTCACTAATGACGGCATGTTGGGTATTTAGGGTTTTCATACTGTCAGTTGGGCAAAAACCAATTTCCTCACCTCGCTTTTGGCTTCAAAAACTGTGGCAAATAGAGATCTCTTCATAGTTTCCACACGATTCATAGTTTAATTATAAAAATTATCACATTTATCATCCGTTGCAACAATTATGTGTTTCAGCTCTAGTCTCTGCTGTTTTTATTTTCACCCTTCCCATCACTGAGAGTGCCAGTACCAGCAGTGGCACAGGAGGTACTCAGATCTTTTATTTAGTTGCGTCTATTTATACCCCACTGTAGAGGCTCTGTTAAATATAAAAGTCCTGCATTCAAGGTGTTAGAGGAAGTGCAAATGCCCAAAAAGGAGATGAGCTTATCCAAATACTTCACTGTGGATAGTTTAATCCAGGGCTTTACAGTTATGTACTTAAGTTGCAAAAACGAGAGCTGAGTTTCGACATACTCGAGGCTTAAATCTTTGAGGGCTTGACTTGAGAACAAAGAACTAAAAGTATTTAATGAACCACAGTAATTAAAATTCACAGTATTGTGCTTAACTCTGTCTTTTCCGACTCAGTCAAACTGTTATGAATTATAAATAAGTGAACCAGGATGAGTGCAGAGTCTCTGTTGCATACAAGACACTTTCAGCCACAGCTGCTCCTGCGTGCCATCGGTTTCACAAGAAGGACTTGTTTGTGTATCTAGACTTAAAGGGATATTCCGGCGTAAAATTAATTTAGGGTCAAACACACCGTAACACTGAGTTAGACACCCCCTCGAGAGATGAATGTTGCAGACCGCTTGCTTCTCTAGTTAAACCAACTTTAGTAACGACCACACGATAGCAATACACAGCGGTCTGAGGAGCCATAAACAAACCTCAACCAAAACGCCACTCTATAGCCACAAATAATGCTCAGAACAGCACCTAACTTCATCAACAGCACATATAGGGTCCCAGCCATAGAACTCGCCACCAAACATCTTTTTAACTTTGCCTGATTTCTTTAGCAAAGAGACTAAACACAACTCACCTACTCTCTTCCAACAGCCGCTTGTTTGTAGTGAGACCTTGGGCCAGTCCGTTACAGACTGCTGCGGGGCGACGCAGCTCAAGGAAGAACATTTATGATCATTTTTTCGTGAAAATGCAATCAGACCGAGACGCTAAGGCAGAAGAACTACAGCGTCTGTTGTGCAAAATGATTAATATGATGATTATTATTTCAAGAAAATGATAGAGTAATGACCGGAATATCCCTTTAAAAGAGCCGAGAGTTGTGATTAAAAATGACTGTTTATATTTTATAGACTGAAATCTTATTGATTGAATTGACTGTTGATGTTTTAGTCCCCAGACCTCAGTCAGGGAGTCGTACAACATCTCCAGACTTTTGAAACTGTTGGCAAATTTTAAAACTTCACTCGGTGCTGACACATGTGTGAGTAAGCAATGAGAAAATGACAAATGTTGCCCTGTATGTAGTGATGACTCTGCAGATCCAAGCGAACTCGCGACTATGAAGTCATTTCAGCCTTGACAGGTTGATAGTTGAAATTTATCGGCTCGAATATACATGAGCAGTACATGGAGTTTTGGAGGAGAGAGAGGCAGCAGAGAGGCTGCAAAATGTGCAATGATGTCTTTACTTAACTCTGCACTTTAATTGACACTGTGCCTATGCATGCAACATTACTAACCCTACTCATTAATGTTGTTTTAATCAGTTACACAAGGTTAGTTTTGATTCATCAGTTCCAAAGAGCCACAAACCGACTAAATCTAAAGTATAAGACAGTTTTGGGTAAAGGTCTCATTAGCATCTATTTTTGTTAACCTTTTGCTTTCCCCCAAGCACTCAGAGCTCCCTGGTGTCACTTCAACCTAATTTGCACCAAAGACAATCATTTTATCTGCATGCTCAATGTACTTAGCAGTGTCCCAGTTTGAAATGATAAGACATTAGCATCAAAATGATCTTTTAAGGGGAAATCAAATACTGCAAGACCATTATTGTTTAATGACTCACCAGACAGATTGTCTCTTTGCTTGTGGGTGTTTTTCTACAGCGTATTATTAGTCATGTTTTCTTGTATTTTCCTGCAGTTCCTTGTCAAAATGTCCTCGATTACTTCAAGACTGTTCTCGAGTTTCACAACCAGCTGGTTCAGCCGATGCAGGAGGAGCAGCTCACTGAGGTGAGGAAGCGTACATTATCCGCAGTATTTTTAAAGACGTGCTATTAGAGGCATATGTTAAGGTATTAAAAGTACTCCATATCTGCTCTGTGTTAATAACTTCTTGTTTGTGTTAATTTGGAAATTAATTGGTGTGAAAATGTGATGCTAAAGAATCTTTGTCTTTACAGGAAGAAGAGCGACAGACTGTTTTTGAGGTTGGTGTTTTTATAAAAAAGGGGTCATCAAGTAAAACTCTTTTAAAGGAAATGTAAACTTTAAGACATTATTTGTTCACTCTCTCGTCTCTACAGGGCAGCAAACAGCTCCTCGAGAATTACCCCCTCTTCATCACAAACAAGCAGTGGGATGAAGCCGTAAACTCCTCCAAGAAAGATGGCAGACGACTGTTGCGATACCTGATTCGTTACGTCTTCACCACAGACGAGCTGAAGTTCTCCTGCGGTTTGGGCAAAAGGAAGCGCTCGGTCCACTCTGGAGATCCAGGCCTGGAGAGACGACCGCTCAACCCCGTCAAAGTCAGCTGCCTCAGAGGTACACGGTCTGAAAGAGTTTGTGGAGAAGAAGAGACATTCGGTTGACTGAGTGAAAATTTTTAGATCTCTTAGAGTAAATAGAGAATCAAGAAAAACATCCTAATCATCATTATATGTTGTTGGAATGAGTCATTACTATGCTTATTATTGAGTTTAAGAATAATATAGTTTATGTAATAATATGTGTTCTTGTCCATTCATAAGCCCTTTAAAGGTGAAAGCTTTCTTTTTATAGGTGAAGCTCAATTTGCGTACTCTGCTACCAACTTGGTATTCTTGGTATGAACTTAAAACTGCTGACTTTTTTGCCCACTTGAGGGCAGTGTAAACAAATTAGACTCAAGCATCAACTTTGGTTTCAAAAATGAAGCCAAAATTAATGCAAAGAAAGTGGAAACTCCTCAAGTGGAAACTGCAGTTTCTCAAGTGTCTACTCAAGTCTGGCTGTGAAAACCAAGGAAACCCCTTTAGATTTGAAAGCAGGGTGAAACATGTTTACCACACGGCTTGGTCCAAAAACATTTTAAGAGGGTAAACGCTGTGCAGGGATCTTTCTGAGTTTGGATCCACCCAGAAACAGGCAAAGAGAAGGACCTACGTTCTCTCGCCTTGCGGTCTCATATAAGGAGGTTATGTGGAGCCAGCGTTTCCCACATGTCAGTCATTTTTGTTTTGTTTTAGGTTGTGGATTATTTCCCTCACAGCAGATAATCAAGTTTTCTGCTTCTGAATCTGACTTCTGGCAAAATCGGATGCAGAGAGAGTTTATGGTGTACTGGCAAAACCTGGGATATTCTCAGAGTTGATCCTCTGCAGGAGGAACTAAATGTCAAGATCAGGGCCTCTTCTTGTTTGACTGAAGGGATTGTACCTTCGGTTTATTTTCACACCCAACCTATTCCAGACCCCCAAAATTTCCCTTTCTTAATTGTTGGTGCATAATTTTTCATAACATCATCTTCCTTTGCTGACTCTGAAATCAGCGAAAATCCCCTCTCATACCCGTTTCCATGGTAATATTCTAGTTCTCAAGGTGAGCCTCTGGCAGTTGAACCATGACACAGTTAACTTAAAACCTGCATGTCAGCAAGTTTCCTCAACTGCAATTAGAAAAAAAATCAGCAAGTCAGCAGTTTTCACTGCAGGTCATGATGTTAGGCGCAGATTGTTATTGTTGCACATAATTACAAACACAAAATACATGTGGCTGCCTGTTTTTTTTAACAGTGAAATTGGCGACGTCGATGTCAATGGTCTCATTTGCTTTTGCACATCAGAGAGACACATCACTGTTCTTTTCAGCCTGTCTCATAACCAATCAAAAAGGAGCTTTTTATCAGGTTATCGTTTACACAAGTTCAAATGGACACATTACTTCTTACTCAAGTTTTTACACCCAACAGATGAATTTAGTTTAGATTAATACATTTTTTTAAGGTTATTTTAACAGTATGGGCTGCTAATTCTTGTGAATCAGCACAGGTGACCCTTTTACACTGTCTAATCTCCATTTCATACATTTTTCTTACTTAGAAAATGAATAAAAACTGTCATTTAAAGGGTAAATCAGTGACATCGCCACTGGAAAATAAGAATAACTTTATTGATCTCCAAAGGGAAATTCAATTGTCTGTCGTCTCATTTGTCATGTCTAAAAAGTCATCTACTATTTACAGAAAAATTATAAAGTCTGATGGCTGTGGGTACAAAAGATCTGCTGAACCTTTCTGTCCTGCAGCGAAGAGAGAGGAGTCGTCCACCACCATTGGCCATTTGGTCCTCTAAGTTGTTATGACGTGGATGATCCATGATCCATGATGATGATCCATCCATCCAAAAATATAAGTTGTTCTAAAATACTAAGTAATATATGTTACAAATCTTCTTTCCAGAGTTTATCCGGATGCACTGTGCCTCAAACCCAGACTGGTGGATGCCGTCAGAGGAGCAGATCAACAAAGTTTTCAGTGACGCTGTGGGTCACGCTCGTCAGGGCCGAGCGGTTGGCACGTTCCTGTGCAGCAGCGGCAGCAGCACCAGCAGCCTCTACATGGATGGCTTCGATGGACATCTGTCACAGGACGAAATGTATTTAAAAGGCTGCCCGAACGGTCAGTCAGACTGAAGTTTAGGAGAAATAAAAAGACAGAAGCCTGAAATGTAGCCGTACAACAACATATCCTAAAATACTGACCTTATCCTGTTACTTTACACAGTGAAGAAAACATTCCAGGCATCTATCAGACACAGAAAATACACTTCTCTGGAGCAATTCCTGTTTGTTTGTAGCTTTTTCCTATTTTTACACTTTTGATTCTGTTTAATCTAAATATGACCCTATAATGAGGATTTATACACAACATCTTAGTCTTCCATTTTCTACTTCTGCTCCGGTTTCATATTTTGAGCGTTTATGTCATAATCAAGGGAGTAGTTTGGATTGTCTTGAGGGATGGAGTCCCAGTGATCTTTGCTTTACTGTTTACACACACATACCCATTAATCATAACCTATTTACTTTAATGGTAGACTCATTTTTATCATCACCGACTCCATCCCAGAAGTAGCTTTTCAGTGAAATTCTGTATCAATGGCAAAGCGCCTTTACTTGCAAACTTCCTGTAGGAGTGCCTCAGAGAAAGTCATGATTTGTTACCTGTTGTCTTGCACCTTATCTTTTTTAATTTGGATCGACATAATGTGTCATCTTTTATATCAAAACTAGAAAAGCTTTCACACCAGAAGGTTTTTCCACAGTGTGCTCTGATACAGCTTCATATTGGCTAAATGAAGTTTTGGTGAAAGCTCATTATCACGACCACAAAAAGGGTTCTTATCACTTAAAGGGATAGTCCGGCGTAAAATTAATTGGGGGTCAATCATACCGCAACACCAAGTTAGTCAGTAACTCAAGAGATGAATGTTGCCGACCGCTTGCTTCTCTAGTTATACCAACTTTAGTAACGACCACACGACAGCAATATACAGCGGTCTGAGGAGCCATAAACAAACCTCAACCAAAACGCCACTCTATAGCCACAAATAATGCTCAGAACAGCACCTAACTTCATCAACAGTACATATAGGGTCCTAGCCATAGTACACGCCACCAAACATCTTTTTAACTTTGCCTAATTTCTTTAGCAAAGAGACTAAACAAACCTCACCTACTCTCTTCCAGCAGCCGCTAGTTTGTAGCAAGACCTCAGGCCAGTCCATTATGGACTACAGTGGGGTGACGCAGCTCAAGAAAGAACATTTATGATCATTACTTTATCATTTCTTTGGAGTAATAATCACCATATTAATCACTTTACACTGCAGACGCAGTAGTTCTTCTGCCCTGTGGCTGGGACCCTATATGTACTGTTGATGAAGTTAGGTGCTGTTCCGAGCATTATTTGTGGCTATAGAGTGGCGTTTTGGTTGAGGTTCGTTTATGGTTTCTCAGACTGCTGTATATTGCTATCATGCCGTCGTTACAGAAGTTATTTTAACTAGAGAAGCAAGCGGTCAGCAGCACTCATCTCTCCAGGGGGTGTCTAACTCTGTGTTACGGTGTGTTTGACTATCCCTTTAAGGGCACATTTGCAAATCACATCCGATTAAAGGCCAAATTCTGCACTTTATTTGCTCTGTGGAGGGTTGTTTCTTTCATCCTGACACTAAAAGTCTTGTGTGAATTTAACAGCAAGATAAATATACTGAATTTAACATTCCATTTTTTCACACAGGACTTTTGGAGTTAGGATGGATGTCTCTTTGTTAAGGCAGCTGCCATATGATAATGCCTTACACTGGATTCAAGGCGTCCACAGGTTCAAGCGTTGATGCTTTGTGTTTTTTCAGTCCTGTTATCAAGCTGCTGGCTGTGACTGTCTCAAACCTACGAATCTGAATTCTTTTTTTTTTAAAGACAGATTATTTCACTTTAAAAAGACGGCGTTGACCCAAGTGGAAGAAATTGAGCACTTACTTTTCCTAAAGCTCTTATTTGCACTTTTTCATGTCTCACTGTGGCTCAAACTGTCCTGCAGCGAGAGCAGAACAGATTTCTTTCTTTACTTTACGTCTTCATACTGTTTTCCATGTTTGAATGTACCAGATCTCCTCAGTCAGTTTGCCACGGTGACAGTGCTGTGTAAATGTGTAATATAAAGTACAGTATAGTGTGAGCTGTTCTTGAAATACCATGTCTCTTTCTCTCTTTAAAAGCCAAGTAGAAAAGTGCCGCAGAAACCTTAAACAGTCGGATTCTGTCGTTGTGTTGCTGTTCTGAATGTGAGCGTTTATTTGTATTTACTCCTCCACCCTCAAAGTGGCTGTTATCAACATCAACACTGTGAAACATGGTTAGGATTTCTACAAATCTAAGAGCTTCTGTTGTTTTTATTTATAATTAAAAGAAGCACTCAAGCTGGAATATTCATGATTGATTTTATTGATTGAATGGTAATGAATGTAAGTTATTATTAACAAGCCAGGTGTCAGGGGAATAAACCTCTAAGATTAATGTTTTATGTACTATACCATGAACATTACTAGGTAATTAGGTTGCACGTGCAATGAAGAAACTAATTTACTTAAACACCACAATTTATATTTAATGATTACAGTCGGCAGCAAGGGGGAAACAGTCAGGCTTTAAGCTTTGCCCTTCAAAAACCAGGAAGAGCAGCAGAACTGCACGTCTTTAATCGGAAAGGTAGGATCATTTTTTTTGTACATGTGAATATTCTTTATGGTTTAACCCTTTAATGCCTGACACCACAAATTATGGCTGGAAAATTCTTATTTTTTTGGAGCTGAAATGTTTATTTCACTTACTACTGAAAACCAAAAAAATCCAAATGTCCTTAAAATTTAACAAATATATTTATTTATCGTGTTTGATACATTAGATGTTTTTGGAAACTGATAAACTACAAAAGGATGTTTTTATCATTTATCAAACTGTGTTCAGGTGCCTTTTTAGTTATTTGTTGATCATATTGATTTGATAGAAGTATATAAAAGCATGTATCAAATATGATAACAAAAGGCATTAAAGGGTTAATCAACAATCTTACTTGTTTTCCCATATTTACTCTGCAAAAGGTTCATCCGAAAAGCCTGTCTCCTTCAGACACACCCTGTGAATTTGTAGATTTAAACAAACAAAAAGAAGAATGAATGATTAACAACAGAACTCAAAATATGTACAGTGGGTGTTATGAAAGAGCTGGAAGTTCATGTAGGAAATGTCCTATATGGCTGCAGAGGTTGCAGATGAGACATTTTTTTAACCTAATTTTTTAGCAAAGAGACACAACTCACCTTCTCTCTTCCAGCAGCTGCTTGTTTGTAGCGAGACCCCGGGCCAGTCCATTACAGTGTGCTGCGGGGTGACACAGCTCAAGGAAGAACATTTATGATCATTTTTTTTATCATTTCCTTGAAGTAATAATCATCATATGAATAATTTTGCACTGCAGACGTGGTAGGTCTTCTGCCTTAGCGTCTCGGTCTGATTGCACTTCCCTGAAGAAATGATCATAAATGTGCTTCCTTGAGCTGTGTCACCCCGCTGTTATCCAAAATGGACTGGCCTGAGGTCTTGTTACAAAAAAAGTGGCTGCTGGAAGAGAGAAGGTGAGTTGTGTGTAGTCTTGTTGCTAAAGAAATTAGGCAACGCTAAAAAGATGTTTGGTAGCTAGCGCTGTGGCTGGGACAGGTCCCAGTGTAGTGCCTCCAGCTCTGCAGACAGTCTCTATTAGAGTGTGTGATTCCTCTCTGATCTCCAGCAGATGGCATGATAGCTGCAAGAATGACTGAGACCTGATGCAGCCTGTCAGCAGGAATCATCAGACACCCTGGCAGACTATATGCTGTCTGTTGATTTTAATAAAAGTGGGCATGTCCCTTTAAAGGAGGCTGCAGAAAGAAAAAGTGTGAGTGTCATTTTGTAAATTACTTAGCAAGTTTGAGAGTCTGAACTAATTAATTTGCACATTTTTTTTGTGGATTTTATGGTTTATTTTGTGTGTGTGTTAGTATTCTGTGTTTTTTGTTTGTTTGTTTGTAAGTTTGTTGTGTTTTCACTCCAAGACAGCATACAGAAGACTATTGCCTCTGGGACTGGTAAGAGGAAAATTCCTTCAAATTAAACAATTTGCATAATAAAATGGAATAATGAAATGGTTCCGCCCGGAAAGTTGTGTGCCCGCACATTTTGTGCTGTTTCATTCTGAGTCAGACTGATGTCTCTGCTGTCTGCTCTCTGACTCCACTCTTCAGATGGTACAGTACGAGTCTGTGGATGTACAGGAGGTTCGGTTGGGTGTTTCTCTTTAATTCTGCGGCAGCCCTCTCTGTATGCGGGCCTGCTGCTGCTGCTGCTGCTGCTGGAGGAGGAGGAGGGCGGGCCGTGGACACAACAATGAGCACATTTCGGACACTAAACTAACTGATGCGACATGCGCGGACCGTGGGGTGAATCGTGTGTGCTGCTCGTCTCTCATGATTTGCATTGATTGGATTTGGGAATGGCATGCGGGGCTTTAAGTTAAAACACGGTGTGCTGTCTAGAAACTGACCTCGGGTAAACCCTCAGAGGCTCGGCGGACTTTGGAGAGATCCTGCAGAGGTTTTTTGGCGCAGCACGAGAACTCCACGCACATGGGGATGATCCTCAAAACCACAACTACGACTGAAGAATAATTGATATTCGTGCGCGATAAGACACATTGGAAAGCATTGAGCCCCCGTGCGCTGCTCCAAGATGATGTCACTGATAGACCTGGACGATGATCAGAGATGGGTGCCCACTCACGTGAATGTCACCGTCCTCCGCGCGCGAGGACTGCGGACCAAGGGCAAGCATGGCAGCCGCTACCTGTACACTATTATCCAGGTGGGGAAGGAGAAGTACACCACCGGCCTGGTGGAGAAGGCGGAGGTGCCCGAGTGGAACGAGGAGTGCTGCTTCGAGCTGCTCCCGGGGATCCTGGAGGACGGCGGCCGGAACTCGTACCCCCCGGGGAGTGGAGACCTGGTCCTCACTGTCATGCACCGTGTGCTCATAGGTCTGGACGTGTTTCTCGGTCAAACCATCATTCCTCTGGACAAGATATTTCAGGAGGGGATGTGCCCTCGAGATGAGTACGTCCTGTGTTGTTTTTTACTAATGTAACCTGCGTGACTTTTAATGAGGTTTGTCCGTTTTATGCTGACAGAGGAGACTGAAGTGATGTGTCATGAGACTAGGAGGCGGTCAGGTCTGCTGAATGACCTTAAAGGGATATTCCGGTGTAAAATTTAGTTTGGGTCAAACTCACCGTAACACAGAGTTAGACACCCCCTCGAGAGATGAATGTTGCTGACTGCTTGCTTCTCTGGTTATACCAACTTTAGTAACGACCACACGATAGCAATACACAGAAGTCTGAGGAGCCATAAACAAACCTCAACCAAAAGCCACTCTATAGCCACGAATAATTCTCAGAACAGCACCTAACTTCATCAACAGCACTAGCCACCAAACATCTTTATAACTTTGCCCAATTTCTTTAGCAAAGAGACTAAACACACCTCACCTACTCTCTTCCAGCAGCCGCATGTTTGTAGCAAGACCTTGGCCAGTCCATTATGGACTACAGCGGGGTGACGCAGCTCAAGGAAGAACATCTATGACCGAGACGCAAAGGCAGAAGAACTACCACGTCTGCAGTGCAAAATGATTAATATGGTTCTTATTACTTTAAGGAAATGATAAAGTAATGGTCATAAATGTTCTTCCTTGAGCTGCGTCACCCCGCTGCAGTCTGTAATGGACTGGCCTGAGGTCTTGCTACAAACAAGCGGCTGCTGGAAGAGAGTAGGTGAGTTTTGTTTAGTCTCTAAAGAAATTAGGCAAAGTTAAAAAGATGTTTGTTGGCCAGTACTATGGCTCGGACCCTATATGTACTGTTGATGAAGTTAGGTGCTGTTCTGAGCATTATTTGTGGCTATAGAGTGGCGTTTTGGTTGAGGTTTGTTTATGGCTCCTCAGACTGCTGGGTATTGCTATCGTGCGGTCGTTACTAAAGTTGGTATAACTAGAGAAGCAAGCGGTCGGCAACATTCATCTCTCGAGGGGGTATCTAACTCGGTGTTACGGTGTGTTTGACCCTAAATTAATCTTATGCCGGAATCTCCTTTTAACAGTAGAATGACATGCAGCTCCTCGGATATTTCTCCATTTTAATGATTGTCTTTTGCATGTGAAGGAAACTGCTTTCCTCTCTCACCTGCTCTAATAACCACCTTTATTATCAACATGTGCTTTAAAACCCCAAAGCACAGCACTATATCTGGAGTTTTCTCCTAACAGCAGAGGATGTGAGTTAGAAATACTGACTGAATGACTAGAAGCTTAAGTACTGCCGTGCTTTGCAGGATGATAAAAAGTGCTTTTATCTAAGTGCTCCCGGCTCATAAAATCCTGGCCCTCTTGACTTATACCCTCCAGCAGCAGCTCCCACAATGCACTGCAAATCAACAAGGATGAGACGCAGTTTCCACTTGGGAACCAGTCTGAAATTTACCAGAAAACCTCCATCTTTAATGCAAAATGCATTTCATTAATTTCTATCAGTGAAGCATCATCTCCAAATATCTCATGATAGATTTTGAGGCACATAGTGGCTGAGTGTATTTTTCTTGCTCTGAGCAAAAATATTTTTGATATCTGGCTGCAATGAGACTGGACAAAAATAGGAAACCAAGAGATATATCTGGAACAAGAACTGATTTTTGCAGCATGACTTTTTTGTGCTCTGGAGAGAAACCCACTGAAAATGAGATTAACACAAAACTGGTTTTAGTGCAACAACTAAAAATAAAAGAAACAGCACAGAAAAACAAGTAAAATCAGGCATTGAAAAAGTTACATACTGACATAAAGAGTTGTTGTTCTCTCAATTCATGACGCAGCTGGTGAAAGGATCAAAAACTTAAATTAAAGATTGTCGTGGCCTAAAAAGTTCAACATCTCCTTCCAAAAAGGAGTGGAGTGAAAGTTTGAGTTGGAATAAAATGGAAATACTTGACATACAAGTGCTTTTGCTCGCTCTTCAAGTACCTTAAAATGATATTTAAATCTCCTGTGAGGAACTTTCTTTGGACAAAGCAGCCTCAAAGTAAGAAATGAAAAAGATGGTTCACTTCGGTGTTTATAGTGAATAACGATAGCAAAAGTGTTTGTCAGTGCAGCTCTTATCAGTCAGGGCGAATAACAAGAGCATCTCTGTGCAACACAAGCGCAGAAGTGAGTTTAAATTTGTATGGTATCTAGAATAACTGATTTAATTATCACAGCAGTCATTTCTAATTCAGATAACTTATGACCCTTTGGCAAAGAAGAGGCTTTGGATACATATTTCAAAGGAGTCATGAAACCTTAATCTGTTTATTCATATTTGATAACTAGTTCAGTGAGCACACAAAACTCTAACCTGAGGACTTAGTCTTTTATTAACTGTTGTTGTACATGTGGAAAAACTCTGCATTGACTCTTTAGACAGCTGCAGACCTCAGTTGTGCCACACGTGAGGACTCACAAGCAATAAGTGAACCATTTCCACTATCAGCAGTGAAGAGCAGAATAGAAAAGCAATTCAACACATCTGGCTTTAATTTGAGACTCCCCGCCTTCTCAGTGAAACTCACACTGGATTCCTCCTGTTAGTTTTGGCTCTGCAACACTTTCTCTAGTCCACTCTGAGGACTCAGGAGGCAGAAACAGAGGGAGGATTTTATTGGTTGACTCTTCATACAGTTTTGTCTTATACAATGTAAGCTCACTGGTGGGTGGATTGAAGGAGTTTTGATTTCCTGCTCTGAGGTTTGTTGTCAGAGAGTTGGAGCACAATGGCCCTGAGCTGAATTTCCACGTTACGTAACAAGTGGAAAAACAGTTCCAAAAGGAAATCAATGTTTTCTGTTGATACTCGTTTCTGCTCCTGGGATTGACCAGATGACACATGGCGCACAGCTTGTGATTTAAACAGATGGTTTAACACTTTGAATGTCCCACTAAAGTGACCGATACAGGAATTTGAAGATGATATCAGAATTAGAGTCAAACAATCACCAATTACCAATATGGTGGTCAATGTACAGAAAGACTGAGCTGGAATGTAAAAAGTTATTTTGTTTGTGAATTGCTCACCGATTTGACAAAACCAGGACTTTTTCTTTAATATTCAACATATTTTGTACAATGTCAACCACCTCTGGTGCAGGCTGATGTCTAGGTGGCTAATAGGGGTGGGAGAAAAAATTGATTTACATTAGTATCGCAATTTTAGTTTCACAATTTTTAAATCGATTTTTTTGTTCAAAAATCTTTTTTTTTTTTTTTCAAATGTAAGAATAAATCTTAAAAACTGACTTACATGTGATGTTTAATTTTGGGGAAATATGGTTCCCGGAATAGTCAGTAGACAATCATAATCATTCAACTGTTTCATTGGTGTTACAAATGCAGACTAAAAGTCGAAAAAATTGACAATATCGTAGAATCGCAATTTAAATCGAAATGGCATCCAAAAAATCGTAGAAGAATAGAACCAGAGAAAAGCATATTGTCCCAGCCCTAGTGGCTAATGTGCTTTGCTGCATTAGCTGCAGACAGTGCTGAACATGCCGAAAACGTCAGAGTTCAAGCACCTTCGGGCTGCCAATCCACAAAAGATTCTTTGAAATTACTTCAAGCATTTTGGTCTGCGTTATATGATCAGAAAAAAAGCTTTTATATCAGTTACCCATTACAAAATATCTTTTCTAATACTGATATTACTGTGATGGACCCATATTGGCTGATAATAGACTGATTTATGATTCGGACTCTGACAGTGTTTTATTCAAAGTGCTGATAGAAAATACTTGATGCTGACTTTGTCCTTTTCTGTATGGCTTCAGGTGGTTCAAGCTCAACTCTAAAGCAGGAAGAAAAGAGAAGGAACGTGGTGAACTTCAGGTAACGGTCCAATTCACCCGCAACAACATGACAGCCAGCATGTTCGACCTCACCATGAAGGACAAACCTCGCTCTGCTTTCGGCAAGCTCAAGGATCGCGTCACAGGGAAGAAGAGGGGGGACATGGAGTCCTCCTCGGCCATTGTGCCAGGCCGCTATGCCGCTCTGTCAGGGTCTCTGGGACAACCGTTTGGAGAGGATGGCGCAGAGCCTGTGGAGTCACGAGATGTGGAGATAGTAGAGGAGAAGAGGAGCAAGGTGAAGGATTTCTTCAAAGGACGGCTGCGAAAGTCATCTGACACCAGGTCATGCTCGTCGCTGGCGTCAGACAGCAGTGTGTCCTCTATGGCCAGTGAGAACCCTGGTCCTCCACCTAGTCTGGATTTGATGTCTGACCCACCCAGCTCTCCCATCTACAGTAGCAAAGTGAGAGTGGACACCCACTACGGAGAGACAGATTTAGCTAAAAAAGGTAGGCTCTGAGATTATTTCAGTAGTACATGACATCAAAGTTGGGTATTTCCTGAGCGGTGTTTGATAGAAGAAATTAGAGCAACTTTACAAAATGGAGAAAGTATTAAAGTCAAGGGGAAACTACCTGAAGGATTTCCTCACACAGCAGATGCTCCTTTTTCTGTGAATGACCGTCTTGCCTGTGTGTAGCCTTTGTTTCAGGCTCTAACACTGACATTTAATTGATCAGGAAACAGCATGAGCATGATGTATGTAACTGACTGACGAAGAAACGCAGAGTATTTTACATTCCTTTTAAAATAAAACAGATTAGAGTCCGGTTAATTCGATTTTGAGACATATGCCAGCATTACTGGGAAATTTATAATTATCTTAATGAAACCAGTGGGAAATTTATATTGTAGTCTTCTCTCGCTCCTACACAAATACAGTTGCAGCATGAAGGTTAACAGAACTTACCCTGCAAGTTTAACTGGCTCACTGAGCATAAAAATAACAGTTTTCTCATGACAAGTTAATCAAAAATAAGACAGTGACTCAAAAAAAAAACACAAAGAAAAGCAACACATTTTATATTCCTCATACCAAGAGCCACATCCACATTTAATTATAGTAAAAAGCAGCCTCTCATTAACAGTAAAAAACATAATTAAAACCTGAAATAAAATAAAGGGCCTATTGGATGAAAAACTTCAATGCTTACCATAAAGAAACTTCAGTAAAGAGTCCCAGATGCACCGCTTCAATAGCGGCTTAACAAGACAATATGTGAACATGCAAGTGAACACACCTGTCAGCCATTGCTCCAAAGTAGGTAGGGCTGTAGAAACATATGATAACGTCTTTAAAAAACAATTACACTGATAGATATCAAGCTAGAAATAAGCGTACAGTATTCCCATGAGTTTGTAGTAGCAGTCCTGCAGGCTGGTTGTCGCACGTCATAAACACCTAGCTAACTTAAGCAGCCCTTCCTGAGAGATGATGAGGCGCTTTTATAGCTGGTGCTCAAAGATTTATTGTTAGTCTTGAAACTGTATTAAAGTTTGTGCCTCTTTGGGTTACTAATCAACTCAACAGACTTTCTTTTAAATGTTTTCATTCAGTTCTGTAGCTTTCGATCAACCAGATGTAGCATACAGGAAATGGCCCAACTAAAACCTGAGATAGTACGGTAACACACGGGTTGAAAATGACGTGGGAGAACCAAACGTTGGTGTCAAAAGCGGCATCTATTGTCAGGACTTTGTTTAAGATGTCAATGAAACTCAGTCTAAGTACATAGTATTTAATATTCTCTTATTTATTTGTGATTACATTGAAAATACCGTAGACCTAAAACAACATATAAGGATTTCATAACCTGGGTCCTTTCTTTTTTCACCAGTGCTCACCAGCCAGCACACTACGAGGGTTCTCACACACAAGCGAGCCTTCAGTGATGAAGCTAGCAAGATCACGACAGCCTTCCCCAAAAGCAACCCGGCGCTGGAGTCTCTTAAAGGCCAGACCATGACTCAGTCCAAGTCTTCTTTGTGTATAAATGGGAGCCACGTGTATGACTCTGAACCATCCACACCAAGGGCCTCAGGAGCCCATCCGTCCAAACTGGTCCTGCTGGAGAAGTGCTCCCCGCTTTCTCGCTCCCTGCAGAACATCACGAAGAGAAGTGAGGACAAAGGTTTATTTTCTGAAGGTCGACGCTGGTCATTCGATAAGGTGAAGAAGGATGAAAGAGAGGAAGAAAAGGAGGCTCAGTCGTCATCTTCATCAAGTCAGCAAGCTCAGACAGGAGGTCGTCCCAATCAGACGACAACGCCGGTCATCTCCTCTGCATCTGGTTCACCCGAGAAAGGGAGGAAGCTAAGAATGACGTTATTCTCTGGGGCGAGGAGTGAGTCCCTCCCCACTAAGTCTGACCTGAACCAGTCTTCCTCCACATCTGAGGGGAGGCTCAGAGGCTGGTTTGCCTCAGGTGACTCCCAGAACAAGCCAAGGTGAGTGTACTTCATTGACAGGCTTGTCTTTGTTTTCCACAGTGTTTGATGGATGTTGCTCATATCCAGGCTCAATAACGGGCTCACGGGAGTCCTGCTTCAGTTAGGTGTCCTGAGTTTGCTCTGCTCACTGCTCATCTGAAAATGGAGTTGATTAAGTTCACGGCATTCTCCATTTTATGACCATGCTGCACCATGATGTCACGCCACACTTTTCACAAACAGCGCTCCAGCATTCTCCATTTTTGCCTTCAGTGAATGTCTGATTTTCTATCACAGATGTGGTTTGGGTAAGAATAAAGATGTTAAGTAAATCACCTCATGTTTATTCAGTATTACGAGCTCACCCAACAGAATCACTTTCTATGCAGACGATCTTGAATGGCTACAATGCATTTCTTTTTTTTTTTTCTTTTTTGCTTGATTATTTTGCCAATGTGCTTTGCTTTTTTTCAATTTGTGTTGCTGTTCTCATGATCCTTTCATTTGGCCTACTGATGTGGGTTTTGATTGATGTGGGTCAAGCTCTGTGGGGGAATACCAGCTCGTAATTTCTTTGTCTGTGAAAGAAAGTTGTTCCCCATTTGGTAACCTGGCACATCATTAATGATGAGGACTATTGTGCCCTATTTCCCTCTACAGGCTGGAAGTTTCTCCTAAGGTAGAAAGCAGCTCAGAAGTACCCCCTCCCCTTCCTCCTCGCTCCCCTGTACCCCCTCAGTACCCCTCACCTCCCTCTGCCTCACCCTCTGGTCATGTCTCCCCAGATGACTACAATCACACCAATCCCTTCACCCCCTCTCCTGCCTCAACCCCACTCTCCCCGTCCAATCCTTTCCCCTCACATCACAACCCTTTTTTTGAGGAGCTCATAGCGGAGGAGGCGTTGAAGTCCCCTACTTTTGCATCTTGCTACACTCCCAGTTCATCCCCCTTTCATTACACCACAGTTCCATCCAGGCCCTGCACACTCAGCCCTGCTCACAATGTAAATGCAACAAACATGACTTCCATTAAGCGGGAGCGCCCACGTCCAGTAGCCAGACAGGTATCCCTCCCTGCAATACTACCCAAAGCAGGAAACCCTAACTCCTCCAACCACTCTGCTCCTTGCTCCATGTTGGGGAGCTCAGGAGAATGGGATGACTCGTTTGATGCCTTTGCCTCCAGCAGGCTCAACTCCCCAAAGGGCAATCCTTCTCAGCCGAGAACCAGTCCGACTTCCTCTCACACTCGTGGTTACCCTCCAGTGAACACCAAGAGTCTTGCGCAAGAACTGCAAGCGTGTGAAGAGGAGCCGCCACCTTTGCCACCGAGGAGACCTTTACGAAACTCAGTGAACGAGATCTACTCAGACGGCTGGCTGCACAGAGGTCAAGCGTTAGCCGTCCACAAAGAAGCCTACCTCCTCTCGCAGACTGGTGTGGCCTCGCTGCAACGCGGAAAAGAAGGAGAATTAAAAAGAAACAGTGTCTCTCCAGACCCTCATACGAGCAGCGGGACCTCAGACTCTCATAGTCTTCATTCCCAACCATACACGAATGTTACTTCTCCGGAATTCGTGTTGGCAGAGAAGAATAAGAAGTTCAAATACGAGCCTCTTGAGGATAATGCCGACTGCTTGGGAGGGATGCTGTTTGAGCAAGACTTGTATGGACGTATGTGTCGAGGAAACTATGGACAACCCAGAATAAACAGCCATCTTTTGTTGTTGACTGCTGAAGAAGCCAGAAACAAGATCACGTCAACAAAGCTTCTTGATAGTGAGATATCTGTTGCAGACCTTTTACACTTGTCGACCGGTACGCCCTCAAAGCTAGGTGGAAAGATACAAGAGATTAAACCCACTCCAGTCGAGGAGAATGAGTTGGATCTGCCTGAAAATGAATGCATCAACAATAATGTGTCTTTTTCACTCACCTTAGGAGATCTAAACATGAATGTAAATAATTCAGATTTCGGTTTTATTGATTCAGATGGTTCTTCTCAGTCAGAGGTGCTCGATACCCTCAAAGGCATCAACAGTTTTACACAGCTGCCTGAAGATACACATGCTTTCAACACAGAAACGGACACCACACCAGAAGATATGTTCACTTTGAAGGACACTTACATACCTGAGATGAACTCTTCCTTTGAAATAATCCCATCAAACAACAAACTCTGTAAAGTCTACCCCATTTGTCAAGACAATTGCCAAGATTGCCGACATGGACTGAACAACCCGGCACCACATGGTAACTCCAGGGTCACCAGCGAGAAGATGAATTCCTTGGCGTCACCAACAGGAACATCTAATCCGCTGGGTCTGGAATTTGATTCCAGACAGCATCTACCTGGAAGTGGTTCCATAAAGGCACAAAAAGACAGCGACGATAATGGAAACCCTCAAGGCACAGTTACTAAAACAGAGTCGTTTTCTGGTGTGGTTAGCGCACGTTTGAGACCAAAAGGATTATCTGGACAGAGTAACTGTGGCAGCCCGATCGCTCGAGGCATTAACAGCGACAGAGAGTTTGAACAGCTGTTGTCGCTTGTTCAAAATATTTCTCGAGTCAGCGAGGGACCTTTGTCTTATCAGCCAACCAAATCAGCTCTTTCTAGCTTACTTTCATTTAATAAACATTCAGATTTGCAAGAAGATAGCACCAAAAACCAAGACCTAACAAATCACAACGAACCAAACAAAACACCAGACCGCACAATGCATCAAAATTGTATAGCAGGAAAATCTTCCAGCATCAGTTTTGAAGACCTTCATGCAAAAGTAGCCCCAAGCTCCAGAACCCCCTCAAAGACAAAGATTGGGCAATCTTTGCAAGATCCTGAACTCTCCTCTCTCTCCACCCCTTGTACATCCTCCCTCTCAGCTGATGCACAAGTTAAGCTCCCCTCTACCCCTGTCTGTTGCCCCTCCAAACATCCCTCAAGCACGGGGCCCAGTGCTGGAGCCGGCACTACTCTGGCCGTGGCCCCCTTCACCACCACCACCTCCTCTTCTTACTCCACCACCTCCACCACTGACCAGCCCCTGGTCGATGCACGGCACTCACTTTTGCCTGAGGAGACTCAGCCAGCTAGCAACCTGCCCCATCAGGAGAGCAGGTGAGAATCCTCCCTCTAGGATACCACATGTGTAGGTGTTTACAAGCTGTTCTAAATTTGGAATAGCAGTCAAGATTTCAGCTCACACTGCACACTTCTTTTGACTTTGTTGCTGTGGTTGCTTTGTTCGCTGTTGGCCTGGCCTGTTTGATGCTGAATGCCTTTTTAAGTTCTGTCCTTCCATCCAAGATCTTTGGATGATATTTGCTGCTTTTGTCTTGGCTTTGCTTTTCATTTATGTTCTTCATCTCATCATTCAGTTTCTTGTTGCCTGTTGTAATTCAGCTGTTTTCCTTACACTTTGTTCTGCTTACATTTAGCTATGTTAATTACCACCGGTCAAGTCATGACCAGATTAGCGGTCAACGACTGACGCAAATACCAATAATGAAAGCACAGGATGGCAAATGTATAGTGTCGATATAATAAAGACAATAGAAAATAAAAGTAAATAATAAATAAAAACCCAAAGTAAATACTGCAATAAAAATGAAATTGAAAAAGTCATGTATAAATCCATTGTTTCATGCATATTAGAATCATATTTCCATGGTTATGGTAGACAGTAACATGTTTTATATTGATATTTAATGAATTTAGAAAACAACCATTAATCTGCCTGATTAATCGGCCAATCGATTAACTGGTCAATCTTTAGTTCAGATCATTACAAACCAAAAGCAAACTCTGATTCTTATTCTCTGTAGAGGAGTATGATATCACAGAACATCTATTTTTATGCTCAGAGCATAAAACCCATCGTAATTATAACAGCAGGCTTTGGCTCTCTGAAGCTGACCGCTATAAAGTGCAGTTGTATCATTATGATCACCTTTATTTAATCAGGTAGTGCCATTAAACGCAAGCAGACTTCACAAGGGCGCCTTCATTACAAGTTTTGAACATAACCAATAAAGATTCATTATTAGATATGAGCATAAGTAGACCAAAGGTCAAAAAACACTTCAAATTTGCATTTACACTGATTGATAAAGAGATCCAGGTTGATTTATAGGGATCTTTCTGTACTCTCTTTATCCTCCTTGGGCAAAATACTGAAAAAGCCAGTTTCCCAGACTCAGTTCAAACATGATGATGACCTCTGGCTAAGTAGTTGTTGGATTTAGTGCAGAGTGAAATTATCTAGTTTAAACCTGTGAAATGCCTAAACTTATATGTGGGAATGAGAGAAGAGGATGGTTTAGTAAAGCAGATGTTCGGGAGGATCCAAAATTAGTGGCACACCTGACTTCAGTCCTAGGACACAAATAATTCATGAAATCTGTCCGATAGGCATTTTTTACACTGCAGCAGGTACAGGAGAGGAAGAATATATATTTAACATAGAGTTGTGGTTTTATGTTTGTTTGCTTAGTAAAAATAGACAAAAGGTCATCTAGTCACTGCTACTTTGATGTTGAATCTTTTCTTTTCTAGTGCACCCAAAATAAAAACAAGTCATATTGATATCTTTGAAACTAAACTTTCTATCTGGTGTTTCCACCAAATCTTTGAATTCTTGTTTTCCTCTGAATTTCCTTTTCTAAATACTCCCCCGCTGCTGCTGCTGCTGATGCTGCTATTCTTGTTGTTGTTATTGTTGTTGTTGTTGTACTGTGAACTCTTTGTGCTTCACGATATGATCATATCCTTCAGCAGCATGAGAAAAGCTGTGCTCACTTTGGACCTTTAACTTCTACAGCCTGCTGATACAGCAGTAGTTTTCTTGTCTTTATTTCCATGATGATCAATCCTTCAAAGAACAAAAGTCCATTTTTGTGTAGGATTTATTTCATTCAGGGGGTAACTGTGAAGTCGGTTAGTTCTTTTTGAAGCACTTATAATAAAACATGGCTGTGTTAGAACACCAGCGCTGACCTTTTCACTTTTACAGACCTCATCCAGTGAAGCCATTAACCTCTAGCCAGCCTGAGAAGAAAGAAGGCCGCTCAGTACTAGAGAAACTGAAATCTACCATCCATCCTGGACGCACCACTGCTCAACAGGCTGCAGCAGAAACGGAGAAGAGTCAGGTAAAATAACATGTAATGTTATTGTTTTTATAGTGTTTAGTGCTTTTTTTAGAGGGAAAGGATCTGAACATTTGCTGTATGAACTAGTCTGACTGCTTCCTACTGGCTCTTGTTAGGCTGCAGTTATTTTCAACACCTGGGAGAGAAATGCTGAATCCATAACTCCCCGTTACATGTGACATAACACTTTGGCCCAGATAAGAAGTTCCCAGGTCCCAAAATCATGTTTCTAGTCTTCTACTTAAACACTCTGTACTGTTCATGTTACAGCCTGTTAGGGAATGAGCTGATAGGGCTCAACTCTGATGCTGTTTCTTGGGAATTAAGGTTCTTATTATATGATATTTTGACCTGAAAGGATCAGGCTAAGAACAGTGTTTCCCTACAGTAATTTTTATATTCAAGTATTTTATTTTTGAACACCCCTCACACAGGAGCCAAGAGTCACTCTGAATTCACCCATGATGCCGTGTTTGACTGTGTGCACACAGCAGAAAAAACTAATTAACACGTCACAACAAAAAAACCATTTGGTGCACAGACTATTAAATGCCTCCATGAGCTCTTATTAACACCAACACTTGGTGTTAATAAAATCTCTGCAGAAGCATAGCTGATGCCTTAATCTTCGCATGTGACCCACTTTGTTTTTTAACAGCTGCAACACAGCACGACACACCATAAACAGCCGTTTAAGAGCACTAAGCCTTCAGTTCTAATCCTCTATCTTATTTAACAGAATAGTGTGACATGCTGTGAAAAGTGCACATTCCCCATTTTTCCCTTCTTGCTAAGAAGGAGATGAGAAGCTTGACACCCCCTTTATGTCTGAATGATAAATATGGAGTCACAGAGAGGAGGTGGTACGCTCAGCTTCACACAGAGACTGGAAATTCAGGAATAGAGGAAGCTTTCTTTTCTAACACAGAGCCAAATGATTAAAATGATTTGTCATTTTGAGTCTAATGACTTTTAATGTGAAAAATTTGTTGTTGCAATTAATTGAAGCAATGAAATCAGTGGTGTACTGGACACACTGATCACGACAAGAGATTTTTGCAATATTTGTCTATCTTGAAACAATACATGTGGACACCAGTATGGAGCTTCTTCACCTTTATTTGAAAAATATACTCATAATATTTATTTTCTCTATCAGTGGAGAGAACTAATACCCTTTAAAACAAAATGTCCAAGTACTCCAAAATTGGCTCACCAGAATCCTCTGTGTTTCTGCCTCTTCTTTCATCTGTTTCTAATCATAGAATCCAAAATATTGAGCATATAAGGGTGTGAAACAGTTTTAATATCTTGATTTTTATAACCTCAACTTCAATCAAACCAGATTTCCTCATTGTGTGTCTTTATACTCTTCCTTTCGAACCCGCTGCTGGTCTAATCCTCATTTTAAATGGACACTCTCTAAAAACACTTATTTCTTCAACCCAATTCCTGGCTTTTACATGTTGAGTTAAATTTCTGGGTTATTTTTCAGATCCATCCCCATTTCCTGGGTCATATAAATTCTATTGTAACCCAATTTGAGGGTCATTTTTCTGAGAGTAACCCAATACTTGGGTTGGGTTCGATGGGTTGGGTTGAACGTTGGGTTCGATTGACTCTACATGGTTTCAAGGCCTAATGGCAATTAAAGTGACCTGGTGACCTTGTGAACATTGACCTTGATTTTATATACAATATGATATATAAAATATGCTGGGGTAGTTCAGCGGGTAGAGCATCCAGTTTCTAACCAGGGGGTTGGGGCTCAAACCCCACACAAGACACATCCGTAAGGAGTTTAGTACATCTACCTGTGTGGGTCCTCAGGCAAGACCCTTAGCACTATGGCCTACCTCATAAACATGAGTGTGCACCATTGAAAGCCAAACCGGCTCAGACGGTACAGGTTGGAAAAGCAAAGCTCCCAAAAAAAAAGCTCCCCAAATGCATATATCAATATAACCCAAGATCATGAGTCAAATTAACTCTAACAGTGAGTTAACTTGACCCCTAAAAAGAGTTATTGGGTCAACCCAAAATTTGGTTAATTTGGGGTTTTTAGAGTGCAGATATGAAAGCAGTATCTATCTCATCTAGTTCTTGATAGGACTGTAATTAAGTGGACAATATTCCCTCAAATGCACTCTTCCTCTATTGTAGGAGGTGATGGTGGACAACTCAGCACAGTACCAGCACCTCACCAACATGGAGCTGATCTCCCTCTTGCTGCAGCAGGAGATGGACATGCAGAAGCAGCAGGCGGCCTCCGATCGGCAGGGGGCGCAGCTGCAGAAATGTGAGGCTGAGCTGAAAAAGGTCAAGTTGCAGGTTCGAGATCTGGAGGACTACATTGATAACCTTTTACTGCGGATCATGGAGCAAACTCCCACGCTGCTTCAAGTGCGTACCAGACACAAGTGACCACAGTACAGGTGTGTGTATGCTGTTTAGCACATGCACTATTTCCTCTTAAGTGGGTAAAAAGCATAGAGTTAATGCTCTAAGATTGAAATCTCAGATTTAAAGGCAGAATCAACTGCTCCAAAATCATCCAGGTCTCCTCACTGCTGATACTGCCCTGTTGATGTAGACACGATATTATACAACATGCATGCTGGTTACTCTCTAAATTTGGCACGAACACAGAAGAACAAGAGAAAATGCTTCTGCTAAAGTGGATGCAAATGATTCTTTCATCAATGCTTACTAGAATAATCTAAGGTAGTCAGCTTCTGTCAGTATAAACTTTAAAAATTCTGCTTTCACACGTGCATAGAAAATAAACTCTTGCAAAAACCCTTTTTTTGAAAATGAGGTGAATATGCTCCTCTGGCTAGATATGTAATTTGCTCAAGTAAACCTGAAAGTTGCAGCCGTCGCTGTGAAGAAAAAAAATGTTTTACACATTTTCAACTTGAACAGTTTTATGGATGCCAAGAGCACAAAGTTTAACTTGAGTTAATCACATATTTGCTAATAGAACTTAGGAAATGCTACAAAAAATAGCAACGAAAGCTGCGCCGCAATAAAAAATGTTCCCGCATTAACGTCGCTGTATGATAAACTGTTCATGTTTGTGTGCAATAATACTAAGAGAGGATTTACTATTTGCTTTTTCTGTCTTTATAATTTCTACAAAATATATTCAGTGTTGTTTCCTAAAAACAGTAAAAATGTTTAAGTATGTTTCAAAGTTTTGTTGTCCATTCTGCAGTAGGTTTTTGTTGTAATGACATTCACTGCAGAAATAACAATGATCCAATGCAGTAAATAAGGTTTAATAAGTTATTTTTACCAAATACTTTGTCATGATATATTCTCTAATATCACTCTAGTACCACTGTAGCTACTTATGATGCTTTACATGACCGCAGTACTGTACTGTTTAAAATAAAGTGCACATGAATCCAAGTGTGTGAGCTCTTTGTGTTGTTGGTTTTTTATACTGAACAAAGCGGAGCTAGTATTTTATCACATCCTTCACACTGTACTTCTGTAGCAGTTCTTCTTTTTCTCCACTAGAGAGCGCTGCTTACTACACAGTTTGTTTGGAAAGCTGCTGCTTCAGCATGTACTTGTCCTCTGCAAGTTCAGGAGAGCTTTTTATCCATGACTCCACAGACTCTCTGTACACCTCTCTGATGATCAGGAGAAAAGGCAAATACTGTTGAGCTGGTTTTGCTTTGACATGTCTTTTTTAAAAATGTATTTCTTAGCACTGTTTTCAGATTGCTTTAAGCTATTTTACATTATTGAGTTCTATTGTGAGAGTTTTTTGCAATAAAAAAGGGAATTTGAGTCTACATTTGGGCTTCTCACAATTTTGGTGGTAAAAAAAAACTTAAAGCTACTATAAGGAACTTTTTTTATATATTTTCAAAGTAGACCTAAACTTTTATTGATGTCTTTTTATGATATGCAAAAGCAAACAATAACATCCCCCACAGAGCTTGCAACTTTTTTTAATCATAATATCAAATGCTTGAAACTGATGCTAGAACCAGACTGTTTTTACATTTTCCTGATAAAAAATGAAAATTCCCCCTCTGTAGGATAAATAAAGGTTTATCTTGACTTGCTTTTCAAGGTATGGTTTAAAAAACTTTTGCTTTTCACATTTCAGTGCTCTTAAAGTTTTACCCTCATTTTGTGTAATTGACTTTTGAGTATTTTACTGTTTGTTCTTTCCTCTCTTGTTTTTTATATCTCATTGAGAATTGTCTTTGCTTTCGCTTGTTTTCTCTCTTAATTTGCTTTCTAACATCTAATGATTTGGATTTTCTCCATTACTGTTGGTTCCTCAGCATGTCTGTAAACGAGCAGTGTAGATGGAGATAAAACCGGAGTTCCTAAATTCATCACAGTTGCTGAAAGAGGAATAAGGGGAGAGTGGGGTAAGATGAGCCATTTTTCATATTTCAGATCACTACATCAAGACCATCATATTTTTGTCTCTAACTAGTGTATCTGCATATATTTCAGAATGTTGTGCATGTGAATGAGTGGAAACACAACTGTCTTGATAATATAGCATGCCAAAAAAGTGGTCTCCTATGGTCAACTTACCCTGTGTGTGGGGTAAGTTGACCATAGCAGCGGGGTAAGTTGAGCCGTATCCCTACTACCCACCCACTGTCCACCCCAGCCCTCCCTCACCTTCTCTCTCCTTAAATAACAGTCACTTCTTCACATTCATGTGTATTTTTATCTATTACGCGCTATTTAACTGGTACAATAATTCTTTTTATTATTATCATTGCATATAAGTGCTAAAAATGTTAAAAATGTTTTGTAAAAATCCATTTTAACATGAGAATGTCTTTAAGTGATTCAGAACATTCACAGCTGCATTTTTGAAAAGAAAAAGTAAAACATTTCAACAATCTGAACTGAAACTCTGATCCTCTCATCAGACTCCTTTACTTTCTCAGGTGAACCACTGGCTTAGCTTACTTACTTAGCTGAACTACTATAATGACTTTACTAGTCCTCTAAGCTAAAATGGTGGACTTTTATGCTCAGTTTTTGACCTCATGTTGTAGCTCATAGATACCACAATTGATGTATAAAACAAATATAAAATGATCTTTTTTAGTCTGAACACAATTCTAATAAAACTTGTGACTTGTAATTCACTTTCAAGAATGAAAAATGTTTTTTTGGAAATAAATGTCTAACCCCTTCACCCATGTGCTTCTAACCTTCACAGACTCCATGAATTGATGTCCATCTCCTAAATATTTGGTCACATGATCAATTTCTTTTACCATTTCCAAAGAACAGGGGGTGGATCAACTTACCCCACTCTCCCCTATAGTGAATTCCCATACATTAATCTCCACTTTTTTCCCTTTATTCAAAAATTGGGATAGCTCTAGGACAGATGTGATGCATGCAGTGTGTTATGTGGCTAAACTGTAAAGACTGCTGCACACATAATCGATTAAAAACAGGCCTCTTTCTGCTCGGGGTCATTTAATGACAAGAGTGTAATAAAAGTGTTCACCTCTGTGACAAATCTCTCTCTTTTCATGCTTCAGGTTACCCTCTCTTGTTTGTCTCTCCAGTGGACCTGTGAGCTGCTGTCCAGCTGATCTTACTCCTCGCGGATGTTTCTCTCTCTTGGCCACGCCCCTTCCACACAATGATTAATCGGACACCTCAGGGGCGCATCCACTGTTATCGCTGCCAAGATCAATCCGAACACTTATGCAATAGCTCTCACCTTATCGATTATTTGGGATGTGTAGTCATGCGGTTCAACTTTGCCAGTGCTGATGTAAACGGGGGGACTACAGCTCCCGGCAGACAAAGCGGCTCGGTGCTCCACTAGTTTCACATTGACCGTAGTTCGCTCTTGTTGAAAATCCGTTCATGATTCACTTCATTAATAAATAAGTAGTTCGGTGTCATGGCGGAATCTGCTGCATGTCCTGCTTTCCAGCTCGGAGGAGCCCGATACGACCAGGTAAGTGCCCTCTCCTCTGCGTTAAATGTGCGTTAATGACATTTTGTTTTTAAGGCTTTCTGGTGGAAAAACAGCCCCATCCTCCTCTTCCTCCTCCTCCTCCTCCTCCTCCTCTTCTCTCTCCGCTCTGGATGCTCACACTTCGCAGCGAAAGTTGCCTTTGATCCGCGATCCCAATCTTCGTAAAGAAACCCTCACAACTTCCACTATTAACCAACTTCTGCGGTAATTGGATGAGTTTCAAGTTTGAGGAAAGAATAGTCTGTCTGCAGAGTCATATCGCTGTTTACATCTCGACAGATGGATTTGACACCCTTTTTCTCGGTGCATCATAATATCAGTGTTCAGGTCTGCACATATCCTGCACGCCAGTCCATCTTTCTTTTTGACTGTTTTGTTCATGTTGGGGTTTTTTTATGCTTTCAAAGATTTCTGATCCTGTAAATACGAATTTGCTCAACATTTATCCATTTTTAAACACCATCGTGTCATTTTCTTCATAGATGCCCTCAGCTGATCCATTTGTGTTTGAGATTAATGGGGCTGCCTGTCCTTATCTAAAGTCAATTACTCATAGTAGTCCTCACAGATGGATTTGCATCGGTCAGCCTTGAGATATGATGTGACCTTCACGTTCACTCACATAAACTCAGTAAGCTGTATAAAGTGCATGCACATATCTGAGGCTTCTCCCCTGGAGGCTATTCATTAAGCGTGTCCCCAAGGAAATGATTTGCCTGATGGTGCCTCACAGAGCAAAGGTGTTACTAGATAAGTTGCTCAACTTTTTGAGATGCTTCGCCTTAAACTTGTGTGAACTATCAATGTAGTTATTATCAAGGGAAGTGGGGCAATCTTAATGCAAAAAAGCATTAAAAAAGCTATTTAAACTGTTTTAATCCAACTACAACTCTTTTATATTGATTCCTGAGCATATCTACAGGTCTGTGGCCAAAAGGTTCAAGGCTGCAAGGGCCTCTGACGCTTAAGTAAACATTTTTTTTTTTGTAAGCTAAATAGCCAAAGTCAGTGGTTATTTATTTATTTATTTTTTAAAACTATGTACAGAGGCGGCCCAAGGCGTTAGCGAACTACGCGTCGGCTTAGGGCCCCACAGCCAGTAGGGGGCCCCCAAAAGCAATCAAAAAAAAAAAAAAAATGTAAATGTTTTTTAGTTTTTGCATGTATTAGTGATGCTTTCCGTACGATCGAATATATATTATTGTAAAGATTAAATAAAGTAAAAATATTTTAGTGCTGCTGCTGATGTAGGCCTATGATTCTTACTGCCAATGACACTTTTACAGTAAACACAATACTTTATCACTTGGAATATTGTGAAAATCAACCCCAGGCCGCTCTTGCAGCTGAATGTTTTATATTTTGAGATTAAAAACTATTTGTGGCACCCTGAACATCATTCATCAGTCTACATTGGTATTATTTGTATGGTTGCATTGGTGTCATTTATGCTATTACTTAGACCACCCTCTTAAATGTGTAAAGAAACGTCAGGCGCAATAAATTTATACTGTAGTAGGTGTGTGAATGATCAACAATCAATATATTGGCAGAAATAGAGGGCCCCAAAATCAAATTTTGCTTAGGGCCCCATTGAGGCTCTGACTATGTAAAACAATCACAAAAAAAGGAGTGAAAACAGAGGGACAAAAGCAAACGAATCAGATGCTAACTGACCAACAAGAGAAACAAAGATGCTGGAAAACATCCATATAAGGATTCCAAATGATCATGAATTTATTTAACAAAATTAGAAAAGAACCTATGAGGCAAATAATCACAGAATTATACAAAATCAACTCTAGAAAACGAAAAAAAGGACACTAATGATCACGAGAAATTACTTCAAGAAAAAACAAAGCTGTGACACAGGGATGCAAAACAGTCACAAAGATTTGTTTAACAACATAACATACTAATACAAAGGCACTGTAGGGAGAAGAATTACTAAAAGAGATGTAAATTTACTTTAGAGGGATGCAAGACAATGTTATATACATAAGAGATCAAAAAGAAAAATAAAGAGGTACAAAAAATCAGCTGCATGACCAATGGTTGACTAAAATTGACCCTTCTGGGGATGCCAAATGGTACACACACTAAAAACACCCGACATGAGTACAAAGATCCCAATACAGAAAGAAATCAAGCATAAGAACTAAGACGACTACAAAAGATGTTAAATGACTTCAGAAGTTTGCAGGAAAATATAAAGATTCTCAACAACCTCAAAGAGATGAAAAACAGACAAAGAGTGGCTGGATGCTAAATAGTAACATAACCTTGTAATTCTGATTATAACAGCCACCTAAAGATACTGAATAAGATCAAAAAGGAAAAATTTGATAACGAACAGACACAAAACGATTGAAGGAACACACACAAAAACTGACACAGGGATGCACAATGGTGGGAACAGTAATATTTTCCCAAGACGCGACCTGAGCACAAAGAACCTGGCCTCAAAAATGACAAGAGTGTCAAAGTAAAAGAAAGTCATGTCAAAGAGAGATCCAAAGAATTCACGTACAGCATAAACTCAATGAAACATGGAGTCACTAATGACCGAAAAGGTTCACAATTACCTTCAGGGGATAAAAAGGACCACGTTGAAACCCAAAGCATGACTATAATCATACGCAAAAGGATAGTCTGACGTATTATAAGGTTTTTAAAAGGGTTAGGAGTGTTTTCTTGACGCTCTTATTAAATTGGGATATTGCACGTTTCAAAGAGATTCTCAGTAACAGTTCATTTACAACACTTGTCTCATGTGAGTTACTGTTTTTTTAGCGATCGCCATCACAAATCTAATGAAGAGCGTTAAATCCTTAACCGACCCTCCCATCTGCAACCTGAAATTTATACCAGCTTGATAAAGGTGGTGTAATACTTTCACTCCCTTGCATCAAAGCAGTTAAAATTAGGCCAGTCCTCGAATCATTATAAATCTTGCTCAGTTTGTGTGTACTTGCTTCCGTGCTCCGTTCCTGCCAGCCTTGTTGTGTACTCTCCAGGGAGCTGAGGCTCATGCATAATTAAAGCAGGCTCCTCACATGGATCCTCACTCTACCCCAGTCTTACAAAACAGCACTGCAGCACATATGGTCCGTCAGAGGAAGAGACAGTGATGGAGGAATAGCTGTGTCAGAGAATCCTGACATACAGTGAAAATAGGAGCTTTATTTGCAGTCTTTAGAGGGACTGAATATCATTTCCAGTCATTTCAATTAGGACTCAGTGCTGGACAGATAATTAAAGCACAAAGGGGTTTGTTCCACCGTGTTTTCTGCCCTTCATAAATGATAAATGTCTAAGAGGGAAACTGATTGAATCGAGCATGTTTTTGTCCAGCCGTTTAGCCAAAGAGATTCTTGGCATAAAGTGCTGTGGGGCCTTTTCAGACAGTTGGCACGCATACTTAGCAAATTGGCATTCTGATGAAGGCAGCGAGGGGAACAGAAGAGGGAGCTTGACCAGCAGCTCCATGCCTCTCTCTCAGGAATGTGTTCGCTTAAGTAAACCTACTCAAAATTCATCATTTCCTAGAAAGTTTCACATAAAAGGTGCACTTTTAGTTTCAGATATCGTTGTATTTTACTAAAATGTTTGGATAAGGGAGCAACTTTGTTCTATTTTTGTTCTTCAGTGTAGTCTTGGGGAATTTTTGCTGTTATCAAAAGGAAAAAGAGAGGAAGGAAAAGTAAGGAGAGCGGGGAAACAAATGCTGCAAATGTTTGTGTGCACTATAGCCTTTGTTAATGGGCCACAAGACCAATTTTGTCATTTTACCGTGGTGTACATAATAAGCCTATTTACTGTAGTTAAAGCTCCAGTAAGGAGTTTTTTACATACATGGAAAAGACTGAATTTCATATCATTCTCCTTCATCAGCGACATGATTTAGTATGAGGGGGTAGGTGTTGGCTAAGCTGCAGAAGCTGCTCTGTTTTCACAATGTCCACATGAAATATTTACAGTAATTGATACATCTGACCGTCAAAAGTCAGCACAATTGTTTATGTTTTATCAGAAGACACCGTTTAAGCATGTAGAAAATAAGATAAGCAAAGAGCCAAAATGGACTCAAACTTCATCATCACTGGAGTTTTCATATTTTTATCACTCAAATAGCAAGGACTTGTGCATGAGACTTTTTATTGACCTTAATCTTTTCCAGTGATGAAATATTTGGAAAAACAGGTGCAAACAAAAATAGAAACCCTCATATAAAACAAACAAACAGTCAGGAAACACAGACATTGACTTAAAGTTACCAAAAATTGGATACAATAACTTCGTGTATACATAGTAACTAATGTTATAAAAAATATGCTGAAACTGTGCAATGACATTCTGATTTTAACATTTGAATCTACATCGTGTGGGTATCAGAGCTCAAAGGTGTGTTGCTAAAGGTTCAGAGCTTCATACTGCAGCTCATTGTCTCTGTTTGGGAAACAAAGCAAACATCGTAGACACTGAGATGGAGATATTTTGGGAAATGCATCTTTTTTTGTCTTTCTGCAAGAGTTAGGTGTGAACACCCATACCACTCTTATGTCTAAGCTAGGTGTTATTTTCTGTCTTTAGTGCTTATGTAATGTAAATTAATCCTGAGGGGCTGAGCAGTTGAGGTGTTTGCCTAAAGTCCTTGTTGCAGTGGTCATCCCATCTAATCAAGTCAAACATGTACAATAAAATAATCTAATCCTCTCTGTTCTCCATTCTTGTTCCATACAGTCGTGAAATTGGTACCAAACTTGTTATCAATTTTTGGAAAGATAGGAAATATTCCTTTAACTGGAAATGTCCTACTCAGTCAAAGTGTTGATTCTATGGATTTTGAGCTTTAAATGACAAAATATAACATATTTGTTTCACACAACAGCTGAGTTAAATATTTTCGTCAAAATGTTTAGATATGAGAAGTTAAAAAAAGCAAATAAGGCAGCTTTTTCTTTCTCTGCCAGATTATGTCTCTGGTTAGTTTGGGAACAGCTTCATGAACACAGAGATGTTTACATTTACAAGAGATAAACTGACTATATCAAAATGTAACCAAAGTTAAGGCATGTACTGCAGCTGAGTAAAACATTGCTCCGGCATGTGAGAGTTTTCAAAGTTTATTTTAGCACTCGTGCATAAAACTTGAATCGGTTTAGACTTGAGAGGACTTTGACTTCACAGAGAGGAGGATTGTCTCTCTCTTTGAAAATGAACTTTGTTTTCTTGTTTCTTCCAGGGTTCGTTCTTTGGACGTCTGAGACACTTCATCGACATCATCGACCCCAGCACCTTGTTTGTGTCTGAGGTAAACTTTTCTGTGTGTGTGTATACTTCGCTGATCGATGAACAATATGCTCTGAATGGATTCAAAAAAAAAAAGTTTGAGCTGCTGTTGAGTTTCATACTCTTCTGTTGATGAAAACTGCCCAAAAAGTCAGATGTCAAAATATTTTAATAATATCTCTGTTGCTCGGAGTTGGCTGATTCCAAAGTCACAGTTTGCTGCTTGAGTTTGTCTCACAGTTTATGATTGAATATTGATTGAAAGATCATAATGAGTTTGTCGGGTGGCTTAAAGCTCCTGTGAGGAGTATTTTGACATTTAAGGAAAGACTTAAAATTATATTGATCCATCCTTGTGATATAAAGAAGCAAACAAGACCATGGGTGACAAGATTAATGGTTTTCATATCGTCATTTCTGGGTTCACCAAAATCTACTCAATCTCATTTGCTATTCATCGTTTTAACGCTTTAATTCATCGTCTAATTTAGCTTGTTCCTTTTTTTCTCCGTTTCTAGAAAACGTTGACCGAAAGCATCAAACTCCTTGATGACTACAAACATGGCACACTTCCACCTGGAGTCTCTGATCTTCAGGTGAGGTTCACTGATGCCGTCGTGGTAATATGCGGATTGTATTACAGCGTAATTTGATAGCATGTACCTGAGGGTTGTGGACCTGGTGACTAATTGTTAGTTATTTCTCCCTGCCCTGCTCACCTGCAGCTGTGGGACGCCCAGAAGATCAAGCAGGTAAGTGATTCTCCGCCCGTCATACATCAGCTCAGGTTAACAGCACCTCCATACATTGAAGCCTGTGGGCTCCTGGCAGCATGAGGATGATGCCTTGCTCTCTGCACGCAGGCCATCATTCATCCTGACACAGGAGAGAAGATCTTCATGCCATTTCGAATGTCAGGTACGATCCACATGAAGATCTTTGACGAAGTTGTTGAAGTTGACACCATTTTTCTCATCATTTTCTTTACTCTGAAAATCACCTCTTGGCTCGTGCAGGTTATGTGCCATTTGGAACACCGATTGTAAGTCTCATATGAAACTCACACATTTAAACTCGGCTGTGCAGATATCCATTTACATGGTCACGTTTGGGAACTGATGACATGAGACTTTGGACTTATTTTACCCAGAAATAAGCTCTTATTCCCTGGTCTCATCTAGGTCATTGGCCTTCTTCTCCCAAATCAGACTGTGCTGTCTACCATTATATGGCAGGTACTGTAAATAAGAGACGTATTGTAAATCCATTGCATTGATTGTTGACTGTCTGGTAAGCGCACTTTTATTGCCTACATGTGAACATTTCCTATGAGAAAGAGTGGAACAAGGACGCTGAAAATAAAGTGCTGCTGCTGTTCGCTTCTTTCTGTGTGCTGACGCTTTCTAGAAACATGTACAGTAACTCTATCTATCTATCTATCTATCTATCTATCTATCTATCTATCTATCTATCTATCTATCTATCTATCTATCTATCTATCTATCTATCTATCTATCTATCTATCTATCTATCTATCTATCTATCTATCTATCTATCTATCTATCTATCTATCTATCTATCTATCTATCTATCTATTTTTAACCCTTATTCCCTCTTTATAATCTTTCTCTCCTACAGTGGCTGAACCAGAGTCACAATGCATGTGTAAATTACGCCAACCGAAACGCCACGAAGGTAGGCACAATTTTCTAGCCTTGATTTGCTGTAATATGTTTATTTTGGGTTTTTTTCACATAAAAATATCAAGCATGTTTTTCTATTTTTTCTGGATATCTTTTTATATCTCACTTATATAAAGGTATGACACAATATTTGCCTTGTCCTTCCTCAGCCTACGCCCACATCCAAGTTTCTTCAAGGCTACGTAGGAGCTGTGACCAGTGCTGTTTCTATCGCTGTGAGTGAGATTCTCGTTTAGTTACATCAGTATCCCCCTCAGAGTCCAGTTTACCTATCCTCTTTGATTTTACCTGCAAATGCTGTCCTGAGCTGCTTTAAATGTACACTGCTGATATTGTTTCGGCTGGAATATTAATAGAGGCGGTACCAGTGATCCTGATCAGCTTTGGGATACTCAAAGCAGTACAGCTGCAAAACTGATGTCTGTATCTTAGTTAGAATTAGTAAGTAAGAGAGGATCACAAAGTCACCATTACTGCTTCATTAATAGAATTATTTTCCTCTAGAGGTCTATTTGAGGTACATTTCTGAAGCAGTTCCTTATGATCTCGATCTTTTCTGTGTTAAAGTCATTTTCTAACCTTTCTTTTTCTAATAGGTGGGACTGAATGTTCTGATTCAGAAAGCCAACAAGCTGAGCCCTGCCACCAGAATGATAATTCAGAGATTAGTCCCCTTCCCAGCTGTAGGTAGGTTTCCAAGGATGTACTGTATAAGTGATCATGTGTAAATAAGCATGCGGCCCTCTGCTGGTCGGAGACGTCGCACAGATTTTGGACGTAATCTAATCTGGTCTAAATAAAGTAAACAGCTTTTACAAATAAGATATAAAATGAATAATGAAGCCTCTTATCACCTGCAAAGATAAATATTATCAAGTAGTGTATCTTCCAAATATCATTAAATTCAGAGGGTTTCTTCTTAACCATACAGGTCACATAGTAATTTTTAAAGCCTAATTCTTAATGTTGCCGCCAGACTAAGACGAGGCTGTGAACAGCTGAAAAAGCAGCCTTAGTTTATGTTTTCTACTGCAAAGATTTATAGAAAGTGATGTGTTTGTTAAAGTAACACAGGAGGGAGAGGGACTGCATGTCTGTGTGAAAGCTTCAATTTTAATAAAGTGGAATCAAGATTTGACTAAGAGTACTTTGAAATAACTTATTGTTTTGATAAGTGCCTGTATCTCTTGCCTGAATATCTTTTATTGTCCTGTGAGAAAATGTTTCAGATTTTAAAAAAGACCGTCTTTGTCTCTAATCAACCTCAGCGAGTGCAAACATCTGCAACGTTGGCCTGATGAGACACAATGAGCTCTCTGAAGGGATCGATGTGCTGGACAACAATGGGAATGTGGTGGGATCCTCAAAAATCGCTGCAAGACATGTAAGTAGCTTTTTTTTTCACACACTCGTTGTTAGTCTGTCAGTTACATTAACATTTCATTATGTATGTGATGGCAGCTGATAAAACGAAAAGGCAATAATTCCTGCTCCCCTCCTGTCACTCAGCAGACATCTGATCCCATGAAAAGGGAAAATTAAATCCAACTCATTGCAATATTTGAAGTGAAGCGTGTGCACAATGTTCTTTTTTTTCCCCCCCAGGCGATCATGGAGACTGCTTTCACACGTGTGGTCCTCCCCATGCCGATCTTTGTCCTGCCCCCCATCATCATGTCCTACCTGGAGAGGTTCGTACAAAAATATACTATCAATCAATCAATTTTTATTGACATAGCACCAATTCAAGACAAGTGTTTAGAGAGGGGAAGAGAAAGATGGACCGATCCGATCCAGAGAGCCTCATGATATAATGGAGCTCAGGGACTCTTGTTAAATCTGTCGATCACTTTATATACAGCATACTTTTTTTGGCCTGTAAAATGTATAACATCAGAAAAATGTTCCTCAAAACTTCCCTCAGTCCAAAGTTTTGTTTAGACTTGATGTGCTCAAACTTTTCTAGCATATGGAACAGACTAGTTTGTGATTACAGACCTGAATTTGAGTTTCGGACGTTGCTTTTACTATAAAACATACTAAGTAAAATGTCACAAAGAATTTTCAAAACTAAAAATATCCTGTTTCCTGCTTTCTTCCCCCCTTTTTTTTATTACATTTCTTCTTCTTACCTATGTATAGTTTTTATTTTGGTCCTCATTGTCTCATTTTATGTTGTAGGGTTCTTGTATTGTCTGGGTTTCTCATGACAACTGAAATTGGCCTTCAATTGGGCAGCCTTGTTTTTAACTGTTTGTCAAAGCACTTTGTAAACCTCTGTTTTTAAAAGTGCTATAAAAATAAAGTTATTATTATTTTTATTATTAAAAAAGCAGTGAGCATATCCCCGGTTGATGCAGAACTGACCTCTGTACTTCACTGAATAATCTAATCAAATGATAGAGTTACAGCATTTCTATTTTCGGGGCCAAAGTAGATAAAATAGTTGCAAATATTGAATTATGAGAGAAACTGCTAAAGTTCAAGTGGAGTTTGACTGGCTAAAGAACACTAGCTCAGAAATGAGCAGACTCACTCGCTTCTATTGTCTGTTTCTAACACTGAAGGTCTTGAGACTGTTCAGAGTTTAATAATCTCCTCAAAGAAGCTGTAAATTTAATGAACTGTTATTATTTTCTGTTTTATTTTGATCTCAGCGGTTCACAGCATTGCTTTGTATCTTTTTTTTTTCCGTTGCTGTCTTCTGTTTTGTGGCGGTTTCATGTATTAGAATCTGGTCTGCTGATATAAATTAATAAATTCTCGTGTGTGTAATGAACTGCAGTCAACATATGGTCTGCCCTCCAGTACTTACCACACATTTATTCAGCCGGAGTCGGTCACAGCCAGTTAAAACCATGAGAAAGACTAACGTTTTATGCAGTCCTGTGTTTTTTTTAACACATAGCAGCCACACTAAAGCAGAACTTTGGTTTGTATTCTGACATTTAGACAACAGAAAGAAGGATTGCTGGGATTTGACTCATTAGACCCAGAAGTGCAACTTTCACACAGACAGATAAATCTCGCACCCTCAGACCGTCGACAACAGCTCCCCCAAAACACTGCTCGCAATGTTTTTCCAAAGGATCCAAAAATAACTCGCGCTCGTCATCTGGGATTCGATCCACAGAGCAGGCTCGTGTTTCGTTTGATCATCTTCTCTTGACTTGTGCGCAGGCTGCGATTCCTGCAGAGCAACCGCAGATTGTTGCTGCCCATCCACAGCGTTGTGTGCCTGGTTACCTTCGGCCTCTCCCTGCCTCTAGCCATCAGCCTGTTCCCCCAGATGTCTCAGGTACGTGCCGTAAATCATTAGCCCGTTCATCTGCCTCTGCTGCTGACTCAAGGCCAGATGGCTGAGGGAAGCATCTGGGAGAAAATTAAAATTATACATACACCACTACACACACACACGGCAATGACCCACAAAACTTGTACTCACTCGTTTTTAAAGATATCTCTTCCTGAGTCTGATTAAAAGTCAGTCATTGAGGCTCAAATGACGGCTCGCAGAGATGTAGAGCTGAAATTTTATCTGCTGTATTTACCTTTCTTGTTTGCAGATTGAGGTGTCTCGCCTGGAGCCAGAGATTGCCATGGCAACAGATTGTAAGGTTGTGACCTACAACAAGGGTTTATGATGGATGGCTTGGTGCTGGAGAGCAGAGGACAGGGAGCAGGGATGGAAATGAAGCTGCATGTGAAGAGCTGTCAGGGGGCACCCAGAGCTGAGTTCTTCCTTTAAACCAGCCTGCAAGCACACTGTACTAACAAATACTGTAAAAACCTGTTTAAAAATTGCTAAAAAAAAGGTTGGTAAATAATGAGGCTTCTCAGTTATGGGCAGATTTTATTCCTGTCCTTGTAATCCAAAGCAAGGAAGGTGCCCCGTATATAGATCTGATTTTAGATAAACTGTAAAATCAGGTTTTAAACACGGCTAAAATTGTTTTAATATATAAAACTCAGTGATTAACAAGCATCGGCCACATTTTGTCGCCAACTCAGAACTCAGCTGTATATCTGGATGTGTGCATTGTATACCATGTAGCTGCCAGATATGCCAAACTGGATACGGCTGCTTTTGATATAAGGTTTTTAAAATGAGTTAAAACCTGCAATAAATCACATTTTGCCCACTCTAAGGACAGGGGGGGTAAAGGAAGTTATAAACACTGCAGAGACATATCATATTTTGATGTGATGATGCAGTGACCCATCAGCAAACAGTTATTATAACACATCCTGAGCAATATGCTAGTTTTAATCTGGTGCTGTGTTTTCACCACCACATAATTGCGAATCCCATACTCGCTCCTAGTTCAACATAGACTTAAAGGGATATTCCGGCGTAAAATTAAGTTAGGATCAAACACACGGTAACACCGGGTTAGACAACCCCTCGAGAGATGAATGTTGCCGGCCGCTTGCTTCTCTAGTTTTACCAACTTTAGTAACGACCACACGATAGCAATACACAACAGTCTGAGGAGCCATAAACAAACCTCAACCAAAACGCCACTCTATAGTCACAAATAATGGTCAAAACAGCACCTAACTTCATCAACAGTACAAATGGGGTCCCAGCCATAGTACTAGCCACCAAACATCTTTTTAACTTTTAACTCAGCTCAAGGAAATGCAATCAGATGAAGACGCTAAGGCAGAAGAACTACCGTGTCTGCTGTGCAAAATGATTAATATGATGATTATTACTTCAAGGAAATGATAAAGTAATGATCATAAATGTTCTTCCTTGAACTGCGTCACCCCGCAGCAGTCTGTAATGGACTGGCCTGAGGTCTCGCTACAAACAAGCAGCTGCTGGAAGAGAGTAGGTGAGGTGTGTTTAGTCTCTTTGCTAAAGAAATTGGGCAAAGTTAAAAAGATGTTTGGTGGCTAGTGCTGTTGATGAAGTTAGTTGCTGTTCTGAGCATTATTTGTGGCTATAAAGTGGCGTTTTGGTTGCGGTTTGTTTATGGCTCCTCAGACCCCTGTGTATTGCTATCGTGTGGCCATTACTTAAGTTGATATAACTAGAGAAGCAAGCAGTTGGCAACATTTATCTCTCGAGGGGGTGTCTAACTTGGTGTCACAGTGTGATTGACCCTCAATTAATTTTACGCCGGAATATCCCTTTAAAAGCACAAGAAGTCAGAGCCATTATGATACAATCCAAATGTTTGTCCATTACCTTTCTTAAAGCTCTGTTGGGGAGTTTTAAACTGATTGCAAAACAGTATTTGATGCACATGCCTGTCAATGTGCTGCAAAAGCCACAAAAAAACATCAGTAGCAGCGAGACTGGTCATTTCTGTGTAGTTAATTTTAATGCCTGAAACTGCTGCTGGAGGGGGGGTAGGTGTCAGACAACATGATTTCATCCCGCAGAGAGAAGGGTTTGCTGCATTTCCCATGACAATGATGCACTATGGGTGATGTATTTGAATTTTTTTTTAGAAAGATTTAGAAAGAGATTTACGTTAAAAAATGCTTCTAGTACATCAAGAATCAGCAGAAGAAGTGCAGTTTTGTCCACTAGAGGGCACCACAACCAACATGAACCATAAGTTCCTTTTTATAATGTGTTTGGCTATCAGCACTTTTGTGAACTAGGAGGACCAGGAGACATTTGGAATAGATTTGGAGGAATCTGGGGAGCTGAGAGAACGCTCCAGATCATTAGCTTGGTGGAGTTCTTGACCAGCAAGCTCCATCCTAAATTCCTGCTTACCAGGATATTGATTAACTAATTTTTGCCTGTAAAAATTGTCATGAAAGTTAAATACTGAACCACACAGGTGACCAGAGGATTTGGGTAAACTGTCATAGACTTGAAACACCATGATAGAGTCAAAGTTATAACAATACTTGACTACTTATCCTGCTAACAGTTGGATATATTTTTACCAGATTTGACTTGATTCTGTTTTTGTTTCATGTACATGATTTTTGCAGGTTTAGTGAGGTTACAAAGCATCATTAATGTTGTTGTTGTTCTCAGTACTCCCTCAGATTGAGTCCGTAGGTCCTTCTCATACTACAAAGCAGTGTCACATATACTGATCATATTAATAATGGTTTAGTAATTAGCAAGTGCTGATAAAGGCATGTGACTTTCACAGCCCATGAGTGCCCTCTGCTGGACAGACTGAAAAACCTGTCCCTTACTGATTTTAGGGCTGTTTGGAGATGCTTTTTTTCGTTGTTAATCATCTAAAAAAATCACAGAAATAGTCTCAAACTGTGTTTAAAAAAAACGAAAAACAGACGCAATACTTGTCTATTTGACTCAAAGCCAACAGGGTGTTTTTCTGCAGTGTTATTTCTACTGTATGTGTTGTTATACCTGATTCCCCTGTCTAGACACCAGCGAACAGCGGGGTTATTTTGAGTAGGTGTTCAAGAACTGTAACAATTACTGACCCAATTTCAGTACTTGGTAAGATTTAATCAGTGTTGCATCGGTGCTATAATGACTGTGCTATAAACTGTATCTGCAATAAGCTAGAATCAGCACAATCAGGCTGCAGTTGTTGTACATTATGGTGAGAAACATATTTTCCCTGAAGAAACAATGACGTAGATATCAAAGTCTTAATAATCTCATGGAGAACTCTGCACTGACCTTCTGTAATTGCTGATTTATTATTTACAATGACCGAAAACTGGTCTATTCTGTAACATTATTATCAATGTGAAGCCACTCTGTAAACAGCTTGACTTTGTATGTCAGATTGCGGAGAATGTGCTGTAGATGTATATCAGTGTACACTCTGTTTAAACCGGTAAATAACATGTATTTTAATCCATCAATGTGAAACATTACACTGGAATTTACTGTCTTGATTTTTCTACTGTAGCCAAATCCTATATGCTAACATAATGAAGGAGGGACGTGTAACTCAACTAATGACTGTTTCTTGAAACACTGTTGTATTCCTAAATGGTTAAATTTTTATACTAAATAAAATTAATATATGTGTCTGCTGATTATGAGCAAGAACTTCTGATTGTTTGTATTTTATTTCTACTACAAGTTTATTCAAATGTTTGCTAGTCAGCCAGTGTAAATCATTTAGCTGTAGAATATATGATTAATATTCTCTTTCTCTGTTTACATTCTTTTCTGATTAAAGTTATCTCCACGTATTTCAGGATAGTAATCAGCCTAAGTGTTCGTTGAAGTTGTTTTACTTCTACTAGGATTTTTTTTTAACTTATTTGTCGGCCTTATTGGTTCTGTATTTTTTCCCCCAGCAATTTACCAACAATCTGCAGTTTAACTGGTACTGATTTAGAGGACATATCACTTAATATAATAACAATAGTTTAGTAATGTGTTTGTGTACCTCCTTATATCAAGAGCATAGAATTAGTGTCACCGCTTTGTTGCCTGTTATTAAACAGGAGATTTATAAAAACCCGTAAAGACAAGTTTACAATTTGAGCGACAGAACTGATCTTTTATTCATCTCTATAATAGAAAAAAATATTTGAAATAGACTCTTTGGGTTACATCCTCTTTAGACCATAATATAATACTAATAATAACTTTATTTTTACAGCACTTTTTAAAACAGAAAAACTATTTCAAATGTAAGAAAAGAAAAATAATGTGCAGTATATCTACAGAACTAGAATAATATTTCTAGTTTCTAGTCAACAAAATTTCCGAGTCAAATAATTCAGTGTCAAAAAATTTAGTGTAAAGCCGACCGACCCAACATCAGTAATCAGGGAGAAGCAATTGATTCCTCAATCTTCCACTGGGGTCTGTGCCATGACCAATCTAGCATTATTTGATTGGCTGGACGATGGATGATTGAGCCAGGAATTGATTGTTTCTGCCTGGTTACCCAGATGCTGAGGCGGTCTGTTTTACACTGAATTTTTTGACATTGAATTTTTTTTATGTCCCATTTTTTTTTTCTGTTTTTTTCAAGTCGAATTTTTACTACACAAATATTTTGAGATACTGTTTTTTTTTTACACTGGATTTATTTCATCATTGTGAAAAAAAATAACTGTCAAAAATAAAAAAAAATGTGTGCTCGAAATTCAATAGTTTTAAAATTCAAAGTCTGATTTTGATTAGACTTTGAAAAAATTCAGCTTCGATCAGATGGCACAGATTTACTTCCATAAAAAATCAGCCTCAGGACAAACCATTTGTTGGCTGTTTGGTGTAAGAGCCTGCAGTTCTTCAGTCAGCCTCTAGAGGTCTCTGTGGTCCCCATCCGGTGATAAATCGTCGGTGTCAGGGTTGAGAGGGGAAAAGTCGTCAGAAACATGGCCGCTCCCGTGGATGACATGTTTTCCTTCTGCGTGGATCCCGGCAAAGCTGCCGCCGGCGTGGAAGTGAGATTTATCGACAACATTAAGGTGAGCTGGTTTAGAGTTTTCCGAGCTGAGGTTTACAGACCTGATCTGAACCGGGTCTTCAGCTGAGAGGCGGCTGTAGGACTTGATCTGAGCCGGCGGATCACTGACTGCTGCTGGGCTCAGACTGAACTCAGAGTACCGGACAAGTTTATGAGCCACCAGAGTGTGGTTTTATGTTTAATGTGACAACCAGAGCGGTGCTTTAATGTGGGTCATTTCATCATTTTAAAGTCAAAAGGAGAGCAGAAAACTGAGGGACAGAATCCACCATCACAGCAGGGGTGAGTCTTCTGGTACCTGTTCATTAAGGAAACCAAACTGACAAAAGTCTCCATTATAACAGTGTATGGCACTTTTATAAGACAAAATCTCAGTGTTTCACTCAGTCAAAAAATCCCTTTCCCCCTGACACATGTGTGTTAATATACTCATATTTTAGGATAATTTGATCCAATACTACTTTATGGATGGAAATTGTTTGAAATTCTCAATGAGTTGCTTGTAAGATAAAAAATGTGAACTAATGTGGACAAAAATTAAAAATAATGTTTTTGATTGATTGATTGAAATTTTTTTTAACATAAAAATATAATAATAATAATAATAAAAATAATAACAGTAAATAATGAAATAAAGAATACAACAACAAATGACAAAAAGTTATTCATGTTCAATAAGGAGTGGGAAGAAGTCGAGACTTATCTAGTCCCACCCCTTCTTCTACACTAAAAATTCTCCTACATCACGGGTGTCAAACTCAAGGCAATATAATAATAATAATATAATAATAAATTATAATAATATAATTATATATAATAATATAACATAATAACAATATAATAATAGCAATAAAAATAATCACCACAGTGAAAATAACAAAACAACAACAAAACAATGATGATAATGATAAAAGTGACTATGATTGCACATCCCTGTATCCCATGAAAACATATTCTTTTATATTTTTTAAATTGTCATTTAAACATTTTGTTTAAAATGTCTTATTTGTACTTTCATTGTCCTTCATACAAAATTTTAAGTTGGGGAAGAAAAAAGCCAGAGTGTATGTATTATGACCATTTTCCAAAGGATTACCTCACACAATAATGGCAACATGGAATTATCTGGAAGAAACACATCTATAAGACAGTAAGATCATTAGAAGTTGAGTGAAAATTTTTAACTTACAGCGAATATCTCCTCTATCAGCCAAGTGACAAAAAACCACCATAGAGCATCATAGCTCTGTTTAATAAGGATTGTTTACTCTGCAGTGGAATAGTAAGCTCTAACTCACAGGTCTATAATCACATATTTTCTCATGTATTTCAGGGTAAAGGTCTTTTTGCCAAAAGGAGCATCAAGAAAGGGGACAGCATCTTTGTGGAGCGCCCTCTGATCTCTGCTCAGTTCCTGTGGAATTCTTTGTATAAATATAGAGGTGAGACATTTCCAAACATTTACTTGAAGATGGCTTTCAAATTATACAAGACATACTTTAGTGACATAGCTGTAATTGATGACCAGATGTGGACGTTTTGAAAGCTCAGGTTACACAGAGACCAATTTCTTTCTTTTAAAAACTGAATTTTGGGGCATTTTTGTGGTGTAGGAAGATGATAAACATAAGTGATGTTCTGAAATCATTGAGATTGCACTTATAATGTGGGCTGGCCAAAGGAAGTTGAAGTATTTACTTTATCTTGATCTGCATCTTACATCAGTACACAATAAATAAGACTGATATACCTTTCGAAACAGAGAGGAAATGATGTAATTTTTGTCAATTTAGTTTTTTTTTTAGTTTTGATTAGACTTATGTAATATCTCTTTTTTTCATAAAATGAAGTAAAGTTCAAAACGAGTATCACATTTTGAAAAGTACAAGTAAAATCTAAATTGTCCCCAACTTTTTTATATGTATACCTTAAAGTTGTTAGCAGTCAAACAATGGAGTAAAAGCACCGAAGTTTCATCAAAATGTTTCATATTTCAGGCTTTCAGAGGTGAAACTGAACAGATTTATTTTAGAAAAAGTTAGTGTTTTGTTTTCCTTCCGCTCATCTGCCGTCTTCTTGTCTCCTAAACAGCCTGTGAGTATTGTTTACGAGCTCTCGAGACGGCGGAGGAGAATGCGAGGAGACTCAGCGGGAATCCTGGGCTCAGCCTCCCTCACCCTGAGCTCTGCCGGGTCCGATCAGAGCTGCACCAGGCCTGCCCTCAGTGTCAGGTCAGTCCAACCAACCAGGACTCGAGTCCTCTCGGAGCTCTGGATCTCATATTTTGATACAGAAAGAAATGTGCTGTGAAAAGGGATTCTGATCAATATAAGGGGAGACACATTGATTAGAAACCAGCTGTTGTAGACAATCGATCAATATTTACTGGTCAGTATTGGTATTCCGTATTGCTGAGTCATCCAGTCTGATTTTATGATCTAGGTTTTAACTTAAAACTAAGATCAGTGTCTGTCCTCTGCAGATTCTGTTTATTTCTAGTGATGCATCTTCATATTGGTTGTGATGGAGAAAGCAGCCTTCACTTAATTAAATTGATTTTTTGTTATTTAGTGAATGCGCCTCAAATATAGAGGCCGTAGCGCTTGTTGCAGCTGTGACTGATTCAGCACCCGACCATGATCCTTTGCTGCATGTCATTCCCTCTTATTTCCCTTCTTTGTGTTTCCTACTTTGTTTGTTGTATAAAATTACTCACTCAGGAAAAAAAATTCATAGGTATCAATTAATAAGAGCTAAAACCTTCATTTTTCACCAAAGAGAAGCACTTTGTCTGTAAGCACACTGTTGTGTAGAGAAGCTGTCAGGCCTTCAAGTAGATCAGATTTCCTCTCTGAGTGAGTAACAGCCGTCTGTTATAATAGAACTAATTTCCTGTTTGAAGCAACCTCACACCTTGGTTGTTGCTAGGTGATGGAGGTCTGTGGTTTCTTGGAAACTGGGCTGCATGGACGAAATAAAAGTTCCCACAAAAGAACCAGACATTAATTAAAGTCTTTTAAAACTTTTTTAAGTGTTGCTTTGAGCGCTCTACTTTTAGGTTTTAGGTAACGTCCTCATTTGCTGATTTCTCCTTTCTCAGGTGATGTACTGCAGCAGTGAATGTCGACAAGCTGCGGCAGACCAGTACCATCGAGTTCTGTGTTTGGGTCCATCCCAGGAAGATCCAGATCACCCCATCAACAAACTGAAAGATGCATGGAGGTGAAACAGCCTGTTACAAATACTAAAAGAAGTAAACCCTCACAGAATTTCTGTTTTTAAGGTGTAAAATCTGCTTTTATTTTCTGTTCAGGAGCATGCATTACCCCCCAGAGACCTCCAGCATCATGCTGATGGCCCGAATGGTAGCTGTGGTCAAACAGGTGAGTCTCTGAGCACTTTTGGCTTCTCATGGATTCAGTAGAAATCAAGAGAAACTTTGAAGGGAAAGGACTTGATTCCCGGTTCCCCCCTTACCAGTATCCATCTCTGTTTGAAATCAAGCTTTATAGAGTAAAACCTAGCTTGAAAGTACCTTTGGTCAGACTAATACTGACATGCCAGAGAAGAAAACTAAACCTGCTGATGTGAGGACATTTTTAATAGGTTTTGCTCTTATGGGTTTTAAGCAACTGACAGTACAAATGAATCTGTTTTGTATTAAATTCATTAAAAGATGGGAAACAACTTGATTTATACACATGGAAAAATAGCTACTTCAGCTATTTTTAGCTGGTCCATTACAAAAAAGGAGGATTACGATGATTCAAACAATTAGATTAAAAAAAAAAAAACATACTTAGAAAACTTCCCTGAAACACAATACCTAAATAAAAACATTATATAACTGCAAACGACATGAAACAGGTTACTTGCATGATAAACCTGCTGTTTGTGTTTTGGCATCTTTCAGCTCAGTGTTTTGGTTCAGTCTCAGTCATCTCATCAGTTAATTTTCCATCAAAAATCCCAATTAATAATAATAATACTAGTAATAACAATAACAATAATAATAATAATAAAAATAATAATAATCCATTTTATTTATAACGCGCTTTTACAGGTGCTCAAACACACCTTACAAAGAAAAAGAATAAAATAAAATAAAACACAATTTAAAATACAAAGAAATTTGAGAAATAAAACCAAGGATGTAAAAGGTCAAAAAGGACACAATATGAGAAGACAATAAAAGAACAGCTCACAGGTTAAAAGCCAAAGCCAATTTAAAACACTGTGTTCTAATCTTGTGGGTTTTTGTTATATTTTCAGGCCAAAGATAAAGCTCACTGGCAGAAGCTGTTCTCACATTTCTGCAGTCGAGCAGCCGTTGAGGAAGAGGAGATCGTCCATAAACTCCTCGGAGAGAAGTTCAGAGTGAGTGACCGCCTTTTTCTTTCCGCTTGAGATATCAAATCATTGGCATGCAAAATGTAAAACATCTGGCAGTTCAAAGACAATGTCTGGCTCTTATGCTGATCACACATCTTACAGCTGAATTAGCAAACAGAGGCTTTTTTTTACACTCCTGAGACAGAGGGTTAATTCTCTGTGGGGCGGCTTAATGCTTACATGTATGTTTTCTGTGACATTAAACCACTTTTATCTTCCTTACACTTATTTAATATGTGTCTATAGGGGCAGCTGGCCTTATTACACAGCCTTTTCAAAGCAGCACTTTATGACGATCATCTCAGCCGGGTAAGAAACGTAAAAACTTTGTCACAAAACTTTTATTATCAAGTTTGAACTCGTTGTTTACAACTCTAGGATGACGAATTATTATGTGGTTATATTATCTTTCCGTACATTGATTATAAAGCCATCAGCTGGTGCATTTAGCTCAACATAAAGACGGGAAATAGGAGGGAACAGACAGCCTGTCTCCGCCTTGTGAAACAAATCTTACCACTGGCCCTGCTGAAGCTGGCACATGTGTATCCTGTTTCAATCCTGTTCAAAATGATGTTTTTAACTAGATTGACATTTAAACTGGAAGACAGAGAGTGAATCCTCCTATCTGACCTGTCCATAAAATAATCTAGACTCTGCTGACTCTGACGTTAGCAGTTCTATGAAAAGATGCTCCTCCTGCTCTGATCAATAAGTAAAACTGTGATTGTGTTGCAGTGGTTTGTCCCTGAAGGTTTCCGCTCTCTCTTCGCTTTGGTGGGAACAAACGGACAAGGCATCGGTACAAGGTGGACCCTCGCTCATCTTTTACGTCAGCTTTTAACAGGCTTTACGCTGGATCACAGTTATTCATTTCCCCTCTCTCTCTCCATCTCTCTCCCTCTTTGTACTGTGCCCTATTTTTCTCCTCTTATAGCTCATTGAGTCAGTGGGTTCATGCCTGCGATGCACTTGAGCTTCCTGCCCAGGAGAGGGAGCAGTTGGACTCTTTTATTGACCAGCTGTACAAGGACATTGAGAAAGGTCACAGCTTTATCTCAGCTTTACATTCTTACATACATTGAAGTGTTTCTGTCACAACCAAGCAGATTTGTAGTAGGCTTAAAGTATGTGTGAGATTTGAACTGAGGTTACAGGATAATCACATCATACACAGTGTTGGAATTTCTGGGAAACATTTTCACTATTATGATTATAAATATACTAGACAAACACAGTGGGTGTTTTTGTAAATTTTGCAAGCAATTTAAGCACAAAAAAAAATCACATTTTTTTATTGTAATTTCTGCAAACAGAAGAAAACCTCTCTCCCACTTGGTGCCATTCATTTCCTAATAAAACCTAATATATAAACTTGAAGGTTCAACTATCCTGCTTGTGCCTTAAGCCCCTTTTACACGTGGACTTCACTCCAGAAAATTTCCCCATAATTCCAAAGTGAGCTGATATCATTTAGCCCACTCCTTAAGGATAAAACTTTCAGGTTTTTACTACATCCACTTACCCTTTCTTTTTTTACTCAACAATATTTTTATTAGTTTTATACAGAATATGCAAAAAAACACATCACAAACTTCCCCTTTCCCTCAAAACCCCGTCTACTGCTGGATATTTCTGTTACTGTGCTCAAGTAACAACTTCTGAGGCTATAACTAAAATAATAGAATAAAAAATAAATAAAAAATACAAGTAAGTGCTGGAATTCGCGTTTTTCAGATCTTGAAATACATAAGATGTTGAGGAATAAAAAGTCAAAAGAGAATAAGTTGAATGAACTACTGTATGTTAAGAGAAATACAAATATAGACAAGTCGCTCAAAACTGAAAAAGTCCATAAAAGAGATAAGAATTTAAATTGTATGATTATAAAACATCACAGAAATATATTTCAAAAATACTCTCCTTAAGGATAAAAATTTCCGTTTTTTTACTACATCAACTCACCCTTTCTTATCGCAAACTTTTTGCCAGGATGCCGACAGGAAAAAGTCCGGATAAAGTCGAGGTGAAATTATCTAGAAAAGCTGCCGACAGCCTTTTTAACGGCCCAGAGAGTTACTTCTCGACATAAAAGCTCACTATCTCCCATTTCTTAAATTTCTCCAACACAACATCTTGCTTATGCTCTTATGCTGCAGATTTATCCATCAAGAGTAAACACCCTGCAGCACATTTTCTCCTTATGTGTTGCCATAGTGTAAACTCACGCTAAGACGAGGTGTAGCTGATAACAAGGAAACATTCACACAAAATGTGATGTGACTGTCATTACACAGTTGGGATGATTCGCAGTAAATTATACAGCCTGAGTCTGCGGTGCATCAGAAAGTCTGAAGAGTTCATTATTTGTGTGTTCTCTTTGTAGCAACGGGAGACTTTCTGAACTGCGAAGGCTCTGGACTGTTTCTGCTTCAAAGCTCATGTAAGTGCACATGATGCTCGTGTCATAAGCGCTGTCACTGCAGTTTAAAGACGCTGTTAATCTGGTTAAGGGGCTGTCTGGTTACCCTCCTTTTTGGTCTTGTCGCCTCTTTGACCTCCAGGTAACCACAGCTGCGTACCGAACGCAGAGGCTTCCTTCCCCGACAACAACTTCCTGCTCCAGCTCAGCGCCCTCAGTGACATCAACCCGGGAGAGGTGAGCTGACTCGTCTGGGTTATAGGTGATAAATTCTGGCCGGGGATAGATGGGACACTGCATCCCTCTCCAGCTTTGTGTTCTCCCTTGTCAGGCGGTATTAGAAGGCTGAGGCTTTGAGGATTGGAGGGGGTTTGTCAAGCTGTCAGAAAGATTGAGAAGGCTTGCATCTGCACGGCACAGTAATGTCAAAGCAGCTGCATTACTTTCACTATATAGCTCTACTTTGAATGCTGACTAAGACAGGAGCGCTTTGTGTCACATTTCACCAGCATAAAGATGGAAGAACACGGAACTTTTTTTAGGCACTTGAGAAAATAGCATGTTTATATGTTTAAGACTGGACATGTAGATGTTTTAAAATGTGAGTTTTTTGCTCTTTATTTTCAGGAGATCTGCATAAGTTATTTAGACTGCTGTCAGAGGGAGAGGAGCCGCCACAGCAGACACAAAATTCTGAGGTAAAAAAAAAAGAAAATCAATGACCTCTCAGATAATTCATTTGAAGAAGGCCACAGTGTTACTAATTCAAAGGCTGCCCCCCTGAAAGTCTACAACCTGAAACATCAGAATCAGAGTTGACTCACCTTTCTCGGTTAAATTTACTGTCTCAGGGTTAAAGGAGCAGCAGCTCCAAACAGTGTAAGCTTACAGATTTACACAATGGCCCATCCATGTTTCTTGTTAATTTATGGGTAGCAGATTTATCCACCAGGCGTCCACCTCTCCAAAATAAATAAACTGAGTGATTAAGACCGGAGAGAAGAGGTGATAAAGCTGTTTCACATTAAAATCAGCGCTCTCTCTCTCGCTCTCTCTCTCTCTCTCTCTACCTCCTGTGCTGGAAACAGGACATTAAGAGCCTGCATGTTTTTTGATTGGACTCATTAAGAGTTCCTCATTCGCAAAGATTTATTATTCAGCTATTTGATTTTTGTGTAGGTTCTCATTCATCCAGGTCATAGTGATCCAAGACTTGATCCAAAGAGGCAACTGGACTTGATTGAAGTTCTTGAGGACGTCGGGAAGACGAAATGTCCTTTAGAACTTTAACCAAGTCCAGTTGCAACTTTTGGATCAAGCTTTGTATTATTTATTGATTATTAAACAACAACCATTTAACTATTAAACAAACTCAACTGTAAAGAAGGACAGGACAAGAAAAAAGAAAGGGGGGGAAAAGTAACTGTTTTAAATAGGTAAATAAGTTTACAGAATATGTTTTTTTTAATTGTAAAAGGTCATAACACCTCTGTCTCTCCTGTATCAGAGGTCCATAAGAGGTTCTCTTATGGTTCTCCTTATCATTATTTAAGTTTCAGGTGTGCTTTTCCAGATGTAATGTTTCAGTCAGAGGGTGAGGATGAGTTCAGGTACACTTTACTCAAACAGACAGAACTTAATGTACAGCCTGTGCAGGAAACAGTAATTCTGTTCCCTTACCGCGGGACATTGAGGTAAAACACTCTGGTTCTGATCATGACTGAAATCACATCCCAGGTCTTTTTTCCATTTACTCTCAGAAGAAGTCAAAGGGGAACTGTGGTGATCAGGCAGAGCATCAAAAATGAAAAACATTACGCACTTTATACCGTTGCGTATTGATCCTATCGGTCTTGTCTGCTTTTGTATATTATAAAAGGATATCAGTATGAGTTTCAGTCTATTTAGTTTATGTCTAAAAACTCCTTCCCTAGTCCTCAGGATGGTGTTGAACTTTTAAAGTAAATGTGCATGAACTTCACATGTTTGATCTGAGCTTTCGACATCGAGAGCTAACAAGGGGGTTGTTTCAGTATCGGATTGAAGAAAATAAGATGTTATAGCTCCGTATTTTACAGCTAAATCTTTTTCTAGCCTCAGCATTCAGAGTTGTGTAGGCTCTATCAAATTCCATCTGGATCAATAACAGCCCTCCATGCAATAATGGGGAGTCCTGGGGCAGAGATGTTAGGACTCTGATGGCTACTCTTGTGTTTCCACTCCTCATTGATCACCATGATGTAGACCCGTCTTTGATTTACTCCCCTCCGTTTCTGGAGATGGAGTTTGTGTACAAGTCTCTGAGATATTTAAAGCTTTTATTGCATCCTGTGATAATTGTCAGCCTTGTGAAATAGCAGTCGCACCCCAGGCAGGTAGTGTAGACCTCACATCTCCCTCACATCATACCAGCTGATGTGAGAGTATCAGCCGCACCACAAGTATTAATTAGTGTTAACAACTAATTTGCTGTGGTGCACAGCAGCTTCTGAACAGCTTTTCAGAACAGCAGAGTTCAATATGTGTCTGATTAATTCAGAGGAGCAACAATGTGACTGGTGGAACATTTTCTTCCCAGGGAGAACTACCTGTTCGTTTGCTCATGTCCAAAGTGCATCTCGCAGATGGATGAGCTGGATGTGACATCAGACGAGGAGGAGGAGGAAGAAGAAGGCGAGGCAGAAGGTGAAACAGAGGGGGATGAGATGGAGGATGAGATGACAGATGTCTGATGAAAGACTCATTCATTCTCAGCCGTTTCCATTCCCGCCGCCACGCTAAGCGACCATTGAAGCCCAGAGCAGACGAGATGTTTGGAGAAATGTGTGAAATGTCTCATTATCAGCAAATTTCACTCATTTGTTATCCACTTTCAGGGATTAGAAACATATAGGTGTCTTTTAAATGAGGTGTACTGAATGTGTAAGAAGCGAGGCTTGTCCGAGGACAGTGATGATATTTAATCATTTTTGCTCCACTTCAGCACACGGGGGGTTTAAAATCAAACAAAGACTTTGAACTTTCAGGGTTTTGATCACATCCACAACGGTTGGACAGTAAAGCTTTGGTTCGCCTTTCTACCCCCCAGAGAATAAGTTTGAAAGGGCTGATGCTTTCACACAGGACATTAAATATGAATAAAAACACTTAAATCCAAAGTATATGAATTACATTATTTGGCCACTTGGGGCATTCTCTTAATGCAAGTAACTTAACCATCATTCACATGCTCCTAGAAGGGTTTCCAGTTAACACAAGTCTTGTCTTGATTTGGATGAAAAAAAATATTAAATAGAGTATGGATAGAATAGAATAGAATATTCCTTTATTGATCCCCCATGGGATCACAGCAGCAACACAGACAAAGGATAGGATAGAAAGCTGTTATTTTTTAATTAAAAACAAGATCTCTTTATGAACAAAACAGATAGCTGTTTCAATGACAACCACAGAAGGAAAATACATAGAATTCATAAAAAGTTTTAACAAAAAAATGCAGTTTTTAACTTTGGTCTGTTCTGGTAAAAAATGTCAATTCTGTCACTTCGGCAAGTTTGCTACTGCTGATCGAACGCAGCTTTGTGTGTCTGAAAATTTGCCCCCAATCATTGTGAATAGATGCTTTTCTCCCTCATGACAAAATCATGCCTTAAACTCAAACTACAAAGTGAATACACATTGATTTTAGTTAAAAGACTTTAAGATTTAAGATACATGGCTGCGACGGCAACTGTCTCCCGTCATTTTTAGACGCTGAAATCAATGTTTGGTCTGCCAGCACCATAAAACGCTCACGCAGTTGGAGCACTTCTGTTGTTTTGTTCTTTGCTGTTGCTTTCTGTTACAACACATTTCAGCCGTTGTGTTTGTTTTGGACTTTTGTATGTTCTTTCAAAGTTGTGTTGCTTCTGCTTTTGCAGCGTGTTTTTGACTGTTTGAGGCCACTGTACCAAAGTTATCTCAAAACGCTGTACGGAAAAAGCCGCACCAGACCACACTTTCACAGCAGAGAGCCGTAGGCTGAAACCACAGGCAGAACCAGACAGGTGAGGAGCAGCCATCTGCCTTCACTGAGACTCTTTTCGAGAAAACGGTTTACATTCTGACTGAAACTACAATAATAATATTCTGGGAATAAATCCACAAAATGAAGCCGAGGCATTAAGAAAACAAACTGAACCTAACAAGCTTGATCACAAAAGCAGATTTTCACAGCGTGTTTATAAAAGTTTTGATAAAAGACAGGTTCAGATTGAAGGTGAAAGTCCAAACTTTAACTCAACAGTTGTTGTGTCATTTGATCTAATGATCCAATTGATCCACATCCTCCGATGTGCTGAAGTCGAGAGCAAAACTGTCCTCTTTGCACCGTGTCTGCCCTCCAGGTCGTCTGAATGAACCTCTGAAAAGTCATCAAAACTCCATCATCACTACTCTTTAAGTGTTAAAGCAAAAGTCGAGCCGTTCTCAGGTGTTTCACTGCCCTTTAGAAGTTTCTTACATGACTATGCATACAGACCTGAAGAGGCGTTTCAGTCATACTCTGTTGTAATCACAGTCTTGTCACAGAGGAGGCATCCAGCCAGCAAATGTGGTTTTGTTTTCATGATCTATAGCTTTATGTTAAACCTTTCTTAATGTAAACGGAGACCTTGAGTGGAAAATTGCTTTGTCAGTAACTGTTTGCCCTTTGTTGAGGTCTGTATTTCAAACAGCGGTTCCACATGAGTGAAATTGCTGCCGCTGCTGCCCACACATGAATCAATATAACAACAATGACTGTAATCACAAATCCCAATATTTTCTGTTACACCACAAAGATTGGAAATATTGAATGAGCAGTCCCAATTTTCTCAGTTGGCATTCAGCGCAGGGGCGCGGGAGAACATGGCTTTGTAAGTCACATAAGTTTAATTTGAATATCATAACTGCAGCAAACAGCGGCGGAGCGGTTGTCGTTTTTACTACTCTGGCATAAACCATTGAAATTGAATGTCTGTTGAGTCATTTATCTGCTTTACACACCTCCTTCATTTGCTACAGAGGATTGTGTGGGTAAAATATTTGTTTAGTCTCTGCATATTAACCACAAACCCTGACTCGTATTGTCTTCCTCAAGGGGATTTGAGTCTTAACTAATAACCTCTCTCTCTTTTTTTTATGATGCCATCCCCAGCTTTTTGCTTTAGGCACTTCCACATCCAGAACTACGCATCTCATTACACATCATTAATTTCTTAATGGATCAAATTAAGTATTTGACTGCTGATGCCTGACAGTCCAATCAGTTCAACACTGGCATGAGGAACAAGCAGATTGGTGCTAGCAGATACTGCATAAGAATGGGTCTGACCTAGAAACACAGGACTCTGTATCCCAGGTTTGATGGTAATACTTCATAATCAGCATTTGGAGCCTGGTGGGGGTCAGGGACGATAGGTAACTCTTTATATGAACCCATCTCTTTTAATGCATCATAAGCACATTTATAGAGTGAGTGATTGTAAGTATTCATAACAGTTTATAGCAGTGAAGATTGTTATAAAGCCTTATTAATTCATTTATAAGTATAAATGTGTTTATTCTGCATTGTAAGAGGTCTGTTTATACAGAGTGTCACTGGTCTATGAAGTGGTTATTATGATCTTCAGAAGCTGAGCCAAACTAATGTTAGCCGAAACAAAGCATAACGCTCCTCCAGATTTACACTCTCTGCCAATGTGCTTTGCAAAAACAAACTTTTATTCTACAGCTTTGTTCAGTGTTCATTTCAGTTGACAGGTCTAACACCTCCTTGTCAAATCCTTGAACTCAGACCAAAGCATAAACCCTCCTACAGCCTGGAAACAACACAACTGGGAAAAATGAGACTTGGATACTACTAATGACACAGTTAATTGTCAACATATATCAAATAAATCAAATGCATCACCAATTTCTACCTATTACAAACTCTTTTTTACTCAGCATGAGTGACAGCCGATCTTTTAAAAATCAACATAACTCTCTTCTACAGTGCTGACGGGCATCTACAGTTAACGTTTCTTCACTAGGCCTCTGGGTTTACTTTCCTTTGATCTGCGGTTGTTGCCATACTTGATCACATGCTAACTCAGCCATCATTCACCAGAGAGAAAAGTTAAATAAGCCCACATTATATCCATGAAAGGAGGCACGCCTGGGACCTGCTGCGGCAGGAGGCTGGACCTCTGGACACGTCCTTTATTTGAAGCTCTGCATGAGCTCTGCAGCCTCAGAACGTGGACTTTAATGCAGCAGCACATTTCAAAGGTCAACCTCAGCTGGCATACATGCTGCGTCCACGTCATACATGTGGATACATTTTTAGTGTGGGGAGGTCAAAGACTCCTCCCAGAGAGATTCGACCACATAGAGGCTCATTTGAGGATTGAGAGAGTGGGTAGTGAGGCGAGTGTTAAGGGAAGGAAAAGGGAAGACGAGGAGGGAGGCGTTATGAGGGCTATTATTACTATGCAGAGAAAGAGTCTTTTATTCTGACACACCAAGTACAAAACACTTCATATACATTTCAAAGACCACAGTGATCTAACAGAGTGGATTGCTGTCATTGCCATATTATGCAGATGAAGGAGGAAGAGCCCTTGACTCTATTTAAAGAGATAAAAGACAGCACATTTATCCCATGTTACTGTCGAAGACAAGAAATCTGCCCTTCTACAGATTACTGCTAAAACTGAAGTGAACATTACTTTATCAAAGGTTTCTAAACCTCTCAGCTTGGCATGCTCACGCACCTTTGCTCTGAAATCTATACAGTTTAATAAGTTATGATTTGTGTTTTACAGTCAGGGCTTGTACTGAATAACTGAACTTGACGTAAAGCAAGAAAAGTGTGCGTTATCTCACACTCGACACAGAGCTGAGGGGTTTAGGGCTCCTATAACCGTACATTTTATGACATAAATATTTTGATTATCTCTTGTTTATGCAGTTTTACTGATACAGCCTTTATTTCAATCTTGTTTTTTTCCAGTGTATGTGAGCAAAAAGAGTCCTAAAAGGCAAAGAGCCTTAGCTTTAAAGCCATTTTAACCTTAAGATTTCTTGGCAAGGTTTTTTTGCAGGAGTGTATTAACCCGTAGAGATCACCTGATCTCTTAAACAACAACAACAAAAAATCTGCTGATTAAAAACATTGAATAAGACAGTCTCATGTTAGAAAAGTGTTTCTTCACAGCTATGATTCAGAGGTTCACCATAGACTCCTTTCCATAAGATTTAACCCCATTTTTATATTTTTCTAATAAGAAAGAGCATGCATTTTATTAAAGGATCAAATGGGATTTTATTTTATTCAACCCCCTAAAATACTGTGTAGCTTGTACATCTGTCAATATCTCATCGAGCTCAAGGTGATGTTGTTTTAGGTCTTGTACTGCCCAGCCAACAGACCACAGCCAGGCGAAGTGACTATCATAGACTATTTTGTTGCAGTAGCCGTAGTAGTCAGTGGTTTGAGAGGCAGCAAGGGAAACTTTTCTTCAAAGGTGATGTGCTGGAAGCAGGAAAAACGGGCAAGCATAGGGTTATGAGTGACTTTGACAAGTGCCAAACTTTGAACTGTAGCTCTTGTGGGGTGTTTTAAGTCCATAGTGGTGAGTATCTACTGAAAGTGGATCAAAGAAGGATGACTGGTGGACCAGAGAGAGTGTCATGGGGAGCAAAGGCTCACTGAAGCACATGGGGAGAGCAGGCTGGCCTGTGTGGACGCTACAGAAGAGCTACTGGATGTAATCCATCCAAACTGTGGAGGCTCCACTTAATTTAAAGGATCTGTTGCAAACATGTTGGTGCCAGGTATCTCAGCACACCTTCCGAAGTGAAGTGAAGTACATGTCTCATCAGGTCAGGCTTTGGCTTTAACCTGGTTTCAAGAGGGCCAGCAAATATTTAGCATGTCATGGCTAAATGTTATGTTTGAAAAAAAAAATACTGATAATCTTTAAATTACATGTGTCAAAATAAAAGACATTGCTGTTTGTTTGTACTTCATTAACTAACTCAAGGTATCGCAAATTAGTGGGTTTTTTTTAGTCAATGAGCTCTATCGTTAAACGATAAAATGTTTTTGTCATACTATACTATGACATTTTTTAACACACTATGCAATGACATTTTTAACGTACAATTCTAAGACATTTTTGTTATACTATACCATGACATTTTTATCATTCTACACTGACATTATTTTATCAAACAGGACTTTAATATTTATTAAAACTAAACTATGACATTTTTAATGCTACTATATTATAAAATAATTTATCAAACTACACTATGACATTTTTTAACCATACTATACTCTGACATTTTTATCATACTTTAACATTTTTATCATTTTATACTGACCTTTTAATCATACTATACTATGACATTTTTATCACACTATACTATGACCTTTTTTATTTAATTAGGATCCTTGTACAAAATTTTTTTTTTTTCACTTTTAAATATAGAATTTTTAACATACCATACTATGACCTTTTTTTTTTTCAAACAAAAATAGCATTATTTTTCACACTAATTTATGAACTTTTTAACATACTATACTATGAAATTTTTTTTAGTTAAATATTTTTTCAAATATATGAAATTTTTGAACATACTATACTATGACATTTTTATCAAAGTATATTATGACATTTTTTATACTAAAATATGATTCTTGTACACTACAAAACATTTTTTTTCACTGTAAAATATAGAATTCTTAACATATTACACTGACATTCTTTTCTAACGAAAATACGATTTTGTTCACACTAATTTATGAACTTTTTAACGTACTTTACGATGACATTTTTTCACAGAAATGTTTTTTCGAACTAAAATATGACATTTTTAACATACTATACTATGACATTTTTAGTATATATGACCTTTTTATACTAAAATATGATTTTTTTTTCATACTAATACATGAAATTTTTACATACTTTACCATAACATTTCTTTCATACTAAAATATGATTTTTTATACAAACATATAAAATATAATACATACATTTTTATCACACTATCCAATGACTGTTTTCATACTAAATTATGATACTTGTACAATAAAAAAAAAAAAATTTTCACTTTAAAATCTAGAATTTCTAACATAATATACTATGACATTTTTTAAAACAAAAATAGGATTATTTTTCACACTTATTTCTGGACTTTTTAACATACTATACTATGACATTTTTTTGCTGAAATAATTTTTTTAAACTATAATATGAAATTTTTAACATACTGTAGTATGACTTATTAATCAAATTTACTATGACATTTTTTATACTTAAATATGATTTTTTTCATACTAAAATATAAAATATTTAACATAGTACTATTAATTTTTTATTATACAATATTATGACATTTTTATCATACTATACTATATTTTTCATACTTTATTTTTATCATAATTTACTACGATATTTTATCGTACTGTACTATGATATTTTTATCATACTGAATTTTGATTATTTTAACATACTTTAATATGACTTTTTTATCATACTATCCTATGACATTGTTTAAACACCAAAATAAAAACTTTTAACATACTTTACTATGTCATTTTCTTTCATTCTAAAATATGTAATTGTTTTATTTTTACACCAAAATCTGACATTATTTTTATAATACTATACTATGACTTTTTTTGGTCATACAAAAAAACAATTTTTTTCATACTATACAATGAATTTTTAAACATACGAGTCCATGTCTTTTTTATGATACTATATTATGAAATTTTTTCATAGTATATATTTTTTTCTCATACTCACTATACTATGACATTTTTATCATAATCTACTATGTCATGTTATCATACTAAACTGATACTTTCACATACTATACAATTATATATTTTATTATTCATTAAGTTGTTTTTCATACAATAAATATGATTTTTTTTTATCATACTGTACCATCAGGACCAGGCTCACAAGTCAGACA